TATATATATATATATATATATATATATAGGTAATCGACGCACAGAAGCGCTGGGGGACTGCTAGTACGGTATGAAGGCACGACAACCCGGCGAAGGTACAACATTGTAGCACCCAAGTGATCTCTCTACCAAAAAACGCGAGTTAAACAAACACAACGTACTACACTAAAACTATGAATATATATACATCACGTTTATTTCACACGTCGACCAGAGACAGCAGTGAAAATTGGAAATTCTCAAAAACCATCCTACGCAGAAATTCTTGGCAGTTTACAGATTTTTAAGAGACTTTGCGGAAAAACTGATAGATAGGATTTGGGTTAGAAATAAGGTGTCGATTTCCATTGTATCTTACTCCGGTCGTCTTATGCTAATCCTGTATTCTGGATGAAATACTACTGAACCGCATTTGTTTAGTATTCACGATTTGTGGCTCACAAGCCAGTGTGGAGAAAACGGTAACCCACAGCACCTCATTTTCGGTCTGCTATGACTAAACTAGTCAAAATGTTTCGTTGACTTAAGCCAGAAAACTAGCCACCCCAACCAAGTTCCTTCTGAATTCAAAGCTGATACCGAAAAACTGCTTCTTAAAGTTCACGACCTCACGCGCCTCCTGACTTAGTGGATGGCTGCGCAGCAAGCCGAATTGTGCAGTAAACTGCCGGAGTCGCTAGGTGCAGCCTGGTTTTTACAGAAAACGAACCATCCAATGGTATAATTTGGTTTTTTGTTTAACCGCGTGTTTGAAATCTCGAGCATTTCAGTCGTCACAGATTGTAAACTCATTCTGTAGCATTGCACTCCAGCCATGCTAATAGCCTCCCAGCTTTTGATACGTTGGTAGTGTCCGATTCCCCAAATTATCTTTTCTTTTTGAGACTACGGAAAAGGCCCCGAGGATAGTATTTTTTGCCAATTTAGAAATAAAATGCATAGCTTCCTAAGTTACAACAATTTATAACACTTCAAATTAGAACCGGATGCATTCAAAAAGAAATAATGTGCTGAGCTTTGGAATTTCAAAGGGTAACAACGAGGATCTTGGTTTTAGGTTGAATGGTTGGCCAAATGAACGCGTTACGTTATCACCACAGAAGTTTGTAAATTTGGCAAGCGATGCTGAATATGATTGGCGAAGTCAAGTGCTTCCAGGGGTGGTCTGGTTAACATAATGTATAAAAATAATAGTATTCTCTACTTGTCTTCACTAACAATTTTGAAGTGGGCATTGATATACTGGATTTCATAAAATCCGATTAAATTAGAATAGTTGAAGAATGTCAGCGTTCAATTTAAAAGCTTTTGTAATTAGTCTACTGGAGGCATTTAGCTCAGCCGAGGAGTTGTGCGTGTGTTTAGCCATGAAAACTTTGCTGTACTTTTGAAACAACAGCCACGTTTATGACATTCCAGTGTTTCTGTACGTTCATAGCACTCTTTTTTCGACATCAAAGCGACACATAAGTTGATATGCAATTCTTAATGGAACTATTTAAAGGCATGGAAAAAATGAGAAACAAAGTCAAGGAAAGAAGAAAAACCAAATATTAAAAGCCGCTTTTTTGGTAAAATATGAATAGTTTTCTCATTTGAGCTGAACTCTAGAGGTGTGGTTTCTGTCCAACTTTGGGTTCGATCACGCGGGCACTTCAGTCTATACAGGTAGGATTTTCGGTCGGCAGCACGAATCATTCCCAAAGGCAAAAGAAGGTATAAGGCTGGGGCAGGAAAGGTATTGCTGACGTATAGAAGGGCCGGGGGGCTACTGGCATAGGCCGGAAGCCATATCACATAGCAAAGATGCAGTCGCGGAACCTTAAGTCCCCACAAAACCAAAACGAAGAGTGAAATAAATAATCCAAGTATTACATATTCCCTCTCCTTTTAATTGTCGTTCCCGGTGATACCCTTGGTCATCCTCTCACGTCAGCCATAACAACGTATACGGTGCTATGGGGAAAAACACCCATGAAACAAACAAATCAGTCATCAATTTTACGTCATTGATCCCCTTTGGTAATTCTATTGGATCCGATGCTTCGTTTTGTTTGAAAAATATATTGAAAGAAGAATTAATTTGCTGGCCATCATGTATGTCCATCGCTAGTAGTAAGAACATTGGTCCAAAAGCGGACTCAGTAAATGAGTGACAGTGTCAAAAGCGTTTTTGTGGAAATAAGGCTTCAAGTCTATTCATCCCTGTCACGTTGTTCCAACTTCAGGGCTGCCCAGTCACATTTGTTAATCTGAGTTCTACCCAGAGTAGAGAGGTGGCGGAGATACCGCATGTTCACCAAATAAAAATTCCAAGCAAATACGTAGAATACTGCTCCAAGAACTGTCCAAGATGGTTCACAGCCTTCCTGCAGAACACGGGATTTGTGTGGTTGTCGAAGTTGGGCGCTATTTTCAAACCTATTGGGGTGCTCACAGATTTTATAAATTGGCAGCGTAAGTTTTCCATTCGCTATGTTAAAGTTCCACTTTCAGTATTATTAATCAGGGTATTTGTTCTTTAGAATCAAGTTCGCTAACTGATATCGCAAATATAGCCCCGAGTCTTTTCTACAGGCTAAAGAAGCCTAACGTTAGGGCAGAAAATGTATTGCTAACATAAAGGAGGCCTGGAAGCTGATGGCATATCATGAAGGCCATGCTATCCAGTAGAACTACACTCGCGAAGATTTAAGTACCCAAATTAAGGTATAAACCATAGCGTTCAAATTCTTCAGTACATTGAAAACATTTATTCTACTGCAGTGCTTTGGATTGTTACAGCTATGAGACATGTGAACAACTTTCTCGATTTTGTACTTGGAAATTTTAAAGAATGGTAAGAGTGATTGCTTTATATGTGGCCCATATTTAGCGTCCCAAAACTTTCCTAAAGAAGAAGAAAGACGACATAGTACTCGGGCAGAATAAGTATTTTTGAAGTACGGTAGAACTCGAGGCTACTGGCACGACCCCAGTGCCATCCCACCCGACGAAGTTCCAATAGCAAATACAGTGGGAGTATTAGCAAAACCGGGGTTTAAAAAAACAAAGTGTAAGGCACTCTAACACCCAAACACAATGTGTCTGATCTTCTCTAGAGTAAAAACAGAGATCCGCAAGTTTTGCCCAGTAAAACCCAAATAGTCGCTCATACGGAAGTATAAACAAGATATTATATTGCATATTTGCTGTATTTGTCTTTTCTAAGAACCTAACATATGTCCACACCCTTAAAAGGCAATTTTTTAGGTTTATAAATATGTTGTAAATGAGAATGCTGGCTGTTGGGACAGGAGAATTAATATGCTTCGTTTTATTGGATAATCTAACAACCCTGCAGCGCATTTTATGAAAAAGGTATTGGTTATTGCCTTAGGTAAACATGGAGAGGCATGCATGTTTTAATAGTGAACCAGATCAAATTAAGCATTACATTCAAGCGCGTCGCAAGTGACATTCATGTTTTTAATTAAATGGCACTGCGTTGCATCTGTTCTGCACCCATGTTCATTACCCGTTGTTTTCTGCAGTAATTTCGTTCTTTGAGTTCTTACACAGTATTTTTGATACGTTTTATTTTTAACATAATAAAAATGCAAAAACTTTGTCATATTTTTATGTTTTTACGTGATTGTTGCAGGTTTACTTGTTGTTTCTTACACATGTAGAATTAGTCCTGTGGCTTATAAAAGAGAAAATTTTTATCTAAAATACAGCACAGTTTTTGCAATTCTGGTTTTTGCGTATTAAAACCTTAATGACTTTTTTTGCTTCGTTTTATTGCTGCTGCTTTTGCACATTTTTGTTTGTAAAATGCAGTTATTTTCAACTGTCCCAAATTAATGCTTTTTAACATCTATGAAAGACTAAATTTAGCCTTCTGATGAATAAAAAAAGTTCAACTGATTATTATTGCAACACTTTTCTTATGACTCATGACTGATTTTTAAATCAGAAAATAGGCCAAAATTTGCAATATTTTTTGTTCATGGTTGCTTAAAAATAGTGTTAGATTCACATATATGGTAAAGCCGTACTTATAAAATTTTGATTTATTACCGAATTGTGCGGTAAAACAAAGAAAAAATGTACTTGTACACTTTTTTGGTAATCCTAATAAGGAGAGATAATAGAAATGAGTGAAAAGCAGTACGCTCGAAAAGCCCTAGAAGAGGTGATCCGATTGGCTGACGAAAAGATTGTGGCCACCGAAGAAATTGTATTAAAAAAAGAGGATGACTTTAATGAATTCGCTCATTCGTGCGATGACACTGTCAAAGATCTTGACCAGTATTTTCTTTCCATCATGCGTCAGTTGGAGAAGTGGAAGCACGTTTTTATTCAGGTATAAATTTACACATTATGATTAAGGCTTTTTAGGAATTACAAGCAAGTACTTCGGCTGCTGCTTCCGAATTTCAAAATCGCAATGCTCAAATTGGTGAATTAATAGGTCGGTTGAGAGAACTACGTGAAACCTCCGCACATATTCTTGCAACTGAACAATTCAAAAACACAGATCTCGTTTTTGACGTTCATGGATGCATATTCAGCATAAATCAAGCAATAGAAAATATGACTGAATTTTTGGCTGAATGCGTACCGCTCAAGTTTGTCGGAAAGCTTAACTTCGATTCCGTTCAAAAATCGGATGTTGGCTCGATGGAGCGCTTGGCTGACAATAACTACGCAGAAATCTTGCCAAGCAAACTTCCCAAAATTAAGTTAGGTCAATTATTTAATCTCGACTTCCGAATTTCTAAAAAGTACTGTGAAGCTGCCAAGCGCTTTATTACATATTCGGTTTCTAAAGAGGATGGACAGTACCAGAAAGTCTGCGCTTACTTGCATGATAATAAGGATGGCTCCTACGCTCTAAGCTTTCCAATCACTGCCATCATCCCGCATACTGTGCACATCTACTACTTGGGGGAGCATATACGCAACAGTCCATACACAATCGTCTTTAAGGTGGGACAGAACCAGGGTGGAAATGCAGTTGGAGTTGGTGGCCAGACTTCCGTAACAGGTTTCGTCGGCTCATCAAAGGATATAATGGGAGATGGAGCAAACAACTCCACCAGACCTGTGGGCAAGACAGGTGATGACTACCGTAGAAATAAGTGGAGTACCAGTTCAACGGACAGCTCTCAAAATAACAACAATTGGAACCAGGTCATGGGGGCAAATATTTCTCCTGAATCTAACCAATCTTCTGAATCGGGGGCATAGATCGGCCTTTGCTAACCAAACCCACCAACATGTTTTGCCTGCCAATACGCGTTTAGTTTGACGCACTTACTTCCACCATTTTCATGAAATATGGCATCAGTCTCCAGTGTGATTCTTCCCTCTAATCTTTGAAGTCTTTCTACCTTTCTCTAACACATTTGATTAAACGAGAACAATCCATAACCCTAACTCTGCTTCTTTATTTATGTACCCAACTTATTAACTCCCACTTTTGGCTAACCTTCTACGTGGTGGAGTAAGGAATGGCACTTCAAATAAGTAAAAGCAAAGCAATGAATTTGGAGTCCATTAATCGTTTTATAAATTTGTTGCCGTTGGCCACTTTGGAGTGTCTTGGTGGCAATGGGAGGACTCTCTAAACAGCTTTGGACATCGCAATTTAAAACTTATAAGACCACACCCATAAAGCATTACATTATATTGTTTTTCTGTAAGTCCTGGTAGGTCTTGAAGATGATTCATGCACAAACTGCCCATTTGTCAAAGTCATGATGCTGCGGTTGTTTTAAATAATGACAGTTTGCTGAAGAAGTTAATCATTAGTGGTTAGCCACAGGTCAAATAAATATAATTAATTTGAAGAGTTGTCGGACGCACAGATATCCGCTGTCACCAATGTAGCGCTTGAGTCTTTCCTGAGGGCGAAAGAAGACATGGTACTAGGGTAGAAGATGTATTGCTGAAGCACAGGAGGGTTGCGTTGTAAAAATTTGTAAGCATGACTTAGAATAAAAGGCCTTTATCTAAAAAGTTCAGAACCTAATAGGGCTTGACGGTGAACCGGGCAAGCAAAAAGGGATAGGAATTTTCGTTTTCATTGAAAGCATACGGCATTTCGTTTTAACACAAGTAAATGCTTCAATCAAAACATGGAGCAAAAGGAGTAAAATTGGTAAAAAAATGTTGAAAATTGTCTCAAAAATTCCTCAACAAGTTCCAGGGAGGAGGAGGGGGAGGAGGAAGGAAAAAGGGGTGAGATCACTTGATGAATTTGAGAAGGGAATTCAGTGCAACTGATGACTTGCGTTTGGTGAATTCAGAGTCGTGGGCAGCTAGAGTGTGCGCACAGACAGCAGTCCAGTGAAAGTAGCGTGATTCCATACAAGCGGCAGAGGCGGGATTAGGAATGAATCGCGTCTTTAGAGCCTTGGGAGCTTCGGATGACGCGAGTCTTGTGCTCTGCTCACGCACACACTGCACCGCCTCAGCATACGTATCCCATATTCCTGGAATGCATGAGATGACACAGGCGTGTCAAGCCAATCAACAAGGCACCTATTCACTAACGTGGCCTAGTTGACTTACCAGCCCCGACGCCAGCAGCGATGGCGGCACCGAGGCAGCATGTTTCAGAGATGGCACTCCTCTCCACCGGCAAATCCAGTGTGTCCGCCAGGCGCTGCATCAACCAGTCCGATTGAGTGAGGTTGCCATTCAAGCGCAGTACCGATATGTCAGAGGCCAGTTCTACAAAGGACATGACATCTTTAGCTTTACCGAATGCGTTAAAAAACTTAAATGCTTGTGCACATTCAGTAGTGAGCAAAATTTCCACTAGGCTGCACAGATCTAGACAACCTCCGAAGTTGTTCCACAAAGAGCAGCTGACTACGGCGGAACAAAGCACACAGAGGCCGATGAAAGACGGGGACAAGGATGTCATCAGCGCAGGCTGAATCATCAAGTGTGCATGTAAACGATTGTGTGAGTAACCTGAGAAATAGTAAAAACATCTCCTAGCTCTCGCTACTCAAGTTCGTTTCGTGAAATGCAATTTCCATTAATGAGCTTAGAACAGTAAATCGATTATCAAACAACGAAATTAAAAACCACAAAGGTTTACTAACCGCTTCCTCGCGCCAACGACTTGCGTACGTTAAGTGAAGGTAACAGGACATGGCATGCGTGTAAAGGGAAACAGTCCATTGACAGATAAAATTATGGAATGCAACACATTTCAGCCTTCAAACACGCAAACAACTTGATTTTTCTGAATCCCATACTTTCCATAAAAATACTTGAAAAAAGGGGAAGGAAGGTACATTACTCGAACCCAAACAGCAAAAACCCAATTTTTAGAAGAAATGAAATCATGTTTAAACCAATCCTATGTCATTCGCTAAAAGGCGGCACTGGAGAAAGCAACAAGGAAACGCACATGCTAATAACGTTTTATTATAAAGAAACTCATCCAAAAATAGTAGCTCATTTTTGGTTTGGAATGTATGTGGAGCATTGAATGTAAGAATTTAAACAAAGTAGACAATTGCAAATTTAGCACAAATGAAACATAAGAGTACGAAACCGTTAGGCAATAAAGCTTATAAAAACATTCCATATCCAGTTATTAAGTGGAGTAATTTAATGGCTGAGGTGAGAAGGTAGGGATAAATGGAGGCCGGGTAGTCTCACCTTTGTTGACTCCCTTGACGAAGAGGAGACGAGCAGACATGACAATAGAGTCCATGAGGGCAAAGAGTACAGCATAGCGGGTAGAGGTGGGAAGGTTACGCTGGTAAAGCGGTCCCGGCAGGCCCACGAAGATACCACCATCAGTGAGGGTGGTGTTGGTGTTGACAAAAGTTAGAGCCTTCTCGCCCTCACACGAGCGCGTCCTCCTCTTTCGAGATATTTTACGGAGGCCCAGGGAGGAGGGCACAAAGAAGGGCGACGTCTCCATAGCCATATCAAAAGAGCCTATAAAAGTAAGTGATTCAAACAATACTGCTAGGTAAAGGTTGTTTTTGAAAACAAGGGAATATGAGTGCTACACTAATTGAAAGACGTTCATAAATGACATTCGAATCACACTGGAATTCTTAATCTCCAACCACAGAAGCGGGTGCTGCTGTGGCGGTACCTTATGTAGCAGTAAGTGCCGAGTGTGTCCCGTCACTACTGGTGATAACTAAGGCAGATATCGTATGTCAGTTCACACACAGCCAATCAAAATAGTAGGCAACACATCCATAAAACAGCGTGTCATGATGAAGCTCTTTGTGAACCAAGAAGTAAAACCTACGGCTGTCCTTAGAGGACCTGAATCACAATGGGGTAATTGGCCGTCCAAACATAGTGCGACGCTGTGGTGTAAATTCCTACAATGCAGGCGTGTGTCTGTCGATGACGAACCCAACCCTGATGGTTCCCAGCCTGACATCCACGGCGGTTGTTGCCATGATCATTCAACGCACAAAACACCTTATCCTGAATAATCAATTCATAAAGCGTCTTGAAAGTACACAAATGACAAAGAATTTGCAATTTAGAGGAAACTAGCACACAGCGGATACAAAGGAGGCTTTCCACATAAGCTCAAGACGCTCACCACACTACGTTTACACTATGGCAACCCGGCTAGGAGATATAGGCAGCTGGATCCTTGAGAGTTAGTATTTTAGAACTGATGGCGAGTCTATCAGAGTGTCCCATAATGGACTGGCAGTCGTGGCAAAGCTATGTAGACCGAAGCTATCGGTTAAAGGCTGAAACAAGCGCATAAATGTAGCGGGGGACTGTCAAAAATGAATGCCGTTCCCTCTCTCCAAAGGTTGTTCTTAGTTGTCTTTATTAGCTTAGACGTCCTAATGGTATTTTGACCCTCCTCTCAGTTTATTATCTGAGTCACTTTCCAACTGCTGGATCGTGGGAATACACCACAGCGATTCTCCGAAAGGCAGCAAAAATGCGAAATTTTAAACCCACTTTATTCTGAGTAAAATCCATGTGAAGGCTGAAAACATCTGCTAGCTACAGCATAGACAAGGTGCTTTTGAGGCACATTTCCTAAAATTCTGTATAGTCAAAACAATCGTTTTTATTTGCCATATTTTTGTACATGCCATCTCATAAAATGGCAAAATCTACAAGTGTACTATGATTTGACCTTTCGAACCTGCAATAAGCGATCTTCAATTACACTTACATCCTTCCATGGACAGTAGCGGATGTGCAAAGACTTAAATTACACCTAGTGGATAGATTTAAGTATACAATACAGTTTTCACCCTTTTCATGTTTGTGGAAGTTCCTGCTTTCATCAATAGGGGTTTCGTGGGTCGAGACTCACGGATTGGCAGTGCATGAGTACTTAAATGTGGTCTGACCCACATTAAACTGCCTCGGAGTGCAAGCAGTTCTACCTCGTTAATCTGACCTCCGTGGCAGGCAAAGAAAACTGGTGACTACAATCGCGATGAGAACATGCGCGCCTCTGCTTCTTCAGTGTCAAGCGGATAGATTAAGACGGCACAAATCGGTATTTGTCGAGCAGTAAGTGAAGTGCTAAAACAGTCGTCACAGCAGAATTTCGGAAAAATGCTGGGTGCGTGTCAGAACACGGTGAAAATCACTAGCAGAAAAGTGAAGATTTTTAGGAACCGTGCAAACAGTGACTTGCCAGAGTGTGATGTTTGTAATGGAAGGTTATAAAGTGGAATAGGCACAAAACGATTTCCAAAAACCTACCTGAAGTAGTCCCGAGTATCTGTTCTAATTCCGTATACGATTGGAAATATCCTAAAAGTAAAATCAAGCGATTAAAGAAACACTAAATTAAGGTAACAATAGGACACAATAGTTAAAAAAGAAAAACAATTTAGTGGCATAAGGTTTTGCTGTTGAGAGAGGATCTAAAAGCGGCATTTATACCAATGGTCCCAATGAAGCACACCAAAATTCATCACTCAAGGTCCACAACATAGATGGGTACTGAACCGGTGTTTCTGGGACTTTGAACACCAGCGTCAAGCATTTGCCTCCCCAAGAATTTTGTGGGCATTGTGCAATCAAACAACTTAATGTAGAAGAACCAAAAACGGGTTTTATTAGAAAAAATAATGCTGAATACTGGTACCTCAGATAGAATCAACGGCATAATTTGTCCATTCCGTGTGTCATGGCGACAAGAAACAGTTGTAGTTGATACAATAATTCATCACCATCTTATCCAAAGGTTCTCACGCCTTCAATTCAAGTGAGATTAACTATATGAAGAGTTTGAAAGGCTCTTCCATCAACCAAAACGCTGTGTGGTGTACCAAGCTCATTTTATTGCCTTAAGATCTACACTCACGTTCATCAACTTAAATATACCGGTGTTGGAAATAATGCAATTTATAGAAGGGGGAATAGACGTTATACAACATACCGGCTTCTTTTAGTTTGATCAACGAGCTGCCCGCATCGGAGTTGAAGCCTTCGATCAAATAAGTGACGTTTTTCAGCTCCGTGTCGGGTACGACCTCACAACTGAGGGAGCTATCAGTCCTCGCAGATTGGGCCCATCCAACGACTGGATAAAATCCTACCATACAGAAGTTACTGTGATTTGGCGTTCAGCAAGTTGCACTCAATCAGGAACTTTGAGACATATTTTTGATAGGTGAAAACTTGTGGTACAAGATGGCAATTTTGAGTAACCAAATCAACGTCTCTAACATCTACCCTCACGTAGAAATGTCATGACTTCAAGGCCGTGCTTTTGTGTAAACATCTCGAGTATGGCATCAAATTTCTTGATACTTGCAAGAACAGTCGGGTATGACGGCAGAGGCTTTCCACGACCTGGAAAAGCTATGTTGGAAAAGAAACGATATTCTCACTGCAAGACGAATCTTTGAATAAAACACTTCAGAAATGACCTTTGCTACTAGTATAGACACAGCGCGTATGTCTGTAGAGTCAGTAGCATGGGGCTGTGAATACAATGGGTTCCTGGAGTGATGCATTCACACCGCCATAACTAGACCTTGGGTACTACAATTGTATCCGTACTTTAGAACTCTTCCATCAACAGCTTTTCGCCACCAACAGAGTGATATTTTCGATGTCACAGTCAGTGTTTTGGCGGCATATTGAGACTTGGCCTAAGTGAAAGCCTCTTCAAACTGAGTCTGAAAGAAAAGTCCTAATGTAAACAAAAGCCAAAGCCTTCTTGAACGAAGCGCATGTGAACAACTCCATTAACCTAAATTCACAACAAAAAATTCTCGTTTGGTAACGTCTGTATTGCTTAGCTAGTAGTAAACGCGTGCATACGAAGGCTCACTACCTCATCAAAAACGGATTGGTATTGTGCAATCCATTATATGATTCAGCAACAGATTTTGTCCTGTTAGTAAGGTGCCAGCAAACTGGTTTACTTAATTAACATGACCTTCTTGAGTCATAACCATGCAGAGGTACTTGCCGGTATTTGGAGGGATCACGCGGGAACCAATGTTGACATTGAGGAAGGCGCCAGTTCCGAGGGTGAGTTTTGCATCACCCACGCTTAGACAGCCTTCGCCCAGCATAGCGGCCTGTGAGTCACCGATGATCGCGGTCACCCTGACCCTCCGCCTCTTCGCCGCTCCGCCCAAATCTCCCAAGGGACCGCAATGAATCTCACCGAAGAAAGTGCTATGCGGAGAAAAATAGGCATCAATGAGGTTCTTGCGCTCAGCACGTTCCAGCAATGACCACACGATCAGAATTTCAAATCAGCCGTTGAACACTTAATAAGCTTCGAGGTGGCTTTGGAACTAAGTTTCTAGCTGGATGAAGACTGTCCAAGTTTTTGGTATAACAAAGCAAATTCTTAACAGTCGTGCACTTTTGAAGGCTGTAAATTCAACATAATTATTGCACCAAAGCAAATAAAGTGGTTCAACAGCACTTACTCTGGAAGGTAGTGAATCGAACTGTTTTGTTAACCGTTTGCGATAGGCGAAGCAGGCAACCATTCAAATTCAGTTAAATACCTATGCCACAGCACTTAGGTTCGTGTTAGAACCCTATCTCAACCTCATTAAAAAGTCCCCAACTAAAGCTCATCATGGTAACAGGGAATAATAAAGCTGTTGCTTTTAGCACATATAAGCACACTGCTATAAGGACAAATGGGATAAAATATGAATGCAAACAAATTTGACAAGTGGTAGGGAACTTACCTTGTGGGACATATTGCAGGAAAGCTTTTTGGAGATATTTTCAGAAAATTCAAAATGATTGGACTAAGGCCAGGCTGAAAGTTCAAGAAATGATTCAAAAGTTGATAAGTAGTATATGGTGCAAACTGCCGAAATGTGGCAGCAGGGAATCCGTGTTTAAGGTGGATATAAACATTCTACGTATTGTAAAAAGGCATCACGATTAAGTGATTTAAAAAGCTGTCTCTAACCCTTAATTTTATAAATCGTCAAACCTTTTAAAACGGTATGGTGCTTGCCAAGTGTCATTAGTTAAACAGACACGCAGTACTGGAGACCAACCACCTTAAAAGAGGCTACTCCTCGTTCACACTCATATACACCAGTTCGCTGGAATACAATCCGCCAACTACCCTATCCCCGACTGGTAGAAAAGAAGGCCCAAATGAAACAACGACGATATGTGACTGGCCACAGGCGCAGTGCTTTCTATTTTTTCCTTTTGAAGTTTCATTACGAACAAAAAAGTAAACAGGCTTCCAATTCCATATTTACCTAATTGACCCTGGATGTATACATGGGAAGAAGCCAAAAATTTTTAGTCAAAACTGAATGAAAAATAAATAAATAAAAGGGCGGCCATGCTGAATAGATATGCAATAAACCTTAAAGTAAATGTTGTCCAAATTCGCAGTATTTGTGTGAGGTATCAAGACATCCTTAATTAAGTGGCACCAAAATGGCTTCGGTAATACGCGACTACATGAGTAACAGTTGGAGGTCGAACGAAAATTTTAAAGTGGAGAGCAAAGACTCACGATGGAGGGATCGAAGGCGCCGGTGGCACTGGTGCAGCTAACGTCCGTGCACCAGGCCCTCCCCCCAGTTAGCCGCCACAGCAACCAGGTCTCCAAACACCCGTAGACGAACTCGCCATCGCGGCACTTCTCGTAAAGCTGAAGACAAAACAAGTAGCGAGGCAAAAACTTTAGTGGCTAAGAGAACGTGTTCAGAGAAGAGCACAATGTACTGGTTATAAGTAAGCGTGGTAAGGGACATGAGGTCAGGTATTTGAAGTTCACATACGCACCAGGTAGACATGCATGTTTTCGCATGCCATATAGGCAACGCTCTTATGTCTACTCTGCAAAATTGTATACCCCTGCATCATCAACTAGCACCTCCTATAAAGTACTTAAGAAAGTACCTTTGCAGCATTTCGAACAAATCAAATGTGCGGCAGTCAAGCCAAAAAGGCCATTTGTGAATTCAATATGCATTTTCAGACGCAATCTGTCAATTGCGACTGAGACCCTCAACTGGACTCAGCTACTAAATATACTTATTGCTGACGCCCGAATGGCACAGTGTTCACAGAGTCTCCTTTTTCATACTGAACCATGATTCTAGACCATTCGGAATACGTGGTAGGTACAAGGATGTGAAGAATTGCCGAAAGTTAATGAGATCGTTTCTTGCAACTCAGTCAATATTCATAACTCAAAGGTGAGATGAGATAAAACAATCCAGCCATTCTAACTCAATGTCACATGCACAGCATTCCAGGAGACTATGACTACCAGTAATGTACACCCATCGTTTCGGCTCCACGTAGAGGACAGGCGGCATGAGCGATACAGGTTTCCGGCCTCTAGCCGTCACCATGACTGCCTTACTGTGGCAGCTGCTTTGCTGATCGTGCAGTCATATTATCGACTTGGAGGGATACAAATAAGATGAATACGGACAGAGGGATACAGGACTCTGATGGCGCAGACAAAACAGGACCTCCAGCACAGTGGACGCTGGTGGTACTAGACGTATCAAAACATTAAGCATCCCCAAACGAATCGTGTCAGCTATATGCACGAAAACCATTCTAAACCGCCCAAGTAATTTGGATGCCGATTACTGTGGGGTGTAGCTGAATAACTACTATGAGTCTGTGATAAATGATTCCTATACTCACTGACGGGCGGATTTTCTTATGACCTCTCAGGAAGCTAAGTTCATCCAGTGGCCTATAATAAAAGCATATGGCTGCGAAGGTGTACCAGCTGTTAGTAAATTATAACGTCTCTCACTTTGCTGTTGAAACATTTAAGGGATAAATAAAAAACTCCAATGTCGCTAGTTGTTTGTGAATCGATGATCTAGGGGAAGATTTCACACCTACTTTGAAAGGCGTATAAAACTCCCCACCACTAATTCTCTCATTTCCGGCGTTGTATTAGCACTCAATAATTCCGAAAAGCATTCTCGCAAAAGATTCAAATATTTGCGTTCTTGACTATTTGTCACGCAAAGATTTGTCCTAGTACGTTTAGTGGTTCCGTCGATATCCCGGAAGGTTTGCTCTATTGGCTATCATACTGTTCTATCTTACTATTTAACGACTAGAAAAGTTCAAAGCCTTACGGGAATATAGGAGGTCGGTAGGAGCACGCTTTATCAGAAAAAGAGGTTATTAGTACCCTTTAACTCCAACTAAGGACAAATAAGACGATAAAGACTACATTTTCTCATAAAAGATGGGATCTTATTTACTTACCATTGGGTCCTCATCAAACATATGTGCGAGACGAGTGACGGCGAAAATGCAAGTAAGTTTGTAGTGTGATATCATCTTAAATTTGGCGTTCGGAACCACCTTATACAGCATCTTTCCGCTCCTGTTTAGAGCCTTCAAAAGAGAGAAATAGGGTTAGCAAGTAAGATAATAAACAACTGGACACTTTGAGAGGCGCATCAAAAAGACAAAAACACCCACTTACTTTAATAAACTGCGAATTATTTCGGTTGGAAGCATATGCGGAGGCACTAATTTCCTGCCACGTACAAAGGCGTGTAACAGGCACTGATGTTTCCCTACAAAGTATTGGTATGATAAGAACATTACCTATTCCATATTAGGAATGTATTTCTCTGCACCGACAAACCTAGACAATAAACATCGGATGTACGGATTCCGGATCCTAGTTATCATCATTAATATTTGTGATAGAAAGTTACGTGTAATGACTGATTGCAGCAAATTGCATAAAACACTCCAACAAGCCTCTGGGTCAGATGTATTGCTGGGTAATATCGCCTCTGCAAGCTATTTAAAACGGATTTATCAAATAAATACATAAATTACGTTTACACATTTATCATTATAGATTCGAGCACAGGCATGAGTGCTGCCAAAATCCACTGCGGCAATAAGATTGCGCAAAGGACGCCTTTCAGAGGCCATGATCTAAGTGATGAAGAAAGCAAACATACCAGATCGGCAGAAAATATAGTATCTGATCAGAACACCTTACTGAGATGAGAATTTACGCCGAACCAGTGATGATCGAATTGCCAGCTAGGTTTATATTACTTCGACAAAAAATTAGTAATCTCACGCCAATTACTGTAAGATGGATTAGGACCTAGTGCTGTTATACAGCGGTGCATTTAAAAAGTGACGGTGATGATAGTCTGGAAAATGCATACATATAAGCAGATCAGCGCACCAACCATCGTTAGACTCAAGGCTAGTTTCTAGCACAGGAGACATAACAAACTATTGATTATAAACAAAATTTTGGAACCTATGCAACCAAAAAGAATTTACGTTTTCCCTGGCAATAAATACCCGAGTAGATTTCGAAACGCGGCACCTGGCAAGTCAACCTTCAATGGCACGCAGTGGTCTATACAAATAAATACTTACTCTCTTTAAATAATGCATATTAGATTACTTATTACCTAGTTACGACCCAAAGTTGCATTTTAAAATTTAATAGCTTGCAGTAAAGGTAAGTAAAAGGTGGTAAACATTATATTACTTGTTGGTCAATTTTAATGCAGTGAGTAATCCCGCTCAATTACTGCTCACACATAAACATAATGGAATGGTCTGACAGTATTCACCTACGGTGAAACTAATGCGGCCACTGTTTGTTATTCCATTAATCATTTGGTTTCGTAATAATCCCGTAGTTTTCCTCTTCTACTTCTGCCTTTAGACTCTTGGTTCGAGAAGAGTAAGTAGGGATGAGCATTTGTACCTGCTCAGTATGGAGACAGAAGACTGCCAATGTTTATGAAAAAGCTAGACTTGTTTGGCTTAGCTACGAGATTGAATAAACCGATTGTCAGGTGCCGAAATAACATATTTGCTCGAAAGTGTGCTACAATTGCTTCCACGTACAGGATAAGGTTTTGACTAAATTATAAAATCTTCCTTGCCTCAAGTCTCTTTTAAAGTTGTAGTGGGCCAAAGTAGCAGAGAAGGTGTTACCAAAGTATTGAAAAACTAAGAGTCTATGTAGCGGAGTAAAGGTTCAATCTAGGAGGCCTGGGGTGTCGACGTATCCAAACACAGGATTAATAAGTTATCAAGTCACTACAATCTTTATTGCCGGATAATTTTACTTCATTAGTTCAAAATGTCCAGTCATTATTTTGGGAAAATTTTGCCTCATTCAAGTGAGAAAAGTGTTGATTATTTAAGTCACTTTACTGAAGCGGGTTCAGCGTAATTCTATTCTACATTTGGTTTAGTACCCTTAGAACGAAAAGCATGCTGAAGATAATAATTTTATTTGGTCAATGATACAGGGTTCAGGGCTTTTCTAGGCTTAAAGGGGATCGAATTCAGATACCTCTCCTAGGATCAAAGTCGTCCCTTCCGTCATGTGCTTGACATAAAATAACCCCTGCTCACCTAAAATATGCCTTCAAACTAACACATATTGCATTACATTTCGTGATTATATTAACAATTAGGATCTCTATATGACTCGCCCAGGGGCCTTCTCAAAAAAACATTCTAGCTTTTCAGATGTACTGAAATACTTGAAAAAAATAAGTATTATAGGCACGACCCAGCACCACAAGTACCAAGTGAGATTTGTAGTCTTTTCCGAAGGGCAGATTAATTATGTAACACTCTATTACATCCTCTGCACCATTTCGACTACAGAATGAGGGATCGGTGTGAACACGTGTGTATTCTATCAAATCTGAGTTTGAATGAGCATAGGGCTTACTTGTGCAAGATTTAGTTATGAATCTCCTTGGGACTTCAATGAAGACGATAGTGCGTATAATACTAGTACGGAATATGCATCTTCGACGAACTGATCTCTTAATAGCCCTTGAAACCAAAATGTAGTCAGTGCTGCAAGGAGAAATGTCCAAGAACTAACCGCACCAGTCTTTAAATTTGCACGCAACTGTGCAGATAATTGCTTAACAGCAACGACGCCGATCCCTCTTGGCAGCTCTACTGGAACTAGAGTTGCGTCCTGTTTGGGAACTGTATTGGAGGCCGAAGGAATTTGTTGACCATCATGCATATCCGAGCACTACTTGTACGAGCACTGGCCCAAAAGCAGTCATTTAATAAAAGATCGGTTTTTGCTTCCATTCCTTTCGGCAACTTTGTTTTCACGTCATTGCTGCCCGGTCGTATCTGTCTATCCAGGTTTTACCCATAGCTGAGAGGTGGAAGAGGTATTGCGTCTTTACTTCATTGACATCTTCATACAGATGTTGTAGACGGCCTCATGAAAAAAACTTTTCCAGATGGATTATGACCATGACTAGTGTCGCTTTAGTTGGCAATAGTATTCCTGCAAAACATGAGACATGGGTAGTTGTCAAAGTTGAGCAGCATATGCTCTTCTTCCATCACGTTAGTTTTCAGCATTTAATAATTGGAATGAGGCTAGTTCTCCCTTAGGATCGAAATCACTTTCCGATGCTACCAATGCAGAGCCCGAGATTTCCCTGAAGACGAAAGAAGGAACGACACTAGGGCAGAATGTGTAACATCGATGTGCTGAAGGGCTAGGGGGCTACTGGGATGGTTCGGAGGCTATGCAACCCTGAGGAAGTTTTAGAGGTGAAGACTTAAGTGTTTGAGAAATCAAAATGAAAGTTAAACTAATAAGCAAAGTATTGCAAGCTGTGCTAGATTCAAATAAGAAAGCCCTCTTTAAGAACTGAAGATGAAAGAAGCCATAATGTTCGGACGGCATATGTATTGTCGGCATCAGTATGGCTTGTGGCTGGCGGCATAGTTTGGAGGCCAGCCCATCGGAAGAAGGTACAACGGCGAAGCACCTCAGTGGCACCCTTATCAAAATTGCAAGTTAAACAAACAGCCTACGCATTACGTAGTGCCCATCCTCTTTTGAGCGTCGTCCCCAGTACTCCCATTGGTCAACCTCCCGCGGCGGCCGTCAGAGCGTAATCGGTGGTGTAATGGAAACACCTACAAGCCACTAATGCCATCATATGTCCATGCAAATGAGAGGACATCTGACCCCAATGTAAATTTTCTCTTGGAAATTCTACTGCGTCTGGAGTTTCAGCCTGTACGAGAACTGGATTCGGGGACGAAGGAATGCGCTGGCCATCACGCATGGCCAACGCTAGTTGCAGGGTCACTGGCCCAAAAGCAGTCGTATAACACAGAAATGGGACGTGAGGGTAGAGCTTCGTATCTTTTTCTTCTTGTTACATTTTTTCCACTTCAGTGCTGTCCATTCATTTCTTTCCATCTAAATTCCATCCAGCTACTACAGAAGTGAAGGAGGCTTCACGTGTTCACTTCATTGACGTCTTCATACAGGTGCGGTAGCCAGTTCCGTACCAAACTTTTCCTGATAGTTCACGACTAGTGTCGCTGCAGTTATTAATAGCTTTCCTGCAGGCTACAAGTCTTACGTAGTTGCCGAAGATAGACGTCATTTTCAGCCCTTCTGTTAGGAGTCGTCACCGATTCTCCCATTTGCAGCAATACGCACTTCTTTCACCTCACCAATATTGATACTCAGAAACAGAAATCAGGATAGCTGTCCTTTAAGATTGAGTTCTTTTTTCGCAGCCCTCAATTTAGCGCTCCGTGACTTCGCTGAAGATGTAAGAAGACATAATACTTGGGCAGCATGAATACGTTCAACATACAGCAGGCCTTGGCGAAGATACACTGGCGGAGCGACTACGTGGTCCCGTCACCAAAAGATACTGTTAAATTCAGAATTAAAGTGAGCAGGTAAAAGGGTCTACTTCCTCAACATACTATAAGGTTTAGTCGTCAATCAAATGTGAGTCGGTTTAAGTTGCTGCATTTTTTTAAACGGTTGATCATCTACTCGGCATACCACTTTTCGCAGAGCCATAATGTAAGTAGTAACAGTGACAATCAACCTGTCCATGTCTGCTCTTCTTATGGATTATAATTCACAGCGTTGGTAGGAGTTCCGAAATTTTGTCAATTGAAAAGGTGAATCGCGCTGTTTCCCAACTACCCCAATGGCCAAGTTGTTACTGGACCGTTTCGATAGCCGATAAACGGTGATGGTTCTTCGTGGGGATTCGTTAATTCACATGAGTCAAAGCATGATGTTGCAGTGCTTTGATAGTTTGTTTAAAACTGAGTTTGATTGTGCATGCAGTTAGGTCTCTGCTACTTGTACTTCCGCTCGGCGCCATGGCCTTTGGGCCATGCCAGTAGCCACTCAGGCCGTCTGAACGCTAGTAATATCTGTCCTGCCTTGCCATTGTGACTTCGGGGAGGATCCAGAGCTCTACAATGTAATACTTGGAGCTTAAAAAGTCTGCTGTTGATTTGGTCTAATAAGGAAAAATCACGCTCTCTTTTTGCGTAAACATTCCCCAATTATATTTTTACCCTTTTTTGTCTGAAAATGGCTTACATTCCAAAAGTACCATTGTACAGCCTGATACACAAGAATTCAGCTTAAATGTTTGGCACAGTCCTTTGCAAAGGGGAGTACCACTGAGAGAGTGGAATGTGTTGAATTTTATTGAAAATCCCCGACCCTTAGGGCGTGCCGATTTATGTGTCATGGTTCGATGTGCATGGCTTAATGTTGCTCCAGTCATTACATGTCATTACGATATGGTGCTGAAAATAGCTGGGGAAAATGACCACCCTTTTTGCATCATCAATGTTGGAACAGAAATGGCAACCGATAGCGCGATCAGTAACAATTGGAAAGATGATAATGGTTTCACAAAGAAACTAAGAGTAAATGATTAATGGGTCCATATGTTGCAGGGACCTTTTGTGAGCCACTTTATCAAAGTGGTTCCAAGTACAGTAGCCAGCCTCAGGTAAAGTCTCACTGCGATTGATAGGCTAGAAAAATCTGATTTCTAGTGAAGGGTTGACGCGACGCTTTTGGTAAAAAAAAATTCTGGTTAATGCAGTAGTGTAAAAAGAATCGTTTCAACGAAGATCACAGATTGCTGCAGCGTTCGCAGCAGCGGTGCTTTTTTACGAGACAACTCGGCCTTGCTCGGCCTTGACAAAATGATGGCGTCCACCTGACACACACAATAAATCAACAATACTGAAAACTGACTTAACTATTTACACCCACAATAGGGAGTAGGACGTACTTGATTTTGCGATTCCGCAAGAATCGGTGCGTGTAAACAGACTAGATATGATGTCAAATGAACAGCTCATCAGGTACACTGTAAAGGGTTAGGAAACAAAGCCCCAAGCAACCTAACTCATACACTGAGCGAAGTAATAGCTGAACCAAAGTGGGACAAAAGATCACTGATGTACACTCAGCGCCAACTGGCACTCACGCCTGGTGTCGAGAGTTAAAAGCCAACAACACCCGAAATCGTCCATGACGGTATACACGGTGTTAGAGCCGAGTATAGGCTATGAAATAAGCACACATCTCTAATTCAGCGAGGCTTCTCGCTTTGGACTAAAGGCCAGGTGTGATGTAGCAAAAGGTTTACGCCGAGGCCTTGGTGAGGTCATGATCGATCTTCTTCAAACTATTTTCGATGACACCAACCTCAGAAATAAGTCGGTGCGCGATCCTTCTCACCGCCCTATAATTCCATCGCACGATTCATTGTGGTCCAACCGATTCCAGCTTTGGCATTCGTCCACATGGTGCACAATCTCCCGTTAGAAACCCAAATTTTCTTAACAATTTCCATGCAACATGAAAACGTGGTAATCACGAAAACAGTAATGGGTTCATTGTAAACTTAGTCATCTGTTCACGAAAGGCCAGAAGATTTCCGTATCAATTGATCACTGAAATTCTACAAGATCGTTGATAACCCTTAACATGTACGTTTATTAGCCCTGTATACACTAATCCATCGAAGTACAAAACACACAATACAGACATTTTAAAGGCACATAGTGGATTGTCAAACCGTTGAGTAACACCTTATGCCATTCATGATGATTTGTCAGCGCTTTTGCCAAGATTTGATCCCCTTGACGAGGACAGTTAAGGGGACGGCTCCCATCAACGGAACGAAGAAGCAGCTGATCACGTTTGCAGCAGTCACAGGTACTGAAAGTAGAGCATATTGAATGCACGAGAAAGCGCCCGCCAGCGATCCACTGATGCCGTACAGTGTGCCAAATTGCTCAATCGGAAAAGCGGTCATGATGAAGGAGCTAATGGTGCTAAAGAGGAAGCCGCGCATCACCACCAGAATGAAATAGTTAACGTAGAACATCCCCTCATATGGAAGAAATACAAAAGCACTAAGAAACGTTGCCGCTGTGGTTACAACGAGCATGGGTACTGCGTGAGGACAAAGTCTTAGCCAGAAAAGAGTACTGTTGGAGCCAAGAGCCAAACACTTGGTCAGGGAGGGTCGCATGCGTGACCGAAGGTAATCAATGGTAAAGCCGCATGCCATTCCCGCAAAAATTCCACCGGCCAGAGAAAAGGAGAGGACCTGCGCCAAATGCTGTCGGGTCACCGGTTGATCTGGGAACTGGACTTCTATCAGAACACCAAACTGTGTCAGAAAGAAGGTGAAACGAACCATTGCAAAGGAGAAGAAACAAGTGATAAGAATGAAAGGAAGGGAGCGCAGGGAAGCTAAGACTGTAGGATAGTAGCCGCGGATTATGTCAGATATTTGTTCTTCTTGTGTAGATAGCTTCGTAAGTGGATCGTTCTTATTTTCCTCACCGGCATCATTAAACTGAAAAAGAGCAGATAATCAGGAATATTGTAAACCTAAATGATGAACTTTTTAATATTGTTATACGGCAATGAAAGTAAATCAAATAACTACCAAGTAACTCCGTCAATCGCATTTAATCGTAATGAGTTTTTCGCAAAAAGCATTTTAGTCCATTAATGCACGAAGTGGTCAGAGCTACGAAAATATTGACCTGGTGGAAGATTTGTTGTCAAAACAAATAACACCACCTAAATCAGAAGTCAGGTTATACTTATCAATAACTTAATAATGCCTTGCACCACAATATCATGAGTGTTGCATTTTGAAGTGTCGGTCGCGTAAGTCTAGTCTAAATTTGCTAGAATTTGCTAATTTTTCTGAATAATGTTGGAATGAGACCCGAGAAAGGAACACCACTTATCGTGTTCAAAAAAAAACATTCTCATCTCGCGTAAACAAAATTTTAGATGTCAGCAAATTCATTCAGATGAACAAATGTAAACGAGTAACAAATGTTTTACAAAAAGTATCATCGATATAAACATCTGACCTAGTAACAGATCATTAATTCAGCGTGGAAATGATGGAAAATACTTAAGGTCTGTGAAAAATTGCAATTCAATTAAGCTTACAGTTATTGAAATATCTGATTATCACTATACAAAATTGTGCATACATACCTCTTGTGGTCCCGAATCATTCGCTGAGAGGGGAGTGGACCTTTCGGAAAGGAGTACTGACATATCAGAGAGACGATATGTAGCAATAAAGAGGCTGCTAAAGATGTTCATTGCCAAACTCACTCCAGCAAGTAAGAAGAAAGCTAATTTATAAGAAAAACCAGCCTCGTATGCAATCGCGAAAACAGCAAACACCGATGAGGCTGCGTCATAAGAGCCAGTTATGAATGCAAGGACAAAAACCGAAGTTTTTGTGAAGAGTTTTGAGAAGGAAAGATTGCAGATGAGACCGGCCATTCCACCAATGCAGACTAACGAACCTGCAGGAAAGATTAGCCATGAATTCGTAGCGCTGGTGACTGCAAAAAGAGCCGCTCCAATAGAGAATAGTATAGATGCACTTAATTTCACAATGCGAAGGCCCACGCGGTCCACGAGAAAGCCGACAATGAAGAGCATGACCATTTGAACAACCATGTAAGTGATAAAGGCATAACCGTATATTGTCGTCTGCTCACTGCAACCGGCTGTTTTATTAGCACTTTTGTCACAAAGATAGCTAAAAATTCCTTCCTTTTGAAGAACAGGAGTAAGGACGTTAAAGCCAAAAATAATGCCTCCAAAAAAGAGCATTTCTACTGTACCAAAAATGATGGCAAGAACCTGGCGCAAACGCAGGTCCAAAACCTGATCAAGTTTTTTACCTAAAACGTGGAAGAATAAGTTAATTTAACAATATTGCAAAAATCATGTAAATGAAAAGCGAAACAAAAAACACAAGGAATTTCAAAGAAAAAATTGTAAACAGTGGTAGTTATACAAGACAAATGGTTACCTGAGCATGGCTAAAGGCTAAATATCACGTAAGCTACATTCCAACATTCAATGCTTTACATTGTCTACAAATAGCGCAATGATGCAGCAAAAGGCTTTCAAGGGCCACCGCGAACTTTTCAATTTAACTTTCTAAACTAAACTTTAACCAAGCCGTATTTTGTGCAGAAAAGTGTAAATCCCTCTTTGCAGCATGCACATTGACCTTAAAGCAACTGGATTTTAAAAACTACTGTAAGCACTATTTATAAAGCATAAGTTTTATTTAAAAAGGTGGTAGCGTAAATATATATAACCAAGGGAAGTCAAAAAGACAAACGCAAAACTGTGACAATAATCACTTCGTGATTCAGACTATCATCTTGTAATTTTGCGTTTCACCAACAATAAGCTTTATCTATCGTTGAATCGCTAATAAAAAAATACAAGAGGTACGTTTGAGGTGGACATTCATAATAGTCAAAAACCACACACAATGAAAAATAGTAGAATATTGAACCCGTTCTACGACATGACTCTCAAAAAGCCATGCAGTTACTAAGAATTACACATCGGCAATGGGTCAACAGCTCCGCATTTTAAGTTCACATACATGTTACGCCACTTAAATCAGGTATTAGAAACCCTCCAAACAAGAGAGCAATTTTCGTGCTTTAAAATAAAAGGTGGATCACATAAAAACAACCAGAACCTTTAAATAAAAAAAGAGCAAGTATAGGGACTTAAAGCCAATAATGGAGACCTACAAAAATCCATTTCCCGCCGCGAGGCACAAGAAAGGCGTTGCAACGTCAATAAATTGTGACCTAAGAAGAGCAATTGTCGCCAGCAATTAAAACAAAACTCCTTAACGCATTTCACTGAATTTTTTGTTTTTCACTTAAATCTAGCGCAAAAGTAGCTTGCTTTATTTATTTTTTTTAATTTTTTGGATAAAACGGGCAAAACTACAAAGGTTATACACATCAAATATTACACGGTGATCGAAGATTTGAACTTTCGACTCAAAAGTTAGGTTATTCTTAGCACACTGATTGATAAACACATGAAAAAATTAAGTTTTTTAAGTAGCAACAAGTCATGGTAGTGCAGGAGATTCCTAAACGCTAGAAATTTATTGGTATAATAGGGGGCGTGCCATCGAGGAAAACAACATCCTACTCTGTCTAAAATGATCGCATTGGTATGCGTACATTTAACAGCCCATTAAATAGCCACTACGTGGTTCATCAATTAGAAGTTAGACCTATTTTCTACAAATAAGTTATTTTGAGGCTTCCAGATCTCCTCCTCCCTGCTCTTCATACTCTTAGAACAACCAGTTTGATTTGGATTTGTCATATTTACTAAGTAAATTTGATGAGGACAGCTGGCACAAGTTTGGGAATGTTTGTACACTGAACCTTTCTCCTGGTTGTAGGCCGCTCACCGCTCCTTAGTCACGATGTTCAGTGCGTATCCCCGCCTCCTCTCTGACAGGAAGATTAAAACGACACAAGTATTACGCAATTGCAGTAGTGGGTTCCGGGCTTCTCCCTCCTAGTTTTGGTTCCTTAACTTTAGTACAAGAAGCCGCAGTCAAGGTGAATATCTTTTATTTAAGAAATACGGGAAGAGTTTGCTGGTTGTCACAAATTAAATAGGATCGGTGTCTGCTTCCATTTCGGGGTGGGTAATGTCTGCTCTGTTACGAAGCTGTTGTGATTTTGAGATCATTTCTATAAAAGGTGTTTTTAGTTAAACAAGTACCACAATATGCTAGTCGAATCGTGCGGGACTGAAAATTCGCATGAGTTTGAATATGAGATTTGTTTAAATATGACCCATAATAATCCAGTAATCTTCAACCTCGAGCTTTCAGTAATTTGACAAACAACAAATCCAAAATCGCTGAACTATGCTAGGGTCGAAATACATCAAAGCTAGCTTTACGGCCTGCCTTCATGTTTATGAGCGGCTAGGGTCTACTTAGTTTATAATCATCTTTGAAATTGTGCAAATCTTGACTCACTTTTGATTTTGATTATTGAGGTGCTAGTTAATTATTTTATAACCGTTCACATAAAATCCAAGAAGCCATTTATTATGGTGCATGTCTTCCCAGTTTCAGCTATATTTTCCACCTTTGTTAACGTACATTTGATTAATCTTGTAGAATATAGAAGTAGAACCAAAAATGCTCTCTTGAAAAACCGTGTTAGGGGTTGCCAATGAAACAGTACCAGCATGTTCAAGGAGGGAGTACTGCTCATGGGAGTCGAAGCCGATATTACCCTTGGGAGTTCTACGGCGGAAAGTACTGCAGTACATTGGTTGGCTAACTTTCGCTTTTGGTAAGGGGCGACTTTGTGGCTTGGCCATTGTACCTTCATCAGGCGGCCTAAAGGGCCTTCTGTATGCTATATATATTCTACCCGAGCAGTGTATCTTCTTTCGTCTTCTGGGTAGTCTCGGGGCGCTACACTACAAGTTCACTCAAGCTAAGGCAAATGGCGGCACCTTTGGTCTTGTTTCAGAGTGATGGAAAGACCGTCGTTGAAGTGGGTGCATTGGCGACCATTAGGTAAATAATAATGTGGTAGTCACAATTAATTGTGTAAATTGCAAATAAAATAATGGTTCAAAAAAAATGAAACCCTTATATTTTCAAGTGAACATTTGGTGCAGCGGAATTACAGTTACACTTCACTATCCATTTCCAACAAAACTAGCCTCAATGCCTGTTACTGTGTGACATAGCTTGTGCCTAGGTCATCACTACAGAAGTGACCTGTTCCAGGAAGATGGTGCTTACCGCATAAAATCTGTCATTGTTAGGCTAGTACTTCGTGCATGAAAATGGGGTCTTAGTATTAGAGCTCAAAAGCCCCGTAGAGTTAGAAAAATGCAAATTCCTATAAAATTAATGCCGATGTCAGGTGCGCGCCTTGTTTCCACCGACTCAAGAGCACTTTTCAGGGTGCAAAGTCCACTAATTGAAAACTTGTGAATTCCAAAGTCCCGCATTCATCCCTCACCCTAGTCATCAAAATGGTTTTGGAACGCTGCAAATTTACCCAAAAGGGGTCGCAGAAGTAAAAATTTTGCAGACACGAGGTGTAGAAACTAGGAGAAAGCAAGCCTACTTTTTCACCTCCACTCAACACTGATGCCATAATTTACTTCATGGAATCTAATATTGAATCAGGGAGGGATTTCCCAAGATCCAGGTGATTTTCACCACCCAGCCACATTCGCCATGAGTTTGTTTTTAGGCGCAGTGCAACTCTATTACTTACGGGTTCACGAGCCTAGCGTGCCTTAAAAACAGCTGTTTGCTCATAAAAACTGCACTGAGTGATAGGTAACTAAGAAACTCATTTGATTGACAGCTTTCAGCTTTATTCCTGTAAACAATGCAATAAGAACGTAATAGCCTAATATTAGTGCCACCAGTTTGAACAAACGATAAGCAAGTCAGAACAATGCATAGAAAAGTAGCGTAATCAAGGAGTGCAATGGCGAAGCTATTTCAAATGCTTAACTTGAAGGCTTCAATGGTTTAGACAGGAAAACTTCGCCCAATTACGTTCATAACAAAACGACTATTCTTCACGAACCCACTCCATTGTTTTAAACTAAGACATCTGTCATGCTATTTCATTCATTTCGGGATGCCCCATAAAATAAACGTGAAGTGATAAAAACGCATGTCCAGGGATAGCGAATCATGCTGACTCCAAGTAGCCTAACTTTTTTGGCCTTCTCAAGGTGCCATTTTGGTGGTCCATAGCCTGGTTTACAAAATAGCGAAAGCCCTCATGGGCTTTTTTCAAATAAAAGCATATCTATCTATCTGACGTAGGGGAATAATGCCAAGGCAGTGTTAGGGGAAAAATTAACAAACATGAGGAAACTCCAGACACTGGCTATTGCCTCCGATAAGGCTAAAAATTTTGTCCTTTGTAAATATTTCCCTTAATGCTTACAATTTGACAATTATTGCGTTTTAGCTATTTAAGTTGCTAATTTTTTAAAGTGCACCAGCGACTGCCACCCAATGCTCTAAGGATTTGCCATTCAACGCGCTGAAGGTATGGTCGGGGAAAAAGTGGGTACAATTGGCGGTAGTTTAACACAATACATTTCATTCCACTTATAGGTGTGATTGGTAGGTGGTGAAAGCAATTAAGATCTAAAAAGTATGTATGACTAGTTTTTTTAGATATTATAGACAGACGTACGCCCCTGTTCCTTTTCTTTGCCCAATAATCTCGCGACGAGCATTAACTGACGTGTGTAAGCACGTTGGATTCTTGTTTAGCTCTTGATTTTGATAATGAGACCACTTTCGGTCTCCAGCATTGTACCTTCGCCGTGTGGGCTGGCCTCTGGGCCATGACAGAAGCTCCACTCCATACCACTACGTTGGTAGAAGTGGGAAGCGTACCCGATTTTGAAAGATATCCATCCTGGTTTCTACGACCGGGTGATAAATCCTAGAGAGAAAAAAGAAGTGCATATGCTACAGGTGGGCGAATCAGTGACAACCCCTGACGGAGAGGCTGAAAATGCCGTATTTTATGGGAGTGCTACCGACAACGGAAGCAACACTTGCCGTGAACCCTCTATAAAAGTTCGTTACAGAGCTCTCTACCGTTCCTGGATAAAGATTTTAAGTATGTGAACCCGCGATACCTTCTTCACTTCCCTACTAGGTGGATAGAACCCAGATAGATATGGTTGGACAACACTGAAGTGAGAAAAGCAGCAGTAAGGGAAAATAGGCGCAAAACCCCACCCCCATGGAAAAGGACAATTAAAATACAGAGTGGGATTGCATCGCATGCAAGTCGGAATTAAGTGATAACTTTTTAACTTGTTATAACCTTCTCATTTTCTATGCAGAAATTAGCATATCACAAAATTAACTAACCCTTGCCATATTTTAAATAAAATCAGCCTAATTCTTATGTTGATGCATTACTATAATGTCACGCCACCAAAAAGTGGTTTAAATGCTCCCAGCTCAGTGAATGGCAGCAAAAGTCTTTTATGTCCTACCAAGCAGAGGATTTGCTTCTTTCATTAGCTTTTGGTCCTATTCGCTACCATTATTGAAAAAGTGGAGCGTTTGTTATGCTAAACTCTCTGTTTACTGACTAACCATAGCTTAAAATGCACATAACTCTCCCACTTTTTGGGTCAATTCTTCTGTAATAGCAACATAAAAACGAAACGAAACAGTTTGTCAATGAGCAGCATGCCTATTTTGGTAAAGAAGTATGAGTGCGACGCCCAGTACTTCCCTAAAGGCGAAAGAAGACAAAGTACTTGCGCAGAATACGCATTATCGACACACCACGGGAATTTGGGCTATTGTCATAGTGCGGAGGCCGCGCCACTCTGCCGAAGCATAATCGCGGAGCCTTAACTACCCATAAAACCAAAAAAGACCAAAGTATTGTATCGTCCTCCTATCCTTTTGAGAGCCCTCCTCAGCGCTTTCCTCGGTCAACCTCCCGCTTCGGCCATTACAAAGTGGTCAGTAATGAGAGAAAAATACCCGCTAACTAACCAACTGTCCTAGTCATCAAATTTTCATGCAATTGTGAAGGTGTCTCTGGCTGTAACGTCACTGCTCCTTCTTGACAATTCTACTGAATCTGGAGTTTTGCCCTGTTTGGGAACTGGGTAGGGGGGAAGAGAGAATGTGCTGAGCATCACATGTGCCCATGGCTAGTCGTAAAAACACCGGCCTGGCAGAGCCATATAATAAATGACGGGGTTTGAGATAGTTTCGTGAGGGCAAAGTTTCGTGTCTACTTCTCCTTCCCATATATGTCTGTTCACATAATAAACATCTTTACAAGAAACGGGAAATTGCTCCATAACGAGCTTTATCAGATGGTTAACGGTTAGTATCGCTTCCATTGTTAATAGCATTCCTGCAGAGCACGGGACTAGGGTAGTTGCCGAGGGTGGATGTCGTGTTCAACTTTTCTGTTAGGGGTCGTCACAGATTCTCCCGTCAGCAGCATATGCACTTCTTCTGTCCCGGCAAGGTTTATCACCCAGTAATAAAAATCAGGGTACTTGTCTTTGCGGTCGAGTTCACTTTCCTCTGCAACCATTGTGGCTCCCCGAGACTTCCCTCAAGACAAAAGAAAACACAGTACCAGGACAGAATGTGCATTGCTGAAGACGATTTAAACAAATAATTAAAGCATTACAGAGGCTTCATTCGTAGTCACAAATAAGAACAACGTCCCATCAAGGTTGGCAGAAAAATAAAGATATTTCGAGCTAATGTCCGCACTTTTTTGTACAATGTACCACCACGAAATTCATCAAGGTAGTCTATAAGTGCCTATCCCCGCCTTTTCAGAACAAGATTTTCAATTAAAGTATAGAAGCGTTTCTTTGCAGCCAAAAAAAGGTAAATCAAATCTGGGTGCAACTTCGACAGTTCCCTTATATTCCAAAGTTTAAAGCAAAGTTTCATACTTATTTTTAGATGAACTACATTAATTATTTGTCAAATTTGATTTTAACAATCCATGATATTGTGCAAAGTTTTTTTCATTCGAACCGGCGGTCAAATTAAATCTAATGAAACGTAATGAAGATATCCATCATCACTATACAAAAGTTGAATGGAGAAATGATCGTCCTTCATTAATGCATCTTTTATTTAGAAGAGATGTAAGATTCCTCCGAGAAATCTACCCATTTTCAATGTGAATGGCATCAAAGTGTTATCTCTGCCGTCACTTTCAGTAAGTTGAATCAGACGTGCCCGCACACCGCCTAGACCTCAGGAATTTGTTACCCTTATCTGCTTGGTCAGCTTTTGGAGTAGGGTAAGTGTAGCGTCCCGAGTCTTTTCTGACGAAGGAAGGAGAAATAATACCAAAGAAGAAATATGTATTGTCGACGTGCGGCAGGGCTTGGAGCTGCTGGCACGACGAAGAGGCCAGGCTATCTGGCGAAGGTACAATGGCGGAGCCTTAAGTGGCTCGTTGCCATACCCGACAGTTAAACAAACAATTATTGTATTGCCTAAGATTAATTGCAGAAAACTTACTCCTTAGAGGCACATTCATCGCCTTCGAGGATTTCATTTTGATGGCTATTATTTTGTACGTAACTGTGCTCTTTCAAATACCACTGACTTGAGTCACAATTAAGGCGACAAAACTCAAAATTTTCTCATACATTTCTAGTCACTTTTCGTTTTCTTATTCCAAATTCAAGTTCGTTAAGTTAAACTGTCCCTGTGATCATATCTGGTTCAATTTACATTTCATTTATTTATTATTTATTTAGCAGCGGTTTTAAGGCAATTACTTGCACAAGAAAATGTGCAACAGATCGTAAAAGTGATCAGCTGGCTAAAAACCTTGAACCGCCTAATTTTCAGGTGGGGACTGAGAGCAACTGAGGTTCCTTTAAATGTGTACTTACAGAATAGCAAGTTTCGCCTGTTAGGGCGTATAAGAAAAGATAGGCGGGGCGAGAATGACGATGCCAGCATTCGGTTTTTATAGGGGATTTGCAAATCGCTTCCGGTGTGGAGTACCGTGTCTCGAAACCCCTGATACTTCAATGTCCGATGTCTACGGAGGGGGAGGTATGATAAACCTATCCACTGGTTGAAGCAACCGATTCTGCCATCAATTACAGTGATAGTTTTCACCAGTTGTAACTTTCAAGTATTCGAGTTAATGATAAATTTAAGTTGCGCCTCAACGTGGTCATTTTTAGGTTCATCTAATTTACTTTAGTAAAGTCAGTAAAGTACAAAATGAGGTTAACGATGAATGACCCAATCGCAACAGTATTTGTATTAGATTTAGCATCAATCAAAGCAGAAGCTTTTTTGCGGTCATAATTTACACCCATAGTGAATGAATACGGCCGCGGGTAAACAAAATCCGGAATTATATGAGGTCAAGTACAGGGGATCTCCTCTTTACTTCTTTATACTTTATTTACGGTGGAATTATTATTCTTGTCTAGTTTACTAGCAATGCTTCCCTCTGTTGTAATCCACAGCATTTCCGAAGTGAAAATATGCTTTAAACAACCTGGAAGCTAACTAATCCTTTTTGCACTTTCGTTTTATAGTGACTAACTACAACATGCATTTTTGAATGGGAAAACTGTTAATGTTTAAAATCCTTCGAGCACATGGTAGAGGTGGGATAGTGTACAAACGGTACTAAACGAGTTCCAAAAAACTTTTCAAATCTCATTGCTGAGAAACCAAGCCCCGCCATTTGATTCGCTGTACGCTCACAAACATTTTTAAGACTATTTTGAAAGCTCATAACAGTAGTGTGTAGACGCAGAGCAATAAACTCGCCCAACCAGTATATTTCTTCGTGAACACATTCTACACCGATGTATTTTGCTCTCCCAAAGACTCCTTTTGTTCCTTGTCATTGGCTTTACATATGCAACACTGGCGATATTTTTACAAAATACTTTTCCCTGCCAAAAGTGGGATAAATAGCGGTATCAAAGGTGGGATAACAAAAAATTTTGGTGAATCAATCCGTCGAGGACAAGTAGCAGTATGAAGTGTGCTCCCAAAGCATGCATGCGCCATAATGCACCGTCCTGCGAAAAGCGTTTTCTTCTAGATTAAAATACTTGTAAATTTCGTATTGGTCTTCACAACATTGAGATACCATGGCATGCATACGTTTCATTTATGAGTACTCCATTCGAGACTCTCCGACCCATCATAGCCACCCGTCCACTTAAATGGACATGACTAAGGGGCTGAAATCATCTGTTATGCCCTTATTTCACGTAAAGATCTTCACCAGAATGCAGTGAATAGTAAATACCGCAGGGATTGAACCGTATAGACTTTGTTCGGATTTTTTAATTCTAAACCACTTATTCACCTGGTTTTATCAGGATCAAAGCGTGGACTCGAGACATCCCCAGTTAGATATGCTAATTTGCCCAAAATGACTGTATAGGGACCCGAGACTTCTCTGAAGGCAAAAGGAGGCGTAATACCGGGGCCGGGTGTGTTGCCGACGCATGGAAGGGTTGCGGGCTACTGGCATGGCCCAGAGGCCGGACTGCTTAGCGGAAGTACAGAAGTGAGGAGTTAAACAAACGATAAATGCATAACAACTGTTTTTTCTTGTTCACTTAATGCAGTTTCGGCCTTAAAGATTTCACAGTGCACGCTTGAAGGTTTGTATCTGCAAAAATTATAACTTGATCTCCCTGCATACCACAAGGTGGTTTGTATAGAGCTTGTGCGAGAAAGCAGTTGCTATTCACGCAATCCACTTTGTAATAAACTATCGCATATAGATTTTAGAAATCGGACTCGGGATCCCAATATTTTCCTTAATTACCTGAGTTCGTCAAGGGAGGCCCCACGTGTGGCTCCTTCTGATGGAAGTTTCACTCTTTGATAGGCATTGCTCTACAGAACGAGTACATACCATTACCAAAAAAATGTACAAGATCCTGATAGGAGATATAATCTGGCTAATGCTTTTCAATTTCTTTATCTAACCGAAATTCGCTTTACCTACAACTTCAAAATTACGTAAGACAGTATTTCTGTAACTTTTAATAAACAAGGATCCATTAATCCGCATTTTATTTTACTTGCTACCTTGCATGAATCGTTGTTGCAGGCACTAAAGCGCTTACGTGCCCTGGGTATTGGCGACAACTAATACGTGCAGTGCTCTTTGGTTTCGTAGTCAGGAGAGAGGAACACCCATGGGTAATTATGCAACCACCGCTGGGTGATTTACGCCCACTATTTGGCTGTCTGAATGCTTCATACAGAAAATTGCGGTAACAACTGCGCTGCTGTTATACTACCTAGTTCACTTTAGAACTATACTCTTCTGGCGGCATGTGTGGGTAAACAATGACCTTTGACCTCAGTAAAATTGACCGTAAATTGTGAAACTCAGGCATACTTGTTTCCCCGTTAAAACATGAATTCGCATTTAGTAGATTGTTTTTCTCATATAGCATTCACCAATGCATCCCTGACATTAACTTTGTTTTTGCATAAATTTACGGCACAGCATCACAACTATTTAGCTGATACAGGTGCTGCGAGTAAAATGCGTTCAGATAACTGGCTAACTAGTCAGATACTCCTTACGCTCATTTTAAACCAAGTTTTGAAGATTATGCGAAGCAATTCGCCCAGTTCTTGAAAGTTGTACTAAATGTTGCTAAAAATGGAACCATCGCCCACGTAGACCAGGTAGAACTTAATGAATGTTCACTTCAAATGATTAAATTGATGTGTCTGGGGCTGTAGTATACGCCGGCATACCAACAGTTTGCGTCATTGCGGCATTTATTGAGATAGTCGTTTCAGTGATATTAAAGACTTCAGTCTTATATGAAGCCTAACTATGAAATTGCGAGCTTGCGTTTCGTAAGCAAGCCTCTTGTGACGCCGTAAACTCTCCATCATTTGTAGCTGCTTCTAATAGGCTTTTTAAACCGCGCTCAGACATGTCCCAACGTTGGCACGAAAATATATGACTGCTTAATAGTCCTCTTGAATCATTCAAACATTTAAGCTTCAGTTGAATTTCAAATGGATAAAGGACCCGGTGAGCCGATTTCCGTGTATCAGGTCTGTGCAAATCCATGAAAAATCAGGCATGCAACTTAAGGACGTGGTGGATACGTCACAAAAGTAGTTTATTTTAGGCATAATCAGCAACAATGTCGAAAGTTTCCACCTCTATCTCTCAGCGAACCTTACGAGTGTGGATATGTTTCGTCCTAGGCTAACGGAATCGACGTAACATTCATCACACTAACGATAAAGACTTTGCTCAGAAAAGAAGTTGGAGGAAGGCGAGACGTTGTTGTTATTACAATCAATTTTGGGTTTTAATAGCACAAAATTCGGGAAAAAAACCTTATGCAACGCCTGTCAATGCTAAATGGCGTATTTTATTACAAAATATGTAGCAAAACCTTAAAGGCTTTTTGATTTGTTCATGTATAGCACCCTGTGACTCCCTTAGAGACAAAAAGGGCATAATACGCTGGCAGAATATGCATTTTAGAAGTACAGTAGGGCTTGGGACTACTGGCGTGACCCGAAGTCCAGCTCACTCAGCAAGGATGCAATGGCTGATACCCAAATTGGCGCCTTTACCAAAATTGAGAGTTAAACAACTAATGCACTACATAGCCCCTCTCCTCTTTTGAGCGCTGTCCCTTACGCCCTTCTTTGCCAACCTCTCGCGTCAGCTATCACAACGTAGTAGGTACTGTAAGGAAAACACCCAAAAGCCAACCGCGCCTGCCATCGAATGACTAAGTAGCTGAGATACTTGACCTCAAGGTCACTGATCCCTCTTGCCATTTCTACTCCATCTAGAGTTTTATACTTTTTGGAACCGTATTGGTGGGATGAGATAACGGTTAGGTCATCAGGTGTGTCTATACCTAGACGTTGGAACACTGGCCCAAAAGCAGTCATGTAATAAAGGACGGGATTCACCATACTTCCATAGGGGTAGAGTTTCACTTCTATTCCTCCTTGCCACCTTTATTCTCGCTGTAATGCTACCCACCCGTATCCATCTAAGTTCTATCCGAATAGTGGAGAAGTGGAGGAGGCACCGCATGTTCACATACTTGGTATCTTCATGCGGTTACGGCAGACAGCTCCGTAGCGAACTTTTCCAAATTGTTCAAGGTTAGTGTCGCTTCAGCTGTTAATAGCTTTCTAGTAGAACACGAAACTGGTAAACGTCTTTTTTATCCTTTCTGTTAGGAATTTTAAACAAATCTCTCATCCGTAGCACATTTACTCCTTCAGCTTCGCTAATGATTATCATTCAGCAGTGGAAATAAGATTAAAAGTCCTTTAAAATGGGATTCGCTTTCCGCTGCAGCAAAGGTAGCACCCCGAGACTTCACTGAAGACAGAAAAAGGCATAAAACTCGGTCAGAATATTGTATTTGACATGAGGAAGGGCTTGGGGCTACCGACATGGCCCGGAGGCCGGCTCACCCCCACGAAGGTATGCCAGTGGAGACTTTAAGTAGCCCTTTTACCAAAAAGGAGGGTTAATTAAATAACAAACGTATTGCGCATGCGAACTTAGTAATTATTTAAAACGGAAACTAACAAGCACCTTCGTATTCGGGGTTTTTTAAAAACAAACGAAAAATTATCACCCAGAACAACGTGACACTTTCGTGCCTTGCAATGCATTAACATTTTTTACCGAAAATTTAGTCTTTTAGTAATGGTTTTTAAATAAAAACTTTACGGGTACCGATTTTATTCATCGAACGATATTTTTCAAAATTGGTTTGTAACAACATTGTAGCACTGGAAATTATCGCATCTTTTTCATGCTTTGCGGGCACATAAACCATCTCGGTATCGTGGGGATTTACACGAAAGTGTTGAACTCATTTGTCTTCCAAGCACTGCATTCGCTTGACTTGCACACTGCCTGTAATATTCAAACAAAAAATAATTTATTTTGAGGTCTTCTACAAAGTATTAAGACTTTCCCCAAGTTTTGCTTCAAGCGTGAAGAGAAAGAAGCACATTAGTAAAATCCTGTGACGTTCTAGGAGAGCTTTTAAGAACTGAAGGTAGTGCAATGCCTCAGCTTGCCTTTCTCGACATTGGCGAATTCGTTGGTTGAACCTGATGGCATTCGCTACGCGAGCAAAGTCTTTTATCCAAGCCACAGTCTAAGTCTGCCCACTCTTCCACCAAAAATTATTGGAATGGAGGGAGCTGTCTTCGAAGGGGAAGCCTTGTAATCATCCCTATTTTACTTTCCATGGCAAAATATTCTTCCATTAAAGAGCACCCATGTGGTGATTTAATCACTTCTTAAGTTGTTCGTAATTTATCCATCTTCAAGCATCTATATGAAAAAGTGCGTGTGTAGCAGGAAAAACTGGAGGAAGCTGTAAATCCCATGCATGTAGCGCTCCACCTGTACTTGGTGACTTCTACAACGAATGCGGGACAATTCGAAAGTCATTGATAAGGTAGTTCCATGCAAATTAGGCGTTTGTATAAGTCTAATTGTATCTATTAGTCGTAGCTATGGTTTTGTTTTTTCCATTTCCATTTGCATACAATCAACATTCTGTCCTCAATTTTAGATAACTTCTCTAATCTTTCAAGATTGAATAAAATGTTTTTAATAACAAAAGTACTCTTGACTAACATTGACCCAGGCTAGATGTGGGATTTTTAAAAACCATGCCTTCTATTTGCTACGTGACTTGCTTAGTTTACACTGGATTTTGTAGTGTTAACGACCAACTTTTGCTCCTGATGGTCACAAATGTTGAAGCAATGTATGGTTCTAAGCTGCTCTTAAAACTTGGAGCTTGGCTAATGATGACGTGATTACAAGCCTACGTAGAAAATGTACCCGAAAACTGTTAGAATTTTAAGCTCAACAGACTTAACACTTCCAAATTGTAATACGTCTGTTGTTTGTGTTTAACTCGCAGTTTTGGCAAAGGGAACAATTAGGTGCTCCGCCATCGCATCTTTGAGGGGTGAGTTGGCTTCCGATTATATATTCCGCCTTAGTATTATGCCTTCTTTCGTCTTCAGGGAGGTCTCGGATAGCTACAGGGTACTTATGTTCCGATTTGTATAAGCCCTACTTTGTACTAGGTGGCAGTGATGGTCGCACTGCGCCACGTATTGCTACAGGCAAATCTGGTCCATTGTCTCAAGATCTTTGCAAGGTAAATTCATTTATTTTGTCCACCAGGTTTTGAAAGAAATTATTGGTCTTATCAGACGTTTTTATTCTTAAAGTAAATATCTTTGGATTTAAAAGATTTCAGCTAGTGTATTTTGTGCAGGAGGTGCGTTGACAATATAGAGGCGCCTACTTCGAGAAAAGTTACAATACCATCCGTCGTATTTATGTGTACTCTTTTATTGGCAGTGAGACTTCAGAACTCATGGCACCCGGTTCACCAAAATGTATTAAATTGCAGCCGCATATTCAGACCTTCAACTCTCTCCAATGAAAATTGGCCTACTTTTAGCATAAGCTTAGGCGATCACGGCGCCTTGCCCCCATCTCAGCCTATCGTCGCAGTGCTCCTACTGTTCGTGCATGACCAAAAAGCCGAATCCTAATGCACTTTTTGTACTTAAGGCAGGATTTTGGGATATGTTTGCTTCTTGCTTGAGGTTTGAGTATATTAAAATAAAACTTACAGTCCCTATCGTTTTCCTAATTAAGAGGTCATTGAAACAATAGCTGATTTGCGGTCTTGCTGTTTCTATAGCGACATCGGCCCGTGTTTTATTTTCTTTGTGAAATGGGAAGCCACAATGCAATTGCTTATTATGATTTCTGTGTTATCAAAGAACAAAACATTGTGGGTGTTTTACAAAAAAGTAGGTGAACTTTCACCGTTATTTACATTCCAAAAGTCTCAACAACATGGAAATTTTTAATGTACTTCATATAAATCAGGTGGCATCACTAATTTCCATCTTGCCTCAACAGAACCACACTCTAGGGATGGGGTCATTATTAACGCCAAACCTGCGTTGGGTGGTTGATTTGTGTGGTGTGAATAACCTATGTAAATGCATTGATACATTCGCTTTATTCTTCTCGTTAATTGTTGTTCATTTTGAGTCTAGATCAAGTAGTTTTTAAAGTGTAACGGCTTCACGTGGGTGGGAGGAGCGACTTAACTGCAAAACTGGGCTAAAGTGCTGCAAGCCGCAGCTCCTTTCCTAAGCACTGGATTACCGTCCATTCAAGGTAGGAATAGAGTCGCTGGTAATTATACGCCAAAGGACCTAGAAAAAGTGATGATGCTGAAGTTATTTTAGGCATTTGTCCACTATGGCACTGCGGAACTCTTAAATTAGAAGAATTAATCAAGCCATGCTTGAAAGTTCAGATCAGCATCTTCTCCGCTATTTCAAAAGCACTTAGCGAATGGATTGTTTTAAAGTGAATTTTTACTCACAATATTTTTGCTATTCTGCTTTGCGTCTTCCAAGTTCTACCTAAATTCGTACAATTTTATGTGAACCTATTGATGTGGCTTATCTTTGGCGGTCTTCAAAAGATTCCTAGAACAATTTTTATTTGACGCCTAAATTCAAAAATAACATGGATTTTTCGAAAGGGTGAAATATGGGCTGACTTAGCTTTGTGTTTATCTACCTAACCATGGCATTTGTAGCGCCCCTAGACTTCTCTGAAGACAAGAGAAGGTCTAATACTTTGTCAGAATATGTATTGTTGTCGTGCAGTAGGACTTGTGGCTACTGGCATGGGCTGGAGGCCCGGCTGCCTGGCGGAGCTACAAGGCGCAGCCCCTAATTGGCTCGTTACCAATACCGAGAGTTAGACCGACAATTAAAGCACTGCACAACATCTTGCCAATTCGATGTTAGCAACTTTGTTTCCAAATGGCTAAGTTGAATCGTTTACGCTGCAGAAAGTGAATCTGTATGAAGCTGGAAACAAATCAAACGTGATCTATGTCTATTTACGAAATTCAGTTCAGCAGGAACTGCACACGCATATAAAGTGAACTGAATAAAAAGTTTTATTTACTTCCAGTAACTCCCGCCATTACCTTTTTCATACTAAATCTGCAATTTTATGTCAGAGAATTACTCTTTTCTTGTGGGTCAAAATTCGGGATAAAAGCTTATTAGTTCGGATTTAACACAAATATTGCGTGCTTGAAAGCGTATTGGGCAATTAGAGAAGTTTTCACATAGTAAGTCCACTTCTCCCTTTTTTTACCTTAAAATAGTGCAAGACAATATTCTCTCAATATTCTCATTGAAAATGAAACCAGATTTGGGGGAAAGGGTTTCATCACGTACGTAAGTGGCCACGGAGCCACAAGCCTTCGTACACACACCCACGAAGTCATCCTGGCAGAATCCAAGCCCACGCATCCACACACGATCAGACTTGCTACGCTCCCTTTGGTGTCTAATCCCCTCTCCCCTCGTGTAACCATCATTCACCGGGAAATCTGCCCTCGCACAAGCCTGAAAGTAAGATGAATTTGGTGCCAGGTACTATTCCGAGACCCCGAAGCAGTGTCTAGAAATAGAAGTAGTCAGCTAGAATAACTAAGATTAAAGCATCCCATTCGGTTTCTAAGAAATCCGAAACTTGAGGAAAAGTACGCATTGTTCTAAAACAAATAATGGCTGATAATACGACTTCCCCGCAGTTTTTTACAAGCTGTATGCACATTTCGGTGTTTCCATAGGCGTCATGTTCACTTGACCTTTAGCAGTCCATTGTGGTGTTTAAACATTCATGCCTTTGTCTGTTGGAGTGCTTTGTTAGTGTACACACAAAGATTAGATCGAAAAGCGTAATTAGCCCTACTCTACCTTAGGTGAGAGTGCTTTTGAGCTGAGGTCTCGAGATCACGGGGTGCCCTTTTTGTCCCTCTAATATGCAACCGTGAGTCAAGGTCAAGCACAGTTGACACTAAATGATCCGTTTTCGTTTTCTGTACATAGCTGGAAGTTTCGAGAGCCTTCTCCATCAGACCGTGATATGGGAAAGCTCACAATATACTGCTTTGAAAGAAGTACAACTGAGCATTTTCATTTGTATTATATGATAATTATTTCCATACGTACAGATATACAGACTTTCATAGAATATGAGAAAAGTAATGCATTCGTTAGAATACAAGGGGTGTTTTAGCGCGAATCAAAAACGGTTTAAAACACACTGTTCCATTAGAATATTTGTTTTTTTGGTTCTGTACTCTCCATCCTTCCTGCGAATAGGAAGTCCTACGAAAATATTTAACCGAATGCCTTTCCAGAAGCCTATCGTAAAAAGTTTTTTTGAAGCATTCATAAATTATCGTAATATATACGAATTCCTTATCCGTTTGCCTTGTTTATTATCGAAGGAGAGGAAATAGGTAAAAACTGAGTTCCATCTAATTAATGTTTAAAGCCACTTCCGTTCTGAAAAGAAACCAATCTACTTGCCATATGGAAGATTCAGTTCTAAATAAGTTGCAAAATTGGGTTAATCGAGATCTGAAAGCTGTATTTGTCAATTGCAGATAAATTGTCTAACTTCGTTTTCGGTTACATTTTTGGGCATGAGACCTGTCAACCCAACGAAAGGACGAAAACTGGCCTACCCCCGGGCTTCCAGGTCACCTTCACTCCCCTTTGCATAATTTTTTAACTGACCTTTAGAAAACCGCTAAATCTGCCGAAACTAAATGGTATTTTGAGGGAGCGATTTCAGATTAATACATTGAGAAAGTTGCTCTTTAAAAATGCTCCATTTAGGGAGAAATATTTTCAAGCAACAACACCATTCCAAAACTTGATTAAATTTGGCAATTTAGCTTAAGTGACAAAGCAAGCAGCCCAATTTTATAGATTATGTAAAGGTTGATTAATCTCCCACGCTCAGAGGAGGTTAGTATGGCTCAAACTTTTGCTTGAACCTTCAAGTGGATAGCAGTACCTACAAGGCAGAAAGAGAGAAATTCTTTCATGTCATATTATTCCATTCCCTACATTTTCAATTATCTCCAAAATTAATGCATTGCTGAAAAACGTGAAGTGTCGTAAGGGAAGTTTTTGTTTTAAGATTGTGCTATGTTGTCAGATTGCCTCAAAGGAATAATTTAGATGACTTAAAACACCGATTGCTAGATCAATTTCGTTTTCCAAGAAAATGAGATCTCCTTATAGCCTTCCGCTGGCCTCCTTTAACACCCTATTCTCTGCATTCACGGTGTATAGTAGTGACGTGTATGTTTAATGTCAGTTTTTTTGGCATCCGGTGGTTACATCGAGATTACGACTACCTTTCAATCCATTCCATCAGCTGATAGGTGAGGATGTAGGCTGGGTATTCTCCTCTCACCCCTAACACCATTTTATCCCTTTGGGGAAGGTAGGGTTGTTAGCTGCCTCAATATAGACTCATGAACAATAGACCAAGAAAAACTCTATTTTAGGCTACCCTCTTTGCAAAGGATATGGTCATAAATAGTTGGTTTCAATGGAAATTTAGTTATAAAGTTGCCTAAGATGACTCAACTCGAATGCACTACCCAGAGTGTCCAATACCTTCCGTATATTTGCCCGAATTTTATGCATCCCCAGACATTAAATGGGTCAAAATGACCTTTCAGGTTGGTTTATCGTTCTAAATTACTGTTTATATACGTTGGCCTACGGCAAAAGCGGCAAAAAGGGTAAGAGGATAGGCATAAGCTCCATAAAAATAGAGAGTGGGGAGAAATGTCAATTGCTCCAATTATTAGAGTGGATACGATTGCAAACTGTTTTGTCGCGTAGGTGTAGCTTGAAGTGGCTAACGCCATGACACTATCAAGATGCATATAACAATTTTTGACCTCTGGTTCAACTTCCGCAGAAAGCCTAGGAGCCTCATTTGGGCAGCTTCAATTCACGTAGTGCTACTTTAAGTATCTAACAAAGCAAAAAGTAGTTATTTATTCTCCTCTTTATTAGTCTAACCTTAAACGTATGTACTAAAATTTTAATATATAAATTTTAAGGCTTTAGATAGTGTAAGTGTTCCTCAATGCTTACAACAGTTTTATTTCAATACGCAGTAACCTAAAGGCGTCTGAAAGCCAATTTGAAGAGATTAGCACTTGCTTAATATGAACCTCTGGATTCACTTTTTGTTGTAAGTTTCTTTTTTCTATGATAAAGTCTCACCAAACGTTTGAACTCCTCTAATAACGCTTCCTAAATTGATATTCAGTATATTTGTAATGAGCTGGATGTTTGTGTAAATCACGGTTTTGGCGACGGGCCATTTGGGGGCACCGTTATTGTATGTTTACTAGGCGGGCTGACCCTCGGGCCATGCCAGTAGCATCCAAACCCTTCTCTAGGCCGTGAAAACATATCCTGCCCTAGTACTACGATCCTCTTCGTCTTCAGAGAAGTCTCGAGGTGCCGCTGTAGTGGCAGCAGAAAGCTAATTCCATCCTAAAGGCCATCTGTCTTGATTTTCATTGATAGATGATAAACCTTAGCGGGGCGGAAGAAGTGCATATTGCTGGGGATGAAAGAATCGATGAGGATCCATGACAGAAGAACCGAAGATGCCGTCTATCTATGGCAACCACCCCAGTCCCTTGTTTTGCAGGAGAGATATTAGCATTTGAAATGAAACCAGCCGTGAACCATCTAAACTAGTTCTTTGCGGAGCTGCCTACTGTATTCGTGTGGAAATATCAAATCTGTGAACACGCGATTCCCCTCCCACTTCTCAACTAGCAATATAGAATCCAGATAGGTATGGCTGGGCAGCTCTGAAGTGAGAACACTGTTACAAGGGGGATTAAACGCCAAACTCCACCTTACGGAGCAATGTTACATCTCGTCCTTTGTTCCTACGACCGGAGATGAACAACCAACCCACTCCCTCGTCCCCCATTATAGTTCCCGTACAGGATGAAACTCCATTTGCAGTAGAATTGGCAAGAGGGATCGGTAACATTTCAGTCAAGTATCACCTTAGATACATTGAAATTCGATGACAGGTACGGCTGGCTCGTAAGTGTTACTCTTAGAGCACTGATTATGTTGCGATAGCTGACGCGGAAGGTTGACCAAAAAGTGGGTGGGGGACAACGCTCAAAAAAGGCGAGAGGCTATGTAATACTTTGGTTATTTGCTTAAGGAGCCACTTAGGGGCTCCACCATTGTATCATCATCGGGTGGGCTGGCTTTTGGGCCGTGTCAGTAGCTCCATGCCCTTCTGTGTGTCGAGCATATATATTCTGCCCCAGTATTACGTCTTCTTTCTTCAGGAAAGTCTCGGTGAGCTGCATATTTCCCATATATATATATATATAATGAACAAAGTTAAATTTGTTCTTTACTTATGGTAAATGGCTAATTAATATGAGATGTTTAATAAAAAGGAGGAAAATGTCCAAAAAACTTCAATATTCATTTCATTGCCTATCCATTCTTTGGACTGAGATTTTCCGCAGGTAGTCTGTAGTCCCCGCCCATAGTAGACTACGCAGATGCCCATCAAAGTAGAATTATTCGTCCAGTGGAAAACGCGACTGTTTTATGCACGATATCAAGCGCGGTTCTGCTGGGTTTGCATTGAAGTTTAGTAATGAAAATATCTTTGCCTTTATGACGTAAACTTTCGTGGGTACATGCGGAATCCGTTGCCTGTGATTGATAAAATATCTTACCATTTACCTTTTACTTGATCTAATTTTCCATGCCCAGATAGTCGCCCTGATTTTTCCGAAGTGGTTGTAAAAGCACCGGAAAATTGTCGCCATTGTGGAGCCAAATTTCTTTACTGCGCTGCTAGTTTAATGTCATGAATAATTACCTCTGAGTGAGCTTGTCATTCGCATTAGCTTGACTGTGACATTTAGAGAGCGAAGGAATATTTTGTTTGTTGTCCCTAACTCTTCTAAATAAATAGGAAAATCGCTTTCACCGGACTTTGCACATTATCACTTTAAATAAACGCTGTGCTTCTTCCTCGCACTAATTTGTGCTTAAATTACTTTTACTTTCTCTGCTGATAGCTCCTGATGCCCGGTAGAAGCGAGTGTCATTACTTTGGCTACAACAGCTCAGCCGTAGAGGGGAGTAAGTTATTACAAAACCAAGACAGTTACCTCTTCTTGGATGACAACGACTCCTGGGGCATTCTAATGGTACTTTATCCATTATAATCGGTCTAAACTACCTACCGAAAGGTATCAGCTATCTCAGGTTCCCGTGATGCACGAATATTTATTACCGTGACAACGTGAGGGTCAAGTAAGCTTGTTGGGTTGGAAACGAAGAGAATGGAAAAAGATTTAGGTATAATGTTTTGTGTTTGAAGCCCAACTAGTTTCAACTTGCCTGCTGGTCCGGTCGGGTGTGCACCTGGCAAAACCGTGGATGTAGTTTGCATGATTTTTAATGCACAATTTCCCCTCTACACCCCACACTTCATCACCTACAATGTCGTACCTTTATCAGCCTTACCACTCTGCCTATGTGCGAAGCCACGCAAAAGCCCTTCGTGTGTGGTGTCTTGCTCATTCCCGACCGCCCTTACTGTTGCTGCTCTCTACTGTGCTCAAAACAATAAGTGCGCTTTCCTGCACCATTTACGTTTTTAAGTGTCTTCTACGCAGTTTAGGTTCAAAGAAACGCCTATCATATATCTATTATAAAACATTTTATCCCGATTTGGGGGCTCCGATTCTAAGTCAAACCAGGTGCACGGTTTCATGTTTGATGAACAATTAAGCCATGCTTGTCAGAAGACCAAATCGTGTTGTATTGATCTGAGTAAAAATGTGTCTGTCGACCCCACTTTTTTTGAAGTGTTAATTCCAACGGGGTTGAGGACAATCGAGTTTCGGTAACAGGATTGCCCTTATTCAGTACAAGATGTCACGGATAGGTTGTGTGCAAAACTTACACCATATTGCACTATTTACCCCGTTAATCATAAATGTTGCGAGTGTGTTTGTATGTTCAAAGTGTGGTGGGGCCAGCTGTGCTTGTGTCACTGAGTGTTCGCAACCGACCCTGGATGTTGTTGTGTTTGCAAGTACCCACGTCACTGGCACACAAGCCTGTCCTCAAATCTCAATCACATCATTCCTGTTCATTTAGCCTAGGTTAGGAAGAGAAACTTAACGCCTTTTGGCTTTCATTTTCCCTCATTTGTGATCTTGAACTTGTTTATGATCATAAGTCCTTGTGTCAGTCTGCACGACTATCTTAATTAAGAAGAGGGATAATCACGAAGCTGTAGCAGATTTGTCATAAATTGCCATATAATGAAATCACTGAACTATTTTGGTTTTTTACTAAATAACCCGTAAAAAATATTTATCAACAAACCGTCACTAAAGGTCATAAGTCTAGATCGGGCTGCAGGTGCAGGTTCTCACAAGGAGGCAAAAATCACCGAGTCCACACAAGCAGATATTTTGCGCTTTATAGGTGTAAATAGTGGTATTAACTGTACTCTACTCTGTTTTTTTTTATCAAAATTGTATGTCTTTGGGGTGGGCACCGCTTTTTCCCCACCCAACACGTATGGTGTTATGCTTCACTGTCAGGCCCACTGCATGGGCAACCAGTTGATTGATAGGAGCGAAGGATTGGGTGCACAGACTTCAATGCCGCCTACCACACGCGCACCATCCTTGGCTGGGCACATACATGTGCCTCTTTTCGGGATTGTGACGTGTATTTTCCAAATCACTTGAAATATGCTTCATACCATCGCCCTCATCAATTCTGTGTTGAGCGCCTGATTGTGCACGACAACTTCCAGCTAGCGCCTAATAGCTAATCTCCGCAGTTTACATCAGAAATGGACCACCGTGTCTGCGGGCACGCAAGTGTAAGCATATGCCAGTTTTCCGGTCAAATCACTTGAGGCACCAGCAATTAAGGCCTCAGTTGCGCATCTTCTCGAGAAAGGGAATAGCAGAAATGCTGGTGTAGGTGATGGTGTGCCGTGAGAAAATCCGCTTCATTTTACTAATGCGCTAACGGTGGCACCACGTGATCCGGTAGCTCATTTTACCTGCCTGTACACATATTATCAAGGGAGGGTGTGTGCTACGCATTTTGCTACAGTTACAGCAGTTAATTAGGTTACCCTACTGCCTTAATTCTAACACACTGTGTAACAAAACTTACAATTAGATGTCACTTCAACCTTTTCGATCAATTTCCACTTTCCATCTGCGAAAACCTTGTACAGTTGCAACGGCCTCCTCATAACAAAGACCACTTCACTAAGCACAATTCCAGCAAAATAGTTTCATGTATATGTATTTTGGTAAAGATCATAACGGATATTTGTTGCGAAACTTCAATCAGTAAAGTAGCTAAGAGACAAATATTAAACTCAAGAATTTCCTAAACCTCTCCGATGGTGATCAAGCGTAACTTGGTGACTTTTTATTCACAAATGCATTTACCACCACGCATCGGCTTCTTTTTTTCCGCCACCCATATTGTTTTGGTGAAAGGCACCACCCATGGAATAATGTGTTGCGAGAAGGCGTGTGCATGCGCTTGCTCTCGCACTCGTTAGCCTTCAATGAAACATCCTCCACCTGTCAGGGCGCCTACACGTGTCTTATTTACAGACGCCCTCCTTCACTGCCTCCTGTGGAGTGGCGACAAAAAATTTATATGGTCCTCTATTGTGATTGGCACTTGTGGGTAAAATCGTTAAAATACAACTGGTTTCTTCTCAAGCAAAGGAAAGATGGTCTAACCTTGCAGCTACCATTAAGAGTGGGGGTTTTTTGTGGCACATTAGTTTCTGTGCTTGCTTGTAGAAAAAATAAAGGTCCGACGACTAAAATCAGTGCTCAAATCACTTGGCTCCATCGATAGACAACATATTTGCAAGTGTCTCTGCCATTATTAACTCCACGCGGGTAGGATTTCCCCTTCGTTCTTCCCATAGAAAGCCACATTTTGAATTGTAATCAGAAATAGCTTCCTTGCATGACTTTTAGTTCTTAGGGATGGCGGGTCTTAGCTCAGATAGAGCTCTTACGTAAACGGATTGCGACTTTTTGTCTTTTCGTGTGTGAACATTCGTTTAACCGATACTAAGGTCACAGTGGCCGCATGTGCCAACAAAATGTCAGTTCTGGTTGGACAGATCAGCACGTCCAAATGCTATCACCAATGCTGCCTTCATATGGAACCGATAGTGGTAGCCAAAGGTATATTTTAACCACCCCACTGAATAAAAAGTTCACAGCACGCGAGCTAACAGAACAAGCCACATTTTTATGAAATTTTGCTGGTCTGTTCATTTTGTAAGAACACTGATTCACCTGAGCGAGAAATAAGTCCCGGAGAACTGAGCACGATGGAGGTCATAGATGCGCATCGTTTTCACGTTTACGATACAAAGAATAATGTTGCGAAATTACAACTACTAGTTGAAAATGTCGTTTACCTAGAGGGAATAGACTAGTCAGATATGCTTGGGATGCCAGTGCCAAAAGAGTATCAGTTGTACCTTTACAGTTCCGATAGCCTTGGAAATTATTTTAATCAAGCATAACTGGTAGACATGTCCGACTATCAACCTTTTTTAGTACATTGACTGATTTAATTTCATGATGCTATTAAGGAAACTAAAGGGCCCACTTTTGCCAATGACAGATAAAAGACTACGCGCTTAATAATTCCCTATATTATTTATCTTTGTGCCCGGAACACGACGATATGGATTTACTCGCTCATGTAGTCTCCGAATTGTCGCTAGACTTAATCTGACAACCATGTTTACATTTCAATGGAACTGTTTGGCTCTTGTAGGCTTAACAACTGTAAGGGTTGGAAATATTCCATTTTCTCAAATATTGCTCACCTTGAATGCAAAATACACTCAAAACGCTTAGCAATGGCCCTTGCCACAGTGGGATTTGTGTCTAAATTTTACAAAGATTGAGCGCTTTTTGTTCCCCACCACAAAGTAATCACTGGTATACAAGCATAAGCAAGTACGCACAGGCGTCATTCAAACAACGGGTCAGCTGTTGGGTCCACAGTTGATTGGGCACGCACCCAAAAGTGCACAATAATAATTCAAATCGGTAAGGAAAAAAAGTGCAATGACCATAAAATAACACATCACAGTATGAATTTAGTGATTTTCATAAGTTGGTATCAACAGGTAGCACAATGGTCTGCGAGACCTCGACCTCTTATGAAGCACCACACCACGCATTCGATGGTGTCGACGACGCGTGCGCACAGATAAATGGTAACATGCCAAGGCAAACGGCTCAATCCCAAAACTGCCCCACCTATTCCACAGCCTGTAAAGATGATCTAAAAATGGAAGCATCGATTTTTCTGTCACGTGTAGTGCTATACAGAGGGATTTCGGCTGCCAATACTGAGGTCCCCGGAAGATTTTGTCTCTTATCCATGTTATTTGTGCCTTTGTTCCATTACACCTTTTCATCCCTTAACCATAACTAGTGATTTAAAGACAATTATTTTGATTGGCAAATTTTCAGTCGCTTTATAAACAAACATGAGATATGAATAACTGCATACGAATGAGCTCGTTTATATGCATGAAGTGGTATGAGTTAATGCATAAGTGACGGAACCACACACAGAGAGGAAAGGAAGGAGAGTAGATCTAAGAAAATGAAGAGCTGGGAATCACTATTTGTCGGTTTGAAAGGCGGTGGAAAAATAGCTGTGATTTTTAATGCATTATCACGAGGATAATTGTGGGAATTGGAAGAGAGTAGGGTAGGAAAAACAAAGTGAGCAACGTCATGTGTTTGACTAACATAGGTGGGAAGAAAACTTAAACTTGGAGACATACCTTTGAGATTGCAGTAACAAAGCAGTCCCACAGAGTTGCGCCGTTCGGTGATTGCCGTTGCATTTTTGTTTGCTTAGGATCGTAGCGCGTCCAGACAGCGATTACGTAGACGGATACCACACCCCTACGAAGGCCGACCTGCAAGTAATGCAGCTTCGGGATTGGGAGGGAGTAGGATGGATGCATTCGGTTGTGTTTAACTATGACACGCGGAAAACAAAATGGTGTTTTATTGGCATGAAGAATGCTACACTCCAAGGAACGCACGAATGTACCCAGAAAAATGCATCTTGCAGTCAGCATTCGTCTGAGGTAAATGAGAGGATAAGCCTGTGACTACGTAAGGAGTTTTACTGATGACGGTGAGGGCTATGAATATTTTGAGGTTTGTAAGCACGGATTACTTGTGTAAATACAACATGGAAGCGGATAAGACGAGGAGGAGTAACAAGAAAGAGGAATAACGAGGAGTAGATGGAACACACTGTTCCCTAATGACGCAACTCGGGTACATTGTCTAGACTGCCGAAAACAGACTTCAACTGATTCTCATAGTTGTCAATGTTGCGCCGAAGAATATCGAGGCAAGGTCCAAGGAGACGCTCAAAACTGCCTACATCGAGAAGAGCCAACTTTGTTCGGGTAACTGCATAGGCAGAGGCGGCGCGAGGGTGTTTGGTCAGCAGAGCAAGCTCACCAAAGTAACCTCCCTTCTTGATGCGAGTGAGTTCAGTTTCCTCATCTGACCCTGACTTTTTCATGGTTATTCGAACTTCACCATCCTCAACGAAGTACATTTCATCACCTTCCTGTCCCTGACTAATGATCTTTGTGCCACCCTCATAAATTTGCGTGTGGAGAGCGTCGGCAATGCTCATTCGTTCGTAGGCACTGAGGCTCTGAAGAATGGGCACCTGGTTAAGTAGCTCCTCGTACATTTGCCTCTTTTTGAAAGCACTCTTTAATACGATACTCCTAAATACTTCCCGAGTCATTGCCCACAAAATCCCAGGAGTGGTGGCTTGAATTGTAGCTGCTCGCGGCGTGTTATACATAAGCGCAAGTTCACCAAAAGATCCATTGTTATCGTATTGTCCAACTTTTTTCTCAACACCATCCACTTTCACAATAATGTCATAAACTCCTTTTTCGATCACGTAGAAGTTGTCACCATCTTCGCCCAGAGTAATGACCTTTTCCCCAACGTCCACCTTCCTTTCAAACATGGCATCAATGACATCCCGCATTTGATCCTCATCGAGGCACCTAAAAAGCAGAATTCCCTTGGTCGCATTGGCCAGTCTTTGTCGTTGTTCGTCTGTTTTCTCATAAACGACCTTTTCAAATTTGTCTTCCTTTTCCGGATCATAGCTCTCTGCTGCAACGCCTTGACGACGCCTAGCTCGAATTGGAGGTGCCATAATCTCCTCCTCGCTTTCGGCATCTTCGTTTTCCTTCTGTTGGTTTTTTTTCATTTCAAAATATTCCGCTGCAAAATTTATAATATTCGATGGCCGGTTGCGCAAAACAGCAACTGTGAAATCCTGAAGTATTTCACGCAGGCCTGCTGGCACGTCAACAGTCTTCTTCGACATTGGGTGTGGAGGCGTGTGCGTGCGGACGTGAGCGCGGGAACGGGTGAATTCTCTCCACCACTGATCAGTGAAAAGGATTAGCCAACTTCACGGCCCGACAGAATCTGCGATCCCTGCACACGTTATTTGCTAGCTTCGCGTTCATTGGCAGTCACCACTTGTCTAGCGTAGACCAATCACCTTCAAGGTTAATGTTAGCTTGCTACCACGTGCGCTTATTACCGCGACTGGGTTGCATGCGCACACCTCTTCGAGTCCTGATTGGTCGCCTAAGGCAGCCATGTTTTCACTACCATTAAGGTCTCGACTGCACGTAACACCACGTATGGCTAATCGAAGTATGCTGGTCCTGCCCACCAATTCTGTGCTCTCTTATGTGGGTCCACAGCGAATGAGCTTGAGATATTCGGCTGAGAAATGTTCAATTATGAAACTTTAAAGTTATAATCCTTCGATATATCTGTATAAATCGTCGATTTCGCTGTAACTCAGAATATGGTAACAATGTGTTATCACTGCTCTGATGCGTTCTGTTAGTTTGAATCACATTCCAGTTGACTGCACTTTCTGATTACTGGCTGCGAAAGTAGTAAAAATTACTCCATTCTTAGCTGAATTTCTCCTTCTGTGATTGCTCAGGCTTCTTAACACTCATGCATGCAATGGCTGGTGCACCTACTTGGTAGCACATCAAGCGTGGTGAAGACGTTGCGTATACAACTAGTGGATGGTTGTTCCCTTCAGAATAACACTATCGGTTTACCCTTGAGTGAATATGAGACCCTAGCTGGGAGGTTTTTGTTATTTTGAGACGTAATTATACTGTCACACAAGTCCCCAACCACATCCTTCGCGATGCATAAACAGTTTGTCGACAATTGTTTAAAATTTGGGCCTAAATATTGGGCATCTTGACCATCCATGCATGCAATTCGGCGTAGCCATCAGGCGCTAAGGTGTCAGCTGGTTACCAGTATGCTTTTACCCTCTCTTATGCCACCGACATGCCCATTAGCGAATGCCATCACCAACCCAAACTATTCGATGTTTATCGTCTGGTACTACAGTGCGACCTCTGCAGTAGTTGACAGCCATCCGAGCTCACCTAGTTGTCAACTTATGAACCAAATTTATCTCATTTCTCCAAATGATCTAGTGTTACGTTTTTTCATTGCTCTCGAAGATGCCAAGGAAATGTTACAAGGTTATTTAATTAAAATGACATTATTAGTGCCTACAGACATGTTGCCTAATTCGCAGTATCAGATCCTTCAATTAATTGATGGAGCTTTGTAAATGCCTCACACTCACAACAGTAGTTGCAACCCATTCGTTTCTTGAGCAAATTCTCTTCCACAAAAGTCGATTTCCAGATCCGAAGATGATGCAAATACCAGGTCTATAAGCGCTGTGGTTCCGGTTCTTTGTGGGTGAAGTGAATGTTAAATTTTCAATGCTTTTTCTTCTGACTTGGTCCAATTCAAATTAGGGACCAATCTCACTTATATATTGCCTTGCCCTTCGAAACAGTCACCACATGATTTGGCTCCAAAATGAATGCCAAGCTAGACAAAGAAATTTTACGCTTTTGTGTAGCTAGCGGATGTGTCGAGTTACGTAGATAGCCAAACCTTGTTGTATGATAAGGCATCTATTCTAAACGCATTCTACTTGCAGTCCTTTGCGTTTCACTCACAACTGTAAGCCAAGGTATTTTAGCACTTGCCTGTACATTTATTGAAATCCTGTGAGGACTTCCGACACCACCATTGTTCTCGTGAAGTAAAAGCGGTATCCAGTCCCTTAAAGTATGTGCAAGCTGTGAAGTTTTGTAGTGGAACATTGTTTTGTTTAAACCGACTATTCGGCAAAATATTGTATCAAAACGCACAGATTTTTAAAATCACTCATACTAGATGAATTTTTTTTCTCATAGAAGATGGGTGCATAGAATGCACAGCATACATGGTCTGCCAAATGATACCGGTATTACGAAATGGTTAAAAGATTGCCCTAATGTGGGATTGGATGTGATGCCTATTTTGTATTGCTTAGATTGGATTGAACTGACTGTAAGAGATTTATCTGCCTCCTTCCCAGATTTACTGGAAAAAAAAGTGAGTAAAAGCCTAAACGTTCCTTAAAAAAACACCTGCCTGACACGTTCTCCCTACAATCCAGAACGGAGCGACGCCACACTTAGGTAATGATTTGCATAATTGATGGAAAGTTTAGTAAATCATGGAGGAGCTGAGTAGAAGTTTTCTCAGCATTAAAACTTTTTAACTTTGAGGTGGTAATTTGAAGTAGTAAAGTCTAGTTGGTCCTTAAAAACAATCGCACACTAGCGTCAATTTTCAACCCATCGCCCTAACAGCGGCATAGGGTATTGTGAACCGACTCTTCACTTTGCTAAATAGTAAATTTATCAAATTCAGAAAAACTATCGCCAACTTCACCACGAAAGTCCACATTCATTGAGATCTTTGTTTCCAACCACAGGGAAAAGTAATATGATGGCATTGAGAAAACGCATGGGAGGTACGAGTTTATGCACTGCATCTATCTGTGCTTTTACATTTACTTCGATTTATTTGTGCAGATTCCGGGAACTTTCATCGGTTTCACAAAATGAGAGCTAAAACTGAATTCAGGAAAATATTCGTGTTCAAACGATGTATTTAATCGGATTAATTGTTCCCACTTAATCTTAAAAAGGGCCGTGCTGCGCCACGGAAGAACTCAATCCATAGTCACATCTTAATTGCGTTTTGAAGTTTTAATTTCCCACTTAGTGATTATTTAAAAGCATTTTTATGAAGGTTGCAACTGGTGCTGCAGGCAGGTCACGCATCCACCTCACCTACTACGGCTTAGCCGCGGCAGACGAGCAAACTGCAAGGCTGTACACCCACTTCCGAGTGAGCATCGCAGAGGCAAATATAAGACATTAAAATAGGCAGGCAGCTTCTTTTTAAGGTTCGGTTTCTTAAACGTATGTTTCATTTCACAGATAACTCGCCTGCACATTTTACTAATCAGTCTGGTGAATTCTCACGAATTTCAGGCATTCCCCATAAACTAAAAAAACTCCATGTGCTTTCCGAAAATCTCCAGTTTTTCCACTTTTAAATGCCTAAAATTATTTTCCCGGTTCACCATTACTTTAATTTACGCTCCCGACAACATTCTGATATCGTTTCTGAGGTTGACGCGAATGTATAATTTCCACTTGGGTAGGACAGTCGTTCCATAGAAGGGCATTTAATAGTAAAAAGCAACTTTCTAATAATATCTGAGTTTAACCGGCGGTGCAAAACATTATCCCAAACGCACTTTAACTAAATCCTTTCTCTATAATGTAACCTGTGTTTCTTTATGCCCACATCACATCAAGCGGCATTGTGCGACGGAGTGTTTACATTCCTAATACTTAAATGATCATAAATAAGGAAAAAAAATTGCATTAGCCGTAAATAGAGGGAGGGGAAGTGTTTGTAATTCGTTACAGAAGCGAATACGTTCGAGACAAAACCATTTAGCATAGTGGTTTTCTTAGAGGTGTCGCATTGCGAGCATTCCCTTGGTAATACCATTCCAAGAATTCCCACGCGACTATAGTCCGATGGCCACAAAGGCTAAAATAATTCACCAAGACATCAATTCAATTTCAGCGAAGTCAGTTGGGTAGGCATTGTGTTAACTGACTTTCACAAGTGTATTTCGCATGCATCACAGACCAAAAGACTACTTGATTTCCCTAGAAGTAACAGGATTATAGCGACCAGTAGGAGGAGGACTACTTCCGGCGATTTCCCCTAGGCGTTCTTAGTAAACGGTTTCCGTCTCTTTTAAAAATGGAAACCTAAGTTCTTCATACCTCACTAACAACAAAAGGCCACAAGATAATCAATTCAGGGGAATAGTGGAAACCGAAAAAAGACGGTATGAAGTATCCACTGTCCATTTGAACCACTTTTAGAAAAATTTGTACTTTTATGTGTGCATTTTAAGCATTAAGTACTTCTAGAACGTTTTAGAAAATACTTTGGAAGACGTTTTATTCGCTTAAGGTGTCAAATAGAGGACTTACTATAGTTATTTTTTTGCTAATATTGTCGTTAAAAAATGATAATGCATTGAAAACCCGCCTGGCAATAGTACATAGCCTATAAAAGTAATCAAGGAACTGAAACATTACCAAATTTTGAAAAAGATGAATATTTAAAGGCATATCCCACGTACTGTGAGGGGTTGAACTCTTGATAACTAGTGATGTAACGTATAATGAATTCGCAGGTTGTACTAACTTTTCTTGGAGTAATAATTCGAGCCATATGATTTTGCTAAGATTACTACCACTTCCGTTCGAATTTCTGGTACAACGTAGCTACGAGATGAGTGCAGTGATCAGGTTTTTATTTAGATACACCTTAGAGACCGCATGGTGTAATTCCATTTAGTGACAAGGCCCTGTGATCATGCCTGTAGCTTTCCAATCCTTCTCTACGTAAAAAATGAAGTCCCCTCCGTACTGGTATAGCTCAGTTCAACTTAAGGGAAGAGTGGGAGCGCTTCAACATGTTCCGGACGGTTGACTTACGATAAGTACCTTAAAGACATGCAAAAATCACCCAATCAAAAAAATTATAAACTTCTTTTCTGTCTGCCTTGCAAGATATTGCCGTAAAAATGCTTATAATAGTCACTTAAGATTATCGTGCATAGGTAACTTAAAACAAGCCCAGAAAAAAAGAACTTTTGACTGGCTTTCATTTTTATACAAGGAATTTATCTTTTGGGTACAGTATAGGTGGTCTGATAGTATGTTTAAACACACGGGCCCCTGACTCCGCGTGGGGTGCAGATCCGCAACACCCAGCCCTTCTCTACGTTACTTGCACATGTCCTTCACAGTACTTTGGCTTGTCACGTCTTTAGGGAAGATAGAGGCATTGCAGTGCCTCGAGACTTCCCAGAAGACGAATGAAAACTTAGGCCTCGGGCAAAATACGCATCGTCGAAGTACAATAGACCCAAGGGCTTAATTACGAAGCTTCTGCATAGCACAAGTGCACTGATTGCACCTTAAGGCATAGTTTGTTCTCTGCTACTTTAAATATTAGGCTGGTTTTGAATTAGTATTTGCTAAAAATTCATAAAGCCTTAAAAATGGGTAAAATTGTCAAGTTCATATTAATTTTACGATTTTTTCGAGATAGTGGATGACAAAATCTTAATTTAACTTAATAGTCCTAATTGTAAACGTATCTACGATAAATGCACTACAATCGTTGAAATGAACACGCAGATCTCCTTGTTTTTTTAAAATAGTTAATCAAGGTATTGCATCGAGCAGTTCGGGCGGGTTTCCGTTAGGGAACTTCTGTTGTGTGCTCTCAGGTGGTTATGGCTGGCTCAAGTCTTGCTATCAACCGTATAAAAAAGGAGCTTTTGGAGTTGCAAAAATCTACTGATGTAAGAAGAGACCATTATATATACCCCCTCAGAATGCTGATAATCCCATTGAAATCTATGCAGAAGCCGATAACATAATGAAACTGCGTGGTGTTATAGTCGGTCCGCCGGATACGCCCTATGCTGGGGCAAAGTTTATGTTGGAAATAATAATACCAGAAACCTACCCTTTCCTGCCTCCAAAAGTTTGTTTTTTCATAACCTAACCTCCTGTAGGTCAAGTTTCTAACGAAGATCTGGCATCCGAACATTAGTAGCGCTACCGGTGTCATTTGTCTGGACATACTGAAGGACCAATGGTACATCATTATCAGATCTAATTTGATGTTTACTACCGATCTTATCAGCTTTCATGTGCATATGGCTTTTTGCTATCGCTAATTAAGCTAACTGGCCTAGACTCATGTTTTTTTCACGGATGCATTAATGTTTTTACTGCTGCACTTTTTTCTCTGTAAGACGTTGGTCCTAAAGAATATGGAAGACTATTTCTCAATCTCACTAGTAGACACCTGTCCCGCTAGAATATGTCGAGTTTACTCTTATACGTTGTCATAGGTTTACGTTCACATGAAGTAGTTGCTGTAAATGTGGTAACTTCAAGTGGCACTTCTTAGTTTTTGAATTTTTTTGCAATATCCTTCAGCCGACCTGTTTTGAATGATGGTATCATCTTTTGAACCACTTTTCGTCCCCACTTAAGCTAAATCACCAAAGGTGGCAAATAGGTCCGTCATGGTCATAAAATCTATGCTCATCAGTTATTGATACCTCTATACTATTTGCTCTGGTTGTTAACGGTCTTCTGAAAATGCACAAATTTTTGAAATTATTTTTTGTTGCTGTTTTCTCTAGATTTCTTATGTTGGAATTTACTACTGTTTGTGAGTTTATTTATCCTAGTAAGATCGTACCTCGTCATTGTTTGACATAGCAAGCGGCGCGGAGAGTATATTGTCAGGAGTTGGTTCACTTTTCACTGGCCCCCTCTATAAGGATTATAGCGCTTTTTAGGGTTCCATATCAGACAGCCTTCTTAATTTAATGTTCATCAGATTCACTTTGCTGGTGCAAGGCCCCTTGGGAGGTGTTTTCTTGACGATTAGGCAGGTAGTGTTGGATGCTTTCCACTGCACTGATAACAAGTCAATTTTTAGAGTTATCTGTCGTGAGGCTAAGGAGTGTTGGGGACTCGCTAGGCACGATGCGGGCTATGTGCGCTTCGGTCAGAGGCCGCCTCATGATAGACTGAATTATTATGCAGCATTATTGGTAATTTAAGTGCAACCAGCATGCTCCATTTCATCCAGTGTAGTTTGATTGCAAATCACTCCTCACATAATTTTAATTGATGGGAGTTGGGCTAATCATTCTGCCCATTATTCGCCTTATTCTAGGGCGGCTGCAATGTCATTGCGTACGATGTTGTTGTCGATCCAGGCGTTGCTTGCCAGTCCTGAGCCGGATGATCCACAGGACGCCGTTGTAGCTAAACAGTTCAAATCAAATCGAAACGCCTTCAACATAACTGCTAAACATTGGGCCTCCATCTATGCGAATGGGCCTTCTAGGCAACCCGACTGCGAAGCTAAGGTGGAAAAGCTTATGCAAATGGGGTTTTCTGAGGTAATCATTCTATTTGAGACTCGGTTCTGTCAAGACAGTTTAAAAATGCATTCAACTGACTCCATAACCCATTTTTAAAATATTAAGTGAGCTTTTTCATCCCTGCATTACTCGTTTTTCGTTTCAGCAGAAACCCTTCAAATATATTTTATTGACAAAAATGATTTTTGATGGCTAAATCAACTTTAAGAGGGTAAAGTGTAGTATCTATTTCACCTGCATCACCTTTTTGGTAGGTTTCGTCGAATAGCCTCGTTGTTTATAATAACGAACCACTCCACTTTTCCTGCTTATCTATCTGTTTTCATTAATACAATATTGGAAGATGATGTGGTGGTGCTTTAAATGTCTTTTCTTGCGCCGTTTATTTACCTGTTCAGTTGTCCATTTCTGATCCTCCGTAGCAAGTGTACATTAGAAGTAATTGCTCAATGCGTTGGTAACATCTTTTGTCATACAATAAGGTATCACTGTTTTCGGTTTCCTGTTGACGGTCTTTTCGTGCTTCAAATAGCGCTTGAACCATCTGAGACTTCCAGCTGTCAAGAAAGACACCTGACAATTCTGCTTATTCGCATGTTAAATACTCCTATTCCCATAAGGGTATCCTTGTTCCGTAGTTCTCGTTTTGAACAAAATTGTTAAAGCCGCACTCTCCTCAAAAAACCGTATGCTAGTACATAGTGCACACAGTTGTTAAGCCCTTAGCAAATTGTTTTTCACTTACTGCAATTCTTCACTTTTAGGGTTTTAGCCTTCTTTTAGTTATTAATAATTCCCTAACGAAACTCAAACAGTTGAATGTTTGCTTCGATCGCCAACTATTGTTGTGCCATAATGAGTTGCAACTGGGTTATTTGTTTCTCTATGTGATTCCACGTCACCAATTTATTATTTTTTGTCGTCATTAGTAAATATTACTCGTTTCATTTACTCTCACTTTCGATATGCAGCTAAGGGCTGTTTGCGTAGATTGATGTCAATCGTATACTACTGGGATTCTTTCTAGAGCGATTCCAGGGCGGCACTATCGTCGAAGGACTGGGATATCCCAATGGCTGCGGAGTTTCTTATCAAATAGCCGCTTGCAACATCTCAGATGTCCCAATTCTCCTATTGACTTCGTTCAAGTTCTTTACTTGAAACCCCTCTTCATAGTATGAATAACATTCTCCGGATTTCGTTTCTATAAGTTCCTGCCAATATCCTTTATGTAAATACTGTCATCCACTCCTACATTGCCTCCATTTCAACTCGCTCAAAACAAAGCTCCTGCTCTGATGGGTTGTGGATGAGATGCGTAACATTAGCAACGATTGAACGCCTTTGTCTCATCCCTCGGTGAGTTCAATAAATGGCTGTCTGTAATCAACAATGTTTTATTGAAGTATACGCTGCCGAAGCGGTGCATTCTGGAGTTCTACCAATCGCTAACATTGCTTCGCAGTAAGAATGCAATAATGACGCTGGTGGAGACCTGATTTGCTGCGCTTTAAATGTGACACTCTGGAACGTGGGAGTGTTTGTAACCTCTTAGTCTAAACGTTCTTGTGAATGGCAGTTTCCCGTGCGTGGTCGTGGAGGGTGTCTCATTCGTGAAAACGTTTCATGAGGTGTTAGTGAAGGTCAGACAAAAGTGGTATTTTACAGTCCGGGGAAATGTCAACTAAGAAACGGAGTTAACTGATGTTGGACGATCGTTGAAGTTTTAAATTCCGTTTGTTTCAAGTCGGACCTCTTACTGATTCAAATTCATGCCCTGGTTAGGAATGGTGAGCATTTATCGCCTGTGGCAAAATGACATTTATTTGGATCTAACTACCTAGGCTATTGAGCCTACACAGGTTCCAGTCACCATCTTGCTGATAAGATTCACGTTTATCGCGGTCTCGGTGTTCGTACACCGGGCTTTCTACAGATGCATTCTGTAACGCCTTCGGGTTGAACAGATCTGCTATGTAGATATCAAAAATCAAGTTCATATGCAAACCTCTTATATCTCAGAAGCAGTTTTAAGTCGCTGAAGTGCAAATCACAGAAGTACACAAATAATTCAGTCGACTTTACAAATACATGCAAGCGGATACGTATCAAGAGTTATTTTATGTTAATTAAATCCAGTCATCAAGCAGTTGAATTATAGTGCCAACGGCTTTGTAGGTTGTCAATGTGTGATACGAGTACTTAAAGTTACTTTTTTGTTATCCCTATTTCACATAAAGTCACCAAAGTAATAACTGAGTAAAACAATGTATGTAACACCATGAGCTCACTAACATATTTTAACCTATGGACAAATTTTGAAAAATCGTAATACTTAAATCAATGAAGCCAGATTTCACTGGAATCCTGCCGCACCTGCTGTGAACATGATCCTGTCACATATGACCTTGACAAAAATATTTGACTTTGTATTACTCTTAAGTGACTCTTATGTTTTTCGGCACGTTTGCCATCGAAAAGGCAATTTGATGCAACTAGATATAGTTGGGCTTACTTTAAGCTCAATATTGACCAGTTCATTTATTTTTTCTGGAATTTGACCAATTATGGAGTTGTTTTTGACAGACAGCCGCCACGTACACTGCATTATCTCCAATAATTATCAGGGATAAATTTAAATAAGTCATTTGAGACAAGCTTTAAAACAAACACAACACCTTTGAATGAGTTATATCCTCCTAGTCACCTCTTTTTGAGGTTAGGCCGTTGTCACGCGTTTGTTTGTGGTTGTTCAGGATGCTTCTTTCTATTTTTGTTGAATTCACTTCTAGTTTCTTGCTTTATTCTGCTTCACAGTAGTGAAACCACTATACCTTTTGCGGTTATGCGTAGCATATTAGTAAGAGAACTTTTTATTGACCTTTGCGGGTACAGGTGTGATGCAAGCGTGTGGCATTCTTGTTTCTGTTTCAAAGTGATTTAATATGTTGTAGTGTTCCTAATCTGGTGCTGTGACTGCGTTTAGGATAATTTTCTCTAGTTTTTGTTAGTAATTGAAAATTTCGATACAGTGTGTTCATGTGACAGAGTGAGAACTCTTGCATTCTCAATGTTTTCAGGATCATAATGGATAACACGCTTATAAGCGATGCTGAACGCTTTTTTATAATTCAAGGCGCCCAGGTGAGCATTTTCCCCTAACTTACAAGCCACGAAAGCTCGGTTGTCGATTAGATGGAAGACAGCGAAGCGACTTTCGGCCAATAGAAATTGAAACGGGTATTCTTAACCACACAGCCGGCTCAGCAAGAGTCAAAATTGTGGGTTTCTTTTCAGATTTTTTTATTAAGTTTACCTATTCAGGGAAACACCATTGTAATTGCATGTGTTTCAATCGAAATTGGCACCCCGTCTGTTGATGCTCCTAACGAGGGCCGACTAGAAATTGATGTTGAATGGTGAGTTTTCCTTTCAAAGTGATTGTTTCTCCAACATTGCCCTTTTGTTCTATCTTGCCGGCAAATATTTTATTCATTGCTATTATCCAATAGTCTAAGAATGGAAGGATGGTATAGCTTCTATTTTCTTACATAAAAGGTCGCTATTTTGCCTATTTCTTTTGCACAAGCTCTCCTACGGCCACACCTAGGTTTTCTGGTAAAAGCGGATCAGATATTGCAGATACACTAAAAGCCACTCTCTCGACTGCACTTACAAGGGAGTGTCTCCCCTTTAAATTGCTGTGCATTCAACCCGGAAAACAGTGCTGGATCATCCACGCTGATGTTCTTGTAAGCCATTTGCTGTTATTTCTCAAACTATAGCTCCTTGAAAGTGCTGGAAATCTTCTGGATGCGACTTCCCTTGCAATTGTCGCCGTTCTGTCAACAGTCAAGTCAGTATTTTTTTCCATAGCTTCAGTTCATTTCTAGGTTACCACTTTCTTTAGCTCGGAAAATTGCAACAGAAACCGGTGATACTTCCGGTGGTGGCGATTTCGCACTCTCAATAAAAAATCTTTCAATGTTTACTACTGTTCATAAGGTTATGTTTCAAGCAATAGTTGTTTGGTTAGGCATCAGCATTTTGGGATTAAATTTACAGCCTGAGTTTTGTTCGTGACAGATCGGGAATTCGTATATCGTTGACGCCGACAAGGAAGAAGAAGCCTGTTCATTTGCCCGGTAATTTCAAAATTATTTCTACTGAGTAACTTCTAGTAGATCCTGTGCAATGTCGCTTATGTTCAAGGCCCAATGGTGTCCATTATTTAATTTTTAAGATTTGAGAATTTTAGTACCTGCTAAATTCTCTATATTTCAAAATAAAATTGAAACTTCTACTCACTTGAACCCTAAATAGGTTACAGGTATAACTGTTTACGAGAAAACTGCGTTGTGGAAATTGGAAATGCTGCCTTCTCATGCTAATTGCTACTGAGTTGGTTTTATTTCTAGTGAAAAATGGAAATTCATTACTTGGAATAAATATTTGATGATGCGTTGCTAACTCATTGAAAAGCACTCATTGATGATCATCTGCAAGATAGTGGACATTGTACTTTGTCATCAATGTGGGTATGTTACAGGTGATTATCCACAAGTATGGATTAACTTATCGAAACAACTTTTACAATCACGAGTGTAACTTTGCATTGAGTGGGGTTTAATAGATTTTGTTGGAATCTGCGTGCATTCCTATGTGCTTTAGGGTTTTTGTCGCCGTTCGTGCTGATGGGACGATTACAACAATCATCAAGGAGGGGTGTGGCAGTCTGCGGATCGAGTCAGTAATGGACATGATTGAGGTGGGCCTCTCTATTAAAATGGGTTTGATCTTCAATGTCTTTGGTTGCGTTTGTATCACTTCTGTGATTTGGTACTTTTTTCGCCACATTAATACAGGAAATATTCTCTCAAAGATTTAATCTCCTAGGCTGAAGCAGTTGAGATAATCTCTACAAGCGGCCGTCGAGTACAGTATGAGGAATGTGCTCAAAAACAAGTACCATGGGTTCCCGCCATTTGAAAAATCCATTTAAACGGGCTTGTAAAGCGACAAAAAGTAGATGAATGGTGTGGGACCGAATGTGCTTCCCATGCATGGAGCTTAAAATTCGTAATTTGTTTCTTGGTAGGAACACAAATGGGAAGTACTTGTATCTTTCATGAATTCTAAAAATAGTAGCTATAGATTGCTATTTGTTGGAAATCGGAAACTCATAAGTTGTAGTATCCTTTTGGCCAGAGTTGGGAATTTCATCTAACCTCATTATTTCGTTCCATACTGCCAGTCTTGATAAGAAGGTGAAGCTTTACTTGATAGCTTATTTTCATTTAAAATCACTGCTAATGTTCCATTTTACCATTCATCAGATTGCCTGTATGTATTTCCTATTTTTTTGAGTTATCCATTTGGTTTTACTTCTCAAAATACCTTTAACTTAAATCCTTCTGGCAGTGTGATTGTTCTGCAATGTTTTGATGTAACCCTCTGAGCGTTTTTGCTCTCTCGTATGCTAACGTACGCATGACTCTTGTAACTGTAGTACCTTCATTAGGTGATAGTATCGACACAGACATCATTACTAGCACTTTTCAGTCAGTCGCTTAACGTTTGCTTTGCTTACTCTTTGTCTCCTTTTATCGTCTGAAGTTAGCCTGCCTGTCTCTTCTGTATAATTTCTTTTTTTTTGGTGTTGCTCTTCCTTTATAAGCCTATAAACCTCTCTATTGGTCACAAAGTGAGATCACTTAAGATTAAAGAAACTGAAATAGAAGTTTTTTTGCAAATGAATGGCAATATTCAGTTCGAATCTCTGCATATCAGTGGATAGCTATGTTGTTTTCTTAATCCAGACCTCTTTTTGCTTATTTTCCCTACTCATTTGAAATTTTCCGCATTCCTGCGCATCGAAATACCAAGACCACGGCTGGTCTTTGGTCCTTTTGACCACTAGGCTGTAATGGGTTTAATGTTTCTCCTCTCCGTCTGGCTTCAGACCCCTAAAGCGAGCAGATTCAGTTGAGAAGGACATCTTTTATTCATGTAAAATGGGGAGAGTTTACAGATTATCAATGTTTGCAGCAAATCGGGGTTTTTTTCACCCCAGAGGTCGAAGGTGTCAGCTATGTCATGAGGCTAGTGTAACCCAATAGTTTATCACCCAAAATGAGCATTTGATTGCATTCTTATCGCTGAAATTCGTCTCTGAATTGTGCTACTGAAGGCGACACTTTATTCCCAAATCGGCTTTAATTCATTGTCCACTGTTACATGAACAAATAGCCGTGCAATGTTTCGTGTCCTGGCTTCTGATCGCATATGAAGAGGGTTGCTTGGTGTGAAAGTGTTTATTGCAAATGGCCTTCAGCAACTCACTAAAACATTTTCAGATATTTTATGTTGCTAAAAATATGGGTATAAACACAATTGAATGGTTATTCTCAAACTCTGACGTATAACAATCTTGTGTATTTGTAATCCTACTGATATGCCAAATGCAACAGTACTGTACATCCTCGATACAGTTTGCCCGTGATTCCAGTGTCAATGCTTTTTTCATGCAGGACAGTGAACTGTAAGATAGCTGCAAGTCTCTGGTATTGACGCAAGGCCACTTGTTGAGCTGAAGGAAAAAGACATTTTTAGTTTATGTGGCTACTGCTTGAAGCAATTATCACTGCTTTTGGGGATAATTTAAGACAACGTTAACTTTCCTATGAGCTGCTTACCTCGGCACACGAAATTGCATAGTTAGTTGTAAATCTATGGGGAAAAACTCCAATATGGATAGATATTGGTTCTGTGTTATTCAACCTCGAATTTGGTCAATTCGGTATGATTTGTCTCCTGTGTGTTGGAAGTTTGGTGATGAACCTCCATAGAGTACCAATTGTAACCTCGGATTTTTTGCTAAAGTATATGATAAGGAATGGTTGTATTGGTAGTTTTAGCAAGAGTGCAAATAAGTTTTTTCAAGAAATAGCTTTAGAGCAGCTGACTTGCGAAATTCGCACAAATCCCTGCACTAAAAGAGCTGAGCACTCGCAGATGCACAAGCAAACTTCGTGTAGCACCATGTTGCCAAGCCTCCTCGAGGTCATTCGTGCTGCCAAATTTACCGTCGTATGATCTCCGACGCCAAGAATAATCGCCAATATAATACTAATCATGACGCATTATGAGACTCACTGTTGAGATGCACAGCCTCATCTTCAATGTCAATGCCAAACCCAAAGGCAATTACACGCTAGTCTAATCCCTAAGCAGCGTTCTCAGTCTACCTCTTCTACTTTCTACTTTTTCCCCAAAAGGTTCATTTATCTGTGGTTGACCTCTTAAACTGTCGTACCTTTTCTCTGTTTTGTCTGTCTAGGTAATTAGAAAGTTGGGAAAGTCTCCCATACTTTCAGTTCTATACCTAGTAAACCTGTCTTGGTAATATCTGATTGTGAATGGCCTTTCATTTGGTTTTTCCCAATTAAAAAGCAGTTGTTCAAGCAAATAATCCGTCTCTATACTATTCCGTCACAACCATATTTCGCTTTTACAATAAGCCAAAATGAGTGAGCTTATTCGAGTATTTGTTCTAATCTCTTAATTATCATTTATGTGTTCAAAAAGCAGTCTTCTTTTATGGCTTATGCACAAGTGCTACCTGTTGAACTCACTTTCATGGCACTTTAATGCTCCTGTACTCTATCGCATGTATCCAAAGCTCCTCCAGATAGGTACTTGTTCTGGCACTCAATCCAATGCCCTTTTTAACGCTTTCACGATGGTAATGGACCTTGATTCAGCGGTCTTAACCAGGCAGATGTATCGTGACCTCGGTACGAGTTCGCCTAACTAATCTCCCAATTGCACTTAAGTATTGTAATGCTGGATTTAAAGGTTTTACCCGTGATGAACGCCGAACTGTTTGCTGTAAGGAAGTGAGAACCTAAATGAGATACTACAGCTAACTGACTAACTAGCTTGTGTTTCTATACCTTATTATTGAACTGGGAGAGGGGTAAAGTTAATTCCCCTAATGTGCACTTCATTCATTGGTGCTACATTTGCGCAAAAAGGACTTTTGGTAACACTTTTGCTCTGGCGTAGATGTGTTCCTTTTGATTCGCATCATCAAACTTTGTTACTTTCGCTTATTCACTTAAAATCCTGTACTTTATGTAAACTACCACATATACCTTGACGAACGATTCTGCTAGTGAACCAATTAAAAATTACTTAGGTAGGAAAACTTTTAAGTTACTTATTTTACACTTACTGTGGTCTGCAAATGGTTCGTAACTTTTTATATCCAATTGTTTTAACTAAGCGAAGCTCTCCATCATGTATAGCTTGTGGCCACTGCTTTTAGTTGGATAGCACATGATTTACTTAACACCGTCAGTTTTGCCTGATGCTGTGTCTACTCTAGATATTAAGTAGTCTTTGCTTCTTTTAGTTTTTATCTACTTTGTCATGAAATACGTTAATATAAATTAATCACTAGTCATTCTGGGTCTCATTTTGAACTAAAATCTCATAATAATAGCTTGCAATAAGTTTTAGTTTTTTATTTCTAACGTTTCTAAATTTGACTAGTCATCAATGTATGTTTTGAAGATAGTCTCTTCATTTTAATCCACAATGCATATATCACAGCAACAAGACCTTTGTTTTCAATAGGAATGATGCGTCTCACTGATTCCGACTTTGGTTAAATGAGTTGCCCAGATCTGGCAGGTGTTACATTGGGGAACCACTTTGTGTGTCAGTCCCCCTCCCTAAGAATACGTATCTGGGGCGTTAAAACGCATTGAAATGAATTGGGCAGCTTTAGCTAAGTTTTGGCCTGTTTGTTTTGCTCCAACTATTGTCTTTGAGTCAGAATTAGTGGAACTTTGCTGTGCACTTGCGCACTTCTCTCGATCTCTCGATGACAGACGAGGTATACCCTGGATCGGGTCAAGTCCGCAAAAGTTGTGTTGCTGTTATGGTACTGGCAAAATTGGACTGGTTTTTTTCTAGGGAAACCTATGGTGGATCACAAAACAATCCTTTTCTTCAAGCGTATTTATGTGAAAGGCAGACGTCAGTGCTCTCTTAAGACAAAACAATTGCCATTTATTCTTCCCCCATACAATGCCTTGCCCAAATGATTAATTTGCACCAGTTGGTGAGTTTCCAATCCTTCGGATTATTGCATTCAACGTTTATTCTTTCCCACAGACTTGCGATATTATCAATAGTAGGGGATATGGTCATTGGGCTAGTAATTAATACGAGTAAACCGTCTTTGTTTGCGTAATCCATTGTCGGTCAATCAGCGTACATTTAAGAAGTCTGTTTTTTTTTTCTTCGCGTCTCCGCCAACGTCCCAAGCACTCAAGGTCTACCACATTGACAGATTTGGGCCCTCATTTAGAGAGGGGTAGTTCGACTTATTGTTTACAGGCGGTGTAGTCAACTTCGCGAAAAAAGCAAGCATATTTGCTTCTGTGTACGTGTGTTCAAACACCTGCATGTCATGTGAGTCATGGTATTTTCTGCGTCGGAAACCACCCGCATTTCTTAAAGGGAAATGGAATTCGAGTCTTTTCCCGTATGGCGCATGAATTTTGCTCTGCTTTGAAGCTCTCGTCCATTCGCTGTCGAATGTCTACCTCCTTTTAGTGGCATTATGATTCTGGTTTTTCAAAAGTTGGGATTGTGGCACTTAGGCGTTTAATGTCATGTTCGTACATCAGTGTACTCTGTTATATCTCTTTTCATTGGCTTTGTTTTGAAAATCAGAGTAAATGGTTGAAAAATCACACTAGATTAACCCGTACTACATATGGACTACTGAAATTAATAATGCCAAATCCTTATCTCCTGAATTTGTGCCTTAGTATTCTATGTTAACCACAGTAAAATATTGGCGCTTCATTTGAACTATGTTGCGCAACATCCCAAGCACCAAGAGAGACGTCATATTTTCAAGCATCTTCTAGCCATTTGAAATGACAGCCTTTTGGTTAAAACTTGGCTTGCGCGTGTAGGAGAGGAGAGCTGACTGTCCTCGTGAAGTGTGATGGGAACATCGGCTATCTGTGTTTGCTATTTGTTTAAATCGGATGAGAATACCTTTTTACCCGATAATACTCTTGATCCCGCCTTTCATTTGAACTTAGTACCACAGCATATCGGATGAACCATGTTAGATGCTCCGAACGGGATATAACAACCCGTTTAAGTCGACGTGTGTACAGAACTTCCCTAGTATCAGTCAAACGCCATTTTGCTAAATTAAACTTCAATTCCAAACTATTCTACCCTATCCATGTAGTTCGATCTATTCATCGTGACTTGTTTTCCCTTTTTCTAAGACTGATTTACTATTCCAGCCATTACTAACTCCAATGTATTTCACTGCGTCAAATCTCAGTTCCGTAAAATGTCGGCAAATTGACGCTGGCATTTACTTTGATCTAACTGTTGACCGTATTTTTGTTGTGCAACCGAATGTACCAGGCGTTGCTTTTACAGAATATCCAGTAACCATTTTTAATCTGCAGAAGTCATGTCAATTACACAAACAAATAGTCTTTTGTGGTGCACTTCACATGCGTTCACTATCACCTCAGCCTGCCAGTCGACAACCAAAAACCCCACGGAAGTCTCAAAATGGATAAGAAATTGTGACCATATCGCATGCATGATGCCGTGCACAAGGTTCAATGAGTCTCTTCGTTCGTCTATTGATTTGACCAAATTGTTTTATGAATTAAACAAACTGGAACGTACATTGTTAATATCAAGCTTAGCCACACCACTCATCGTTCCTAGAAGTTCATTTTTACTGTACTTGAGCGGCCTATGGATATCGCATGCTTAGTGAGGGCATGTCCTTTGTGTGCATCATCGCTTCCATTGGCATGTCTTCTTCAGTCACAGCCTGCTGTTAAAGTGTTTTAGCCATGACTCAGGTATGCATGCCTTATCACTCAGCCGCCTTGACTAGATGTCCAGTGGTGTTGCGAAAACACCTCTGCATTCACAGGCGGTTATGTAGCTGCCAAATAGGGCCCCCGTTGCCGGTATCGTGATGCCTGGATCCGGAAAGCCTAGCAAAGGACGTGCTCTACGGGGCTATCCTTTACACAGGACGCCTGTTGTAGCATGCTTTCCGTGGTTGTCTTGCTTTTTTCAACTCTCCCATAGCAGTTTCCCCAAAGTGCCTATGCTTGTATCTTCAATACTTTATTCCATTACCAAAGCGAACACCTGAGGAGATTCCAACCTACAGATTACACTAACCTATTCGTCTTCATTCGCCTAATACTGCTTGTTTAATCGCAGAACGATATACAATTTTGGGAAGTGTCTGTATCGTTGAATTCGGATTGCGTGATGGGTATTTTCTATGATGCTTCGTTTGGAGTTTATGCCTCTGTTCGTTTTCATCCCGCTCAGCACTTCATATTTCCACATTTCATTACCGTCTGGTTCAGTTTGTTGACATCAACCTGTCTTGAAACTGCCGGACTTTCACTGAATCTTTCAAAGCTTATCCCTTTTTAAATATCCGATTAAATGGAAGCCTAACATACTTTTTCTATCTATCCTTGTCTAATCCCAAACCGCCAAATTGTCGGTTGCGTCGCAACTTTAAGATCAGGCGCCATGGTGTTCTTATTAATTTCAGAATGTCTCTTATTTTATGTTCTTGGAACGTATCCGATAAAGTGTTCTGGCATCTGCAACTCGTCATGATTAATGAGCCCTATTCTTTTAAATTGTTTGTATACAAATCTTTTGGTTAAAGAGAACAATGCATCTATGACGGAAAGTAATTAGCATGCCCAAGTTGCTCATGCATCAAATGCTGAGGAGTGTGCGAGGGTGACTACCGCCTCTATACGAGTGGCTTAACAATCGTACCACAGAAAGTTAATTTTGTTGTCAGTTCCAGGCAGTATTTCTGTGCTTTAGATTGGTCAATGGATGGGCAAGGGAATGCATGCAGCTCTGGCGTCGGCACTGCAGCAGGAACGCAACATGAAGTCTGCCAGCTAGGCGCACCCAAGTACAGCGAAACTACTGCCCCTGTATATTTACGTTCACATGAAGTCTATAGTTTTTCGCATTTTTACTTTTCATTCCACATTGTTGATGAGAATGGTCAACCTCTGTCCACAAGACTTTAAGAAGTCCATCTGCGCCCTGATGGGTCACTAATACTTTTCCGTATGAATTCGCGGTTTTGTGCTAGGGGTCGAATGCAGGCATTTCAAGCACGTTGGGAAATCTGCTGCCAAACTAAGACTGTTGGTCAATTTGATTCACTTGATGTAATGTGTGCTTCTTCACCAAAATAGCTAATTTTAGTAGTTTGAAATTTCAAGTTGGTTTTTTGCGCGTATCGTAATTACCATAAGGGTTTCGTTTCTATTGCCCAAATATTTTCAATACCGTTAGCGAACTGCCGGTGGTAATGGAATATCAAACCATCGAAAGGATTGCCCCCCTGCCGTATATGTCGTGCGTGAAGCGCTATCGGCCTTGAATGACTTGGAAATTTTCACTTACAAATGCTGTGCATCTGCGGAGCGTCTTGTACAGTGCCAAACCTCTGTGCTACCACTTTCAGCGTTTTCCTTTTTGGCACCCTCAGATCACCCAAAATACCGCAGCGGTGATTGTTTTGAGTAAGATGGTATATGACGTATTATGATAATACCTTGGACCACCCAGAAAGGATTTGGCAGTACACCTACTATTGCCCGATGTGATACTGTTTCAATGCCACCTGTTGATCACTTGTTTTTCCATATGGACCCTGATTTACTGTGGGCGATCTGTTGCGGCATAGCGTTGGGTTTCATTTGTTTAACTCCAGCCGCTATTTGATAAATTTCCTCTCGTTCACTCATGCTATACGTGGGATGGGTAAACCTTTTAGGGTTTCTAATGTTAGGTAGTCTACATTGCATTAGAGATGCTTGAAGGTTATGCGTACATTATTAACATCGGTAAATGAATCATCATTTTGTGTTGGGTGTCTGTCTCTACAAAACAGACGCTGAACATTCTGCACTGTAGATTCACGTTTTGTAGATACCTTATTGTGCCACATGTGGCCTATGCCCCCGGTGAACACCTTAGTTTGCTTCACAAGTAGCTAGGTAACCGACTTTATACGGCCGAGATTTTATGGGGCGAACAGAGGTTATCATTGTAGTGATCAGATATAGGTTTCGAAGCTGTTCTCCGCATTCCCCATAGTTGTGATATCCCGATATCACCTTTTCTTTAAAATTGATAACAGGAAATACCCATATTCGGGTATGTATTGAATGATTGTACTTAGTTTGTTCTTTACTATATCACTGGGAATGTAGTGGCACAGTGCTCATCTGTTTTATTCACTTTTATTTTCTCATTTACGCTTACGCTGTGGTAATGCTTCCCGACTGAGAAAGCACATGGTTAAATTATGGAGGGTGAATCGCAGTTGGGAGCATCTATGTTTTTCTTGAATATCACTTATAAAAAGGTATGCTAATGTGATTACTTTTGGGTGCGTGGTGTATGGATTCGAGTTTACGGGGGCAGCTCCGTTCGGCGTGACTGCTGACATTCCAAGGTTTGAGGTTTGTGTTGCCAAAGCCTGTCTGCCGACACAACCTCTGCTCCATCCACTGGCCTGTATACCGACACGGATTCACCCACTGTTCATATTAGATGTACTTGAGTTTTCCTTCATCCAGGGCTTCTTTCCAGTTCAATACATCTACCGTGACGTCAAATGCTGTATCCATACCCATGCGCCTATCAAAAAATGCATTCCTATTGCGGTACAAAAAATGCATGTTAATGAACAAAAGGTATGTCTCACACCTTCGGCATGGGGACCGCTGCGTGCAACCTATTTTCTAGTACCATGCAAATACTTGACTCAAAAGCAAAGTGACTAAATCGTCCCTACTTCGTAAGGCTACTTGCCGGATTTTCGATCATGGGGAGGTGAATGCAAACTGTCTTCAGCTCTCCAAAAGATAAAAATAGCTTTATCATTCGTGTTTTCGTGTATTTTGGGGACTGAGCACTTGAAATCATCTGCTCTTAGACAGTTCACTTTAGACAAATCAAGATGTCTTGAAGGTTAAACGTCAAACGTCTCACGTTATATTTATAGTACTGGACTAGTGTGCACTATGGCCTCTCCCAACACTGTATTTTTGATTTTAAAAAATCATTTTTAAAGTAACCAGTAAGGGGAGATTGAGTATTTCTCATTGTGTGAGGTCTTAGAAGGCTTTAAGATGATTTCGCCCATTTGGCCCTCCTTGGTCCCAATCACTGGGCCTGGTGGCTGGATCAAAAACCTCGTTTGACCTAGAAACCGCACATTTCTAGCCCTCATAATCCAAACACCCGCTCCGTTCAGTGTTCTGGTTAGCTTGCCGCGACTACTGTAGGATGAGCAGTTGCTGATGTGGCATAAGTGTGGCTACCTGTCAATCAAGCCGAACCAGGTAAGCCAATATCAGAAATAAATAATTGCAGGTAAATCCACCTTTGCCAGCCCTCTCTCCAGCTTAAAAGTATGTTAAAAACACAAAGTTTATTGCACAATTATATTCCAGCGGAATAATTGGATGCAACGCTTCCTTGTAATGTATAAAACCCTTCCCTTGGTTTAGTAGCATTAAGTTGAAGGTATGTAGGAAAAAGTGAGGTGCAGGAAGTGCCTCGATTTACCTCTTTTCTGCTGACTTGGATCTATCCATCATACACATAACTTTGGACAAATGGTCCGCGCTGTATTTCTGCAATACAACGTCAACTCGAAAATTACACGTGGAACCAGAAATAGGCTTCATGTGGGGATCAGGTCACTGCATTGCTTGGCTGCGTTCTCGCCGTGCTCATCGTTCTACAGCCATCGGTGTGTCGCTTTATCTTAGGTCTGAGTTTCAAAAAGACCAATTAAAAGTTAGGCATAGTATTAACTACAAGTCCTATTCCCAAAGTAGATTGCTTCCCATTTTATTTTTAGGGACAAATCTACAAAGGGATCATTTATTTGCCAAAAGGATGGCTCTCCAGTCCATTTGTAATAAAGTTAATAATCTCTAATAAAGTGTTTCCTTGTGTAGAGAATGAAATCGGTAAAATTTCACTAAATCTTCAAAACCAAGACTACTTAAGATTCAAGCATATTGTTTAATGCACAATTATTTATTAACGATAATTACTTTCAAATGCACGAAACAAGATTATTCTTTCTTCAGTTAAGCTGATCTTTGTGACGGATGTAATCCATCTCGGAACCATGACTGACTACCTACCTTTGTCTCTTCCTTTGAGAGTAAAAGCAGAATTTTCATGCCTGGTATGCATGTCGTTTCGAAAAATACTTACTAAGGTGATTTTGCTAATTATCACGCAAATAATAAGCTTCGCTTTGAAGTAAGACTTAACTACCATCGCACAAAATTTCACAGACTTGACATACTTGAGGTGTAAATAGCATCGTTATGCGTAACCTGAGTAGCCTAAGGTATTTCTGACCGTATCTGCAAGCCGCCTTGAACTGTGGGGCGTCCATGTCCGGATCGGGACAGGTGACTCACCTGCGCATTTTAATGCGTTGTAGCATCGCTCGGCGACGCGCTGACCCTTTTGGTTGTCAATCTGCCTATATTTATTGGAATCGCCGCTCTGGCAATCATTGGGGCAAAAAAGAGAGGTGCTGACACATCCATGGCAATTCGACATCATTTATGCCTTTGTAAAGAAAAAAATATTACCTAACATCAAGTCTGTAATTATGTGGTCCTGCATGCTAATTTTTCATTATGCAACACATATTTCAAGTAGCGCGTACGGGGTCTACTTTGAAATAACTTTCAGGTGTTGTCACCTCCATTATCTGATCGCCGTATAGTTCGCACTTCGCACCTCCATTCCACATGGCATCACTTGTCATTTTGATTGTTACATCACAGCAGTAAAACGGATAAATCAAATGCATGCGATTGTAAAGTTTTTTAATGATTTTTACCCCAAATGCTGAATAACTGGAATTGAGCAATTATGATAGGCATGGATTTGGGAAGTATTTTAGTCACTGAGTTTTTTAACACGGGCCGACTGATAAAATCGAGTGCAGTGACTTGACGATAAAGCTTTGTTTATAAGTAATGTACTGTTTCATCTAGAAGTTATTGTTATGCAACGAACTTGGAGGTGAGACCTTGCCAAGGCCATGGAAGGGTAAACATATTTGGTGAGCCGATCAAGACGGTCTTGCCAGTGGCCTTCTAGTGTGACACGTCATTATACTCTAAATCACAGTTGCACACCTAAATCCAGTGTAGCTTATGAAGATCAGCACGTCTCATGCGATAAGGCCAAGTGTTCTCTAACTGAATGAAGCGTCATAAGGAAAGCTTAAACAGAAACCGCGGGAGGTTAAATGACCGTGGTACAATTGACATAAATGGGCATGTAGCACCCCGAGGGTGCCTTGGAAACCAAAGAAGACGTAAAACTCGGGCAGAATATACATTACCGACGTGCAAAAATGCTGGGGAGTCTACTGACATGATCCGAAGGCCGGTCCGGTCATCGAAGGAATAATGGCGGAGCCTAGAGTGGTCCGCCATCAAAACTAATCGTTAAACAAACTATCATCGTATTGCGGACATATGGAAGAAGGACCTAAAACACATGGTAGACATGAAGAAGGGCAATAGGGCAACAAGTAGAAATTGCACCTAAGGGAATGTATTTAATTTCGAACAACAATGCAGCGCGTCGAAATATTTTTCGTGCTGTCCAACTGCAGTGATTTACCCAGATATCGCGCATGCTTCAAAACAGCCGACCATCCTGAAAAATGTTCGTCCATATTCTGCCCGCACTGTTAGTTAGTAAAATACAAGGGTGTTAACAGAATGTCTCTGCTCCAGAAGTGGTTAGAGGGAAAAAAACCAGACATAAATTTCCTAATGATAAATTAAATCTCCGACAGCTTTGCAAGCCCTCAAATGTCTACGTTCTTGCAGAGTTTTACGTGACCTCTATTCTTTACTACAGGCCTGGCATTTTTTCCCTGATGAGCTCCATGTGTTTGCGTGAAATCAAACTAATGTCAAGTAGATTACTTTGAAAGTCGAATGAATACGATAGGGGGAGAAGAGAAAGTCATCGAGAAGATGAGGTTTCCTTTTATGATTGACCAATTTCTTACATGTTCCAGTATTTGCACCTCCAATTATGGCTGGTGGAGTTCTTTTAGTGAAGTGAAATCAGCAATAAATGCTGGCCATAAGTATGATTTCACCTTGTGCAACCTCTTCAATCGTACCGAGTCATTTCAACACCACCAGTCTATTCAATGCCTGACATCTTGGTGCGGGTCATAATTCAAATATATCCCGAAATTACAAAATCTAGGTGCTTTTATCTCATAAGGTATTTATTTCTAAATGAATTATCTTTTGCAACGACTCCAGTCTTGTGTCCTGCCGGAAAGCTATTGATAACTGAAGCAATCGACATTGGCGGTGAACCATCTAAAAGTAATTTTACGGAGTTGTTTACCGTAACAAGATGAAGATATTAAAAAAGTGAACTGCAATACCTCCTCCAGCTCTCTAATAGTTGGATAGAATGCAGATGGATATGGATGGGCAGCACTGGAGTGAGAACAGAGTGGCAAGAAGGAATAAAAGCGAAGCCTTATCCCCAAGAAACTATGTTGCAATCCACCCCATATTAAGTAACTCTGCTTTTAGGCCAGAATTTCCACGAAAAGCGATGAATATGCATGGTGATCTGCACATTCCCCCTTCATGCCAAAACATTTCCCATGCAGAACGGAGCCCCAGATCCAGTGGGGTTGCCAATAGGCGTCAGTGGAGTTGCTGTCAAGTGCTTTCTAAATTGCATGGAATTTCGATGACTGGAATGGTTGGCTTGTGGGAGTTTTTCCTACAGCACCGATTACTTTGTGACGGCTGACACGGGATGATGACCGAGGCGAGCTCCAAGGTAGACGTGCAGAAGGGGAGAGGGACAATGTCATGAGTTATTTGTTTGACTCTCGGTTTCGGTAACAGACCACCTAGGGTCTCCGTCATTGTATCTTCTCCGGGAGGTCTGTCCTCCGAGCCGTGTCAGTACCCTTCAGCCCTACTGTATGTCGAAAATATATCCTGTGCTTGCGGATACTACTTTCTTTCGTCTTCAGGGAAAGCTCGAGGCGCTGTATTATTTCATCTAGATGACTTCAGAGGAAGCAGAAATCGTTATCTAAAATACAATGATAGTTACGAGATTCTTCAGATAAAGATATTATTATGCACAAAGTAGACTTTCTTCACAATTTTCTTGGAACGTACTCACAAATCATAAGTTTATTACTGAATTTTTAATCACAGAAGGGGTGCTATTTCTAAATAATATAAAATAACAAAAACTGAAGTTCTATGACACCATTGGTAGCGTTTAGATTCTTCTCACTCTTTTAAATTTTGTATAAAGGTGGTTAAAATGTTTATTTCATTGTTCTATTTGGATTAATATTGCTCCATCAAATCCATCAGCCTTTGCTGATGTCGTAAGAAGTCACAGTGGTAGGGCAGAAAATACATTACCAAGTCTACTAAACGGCCTGAATGCCATACCGCCAGACGAGAGCACAATGACCTATGATGAGTGTGAATTCAAACTTACGGATAATTGAACGAATAATCTCATCCCTGCTTTTGCTTCTCTATTCATCTCCTATTTCGACGGTAACGTTGAATTCGCGAGCCTCCTTATACTTTACTCTCATTAAGGCTACCACGGCAACTGCACAGCATCAGTTTATGGCACGGATATCCCACCTTCAGCAAGGAATTTTAGCACCGTCAGATGATCACACATACCAAAATCTTCCATTTGTGTGGGTGCTGAGATGTTTGTTTATCACATGTCACCATCTTTGGCGTATCAGATCAATTTTGTTCAGGGACTAAATTTCACCCACCCACAGGATGCTTATGATGAAACAGAACGTGGTGCAGTGAAAACCGATATATGTGAGCCACCAAACACGTCAATTTCATGTGTAACTTGGCGTTATGACACTAATTGCTGCAGACCTTTGTTGCGATGTTTACTCCACCACTATTCTCTGCGTTATCGTGCATGTGACACACTTGGAAAGTTTAAACTCTTATGTGACTACTCACACCGCGAAGAATCACATTAGACTCAAGTGCTGTGCTAGTTCACATTCTGGAGTAAGGCAAAATAATCCCTCGCTGCATCAAGTTTTCTGATTATGTGGCAAAGCGCCCTTTCGTGGTAATGAATCGCTGAGCTACTTTGTTGTTCAAAACTTGCTTTCCGGAGTGGCGGTGGATCTTTTACCGATCCACTATTGCATAGTTCTCCCTCTACTTGCAATGAAGGAAGGAAAGGAACGAAATATTCCCCGAAGTAAAAGTATATCCGAGAATAATGGTCGTCAATACTATCGAATAAGTATGCGATGGGACAAATCTTTATGGCAGTTTTATGGTAAACTGTTGAATCAAGGGAAGGCTTTGATTCCAAAGGAATTGTTTGATTTTCTGAAGCCAGGTGATTGCCATCGGGGTTTTTTTGTGAAACGGGTGATAGCTTGGTGTGCATGAGGAACTAGAGAGATCATATGACCGCCTTGGAATTGTTTACTTCAATCATGTGATACACAACCAGGAAATGGTCGCACATTGTTAAAATCTTTGTTCCCCCTTAGAATACACTATCCTATTTGCTTCACTTTGGTGCAACCAAGCCTAATTTGAATGGCTGGAAAGGTGGGCAATTTAAGAGATTTACATTTGGATCTTTTTTGATTCCTCCATAACTCCGTAATGTTAGGCGATATACTGCTTCACTTTGAGCAATTGTAAAGTACCAGATGACCCAGAAAGACCTTCCATTTATTGTTATGGTATTGCAATGTACTGTGCAATTAGCGTCTACCAAAGAGAAAAGGGCAACACGCTAATCCTACCTACGACCTGCCAAAAGCCGCTGATGATGAAATCTATTTACAGACCCGTGTTTGATTAACTGAGAATGAACTGTAGAAGATACTTGAAACCTTAGCTTTCAGCATATTACCACCTCTATCTTGTTAAGGAAGCTAATGACGCTTTGGTTGAAGGAGACAGTTAAAGAAATTTCAGCCTTCTAGTTAATTAACACCTTACCACGGGCAATTGCAGTTTTGTGTCGGTGTGTGTCAACGCGTCAGCACCCACCCCCCTTGTGGAAATCGCCGATGTGGCAAAGATCCGAGTCAAGAGTCAAGTCAGCCAATCTCGCAAGTCACAGTTCCATTAATGTGCAGTTGAGGAGGCGACAAAACAACTGCAGCTGAGGCGATAAGACCCTATGCCAGCATTTGCTCGACCCTCATCTCTGTTGGCTGTTGAAAATAAGCCTTGGTTTGTGCTGACGCCTCGGTTATTGGGAAGCTGATACATCCTCAGCACTAAAGTATAGCGTTATTTGCGTCTGTAATAGATTTCAGAAATTAGCTATTTATGGTTATGATTCCACCTCCTACACTTCTAAGTTTTTGATATTCGAAGAATAAGTCCCGTTTGAATGCATTGGCTTGTGATCCCAAATTCCGTCGCTGCCACTTTCTATCGCTCTAGCTGCATTTCGCAAAGTGAATTCAACAGGCGAGTGCTCCAAAAAATGTGGACGATAGCACTTTTGATAAATTACAACCACTCCTCTGTTGTGGAATGTAGACGAAATTAATTCCCCGATCAGGGGATAAAACTACGCATTAATAAGACAGCATTAATTGAATGAATGATTGAAGTGAAGGTCAACTTGAGATAGTATAATGGAGCAGAAATTTCGAGACTATATACAGTAGTTGTTTATGAATCTTGAAAATAATGAAATGACCCTAAGGGAGAACAGGTGTTTGCATCCTTTAGAAAAAGAGTAACTAAATTTTAATCAACTGACTTCTCAAAATGTGACGAAATCCGCTTTTGATCTTCTACATTAATAGAACAAACTGGTTATTAATTTACAACCCTAATGATTTGCGGACACCACAATAGAGTGCACTAAAACGTAAGAGGCGTCCCGAAGTCAACGCACAATTACTCACCCGAGAATGTGCAGGAGGAACCCAGTTGGAGAAAACCGTACACATCACCCAACCCCGAAAAGCATGTTTAACTTCCACTCTGAAACGCTTCACTCGGTTTGGCGCACCAAGACCGAGAAATACCTGACAACGGGTGCCAAACACTTGAATTGTCAATAACGCCCCATGACAGGCACTATTTGTCGAGCTCGACCCTTCAAAATGCGTTAATCAGACAGCAGCAACACCAACCATGGAACGCAAAATCACCCATTTAAGGGGCCAGGACCTCACGACGAGTCCAAGAAGGTGTCCCACGCCGAATTTCCCGGCCATTCATCGTAGACACTAGCAAACGCTGGTGTTATGGGCTTGAATTGCTGAATCACGTTCTGAGATTGCCATTCAGTTCGCAGCTTAAAGGTAAGGACTATAATGACCATCCAGCAAACTAGTTCTCCAGGTGTAAAAATGACCGCATTGTCTCAAAGCCCAGAAACCCGCTTAAACGCAAATAGAAATCAGAAAAACACTTTCAATATTACGTTGGCAGTCATAAGAGACGAAAGAATAAAGGCAATTGGAAATAATATTAACATACACAAGCGGGGGTGGTGGGTGTGGGTGTCTTGACTTGTGCTCAACGATATAAGGAGCTGAAGAGATACATATGTACAAAGAAAACTAATGTTAAACTGCGTGCTTTGGTTGCATAAAAATGCGTGTATGTATAAGTGTTGATGTCAGTGGATTCTACATAAACCAGTAGAATTTGTGTGTGCGTGTGTGAGTTTATGTATATATACACTCCCTGTACGGGCGTTAGGCACTCAACAGCATCTCTCTCAATCCTGCTCAATCATATCAATATCCAACTCTCTAAACTTCTCAGCCGAGGCAGAGACCTCCTCTGTCTGCATGGGAGAGCATCTTCGTCGGTGATTCAGACCTGGAGCAATACCTCCGAAGGAATCCTCATCGTCCACCTCATCCTCATCGCTGTCATCACTGAAGGCCACAATGTTCGCACTGTTGGCCTTGAACGAGCAAGGAGAGCCCTCGGTGGAACACGAATTGTGGCGGTGGTCCGCCTCTGCATCCACTTCCTCCGATGAGGGCGAGGGTGCAATGGGACGGAAACGAGTTTGGGGCGGCGGCGTCAGAGTTCCGGCGTCGTACTCTTCCAAAGCGCAACAAGACTGGTTTTGGTGTTGAATAAGGGTTGCCTCGTTGGATTCTTCTTCTTCACTGGCTTCAGAAAGGCCGGATAGCTCCTTTCGGCAACAGGACATTAGAAATGCGGTTTCTGAATCCTAACAGATGAAAAGGCAGTTCCCAGTACAATTAACTCCAAAAAGGCTGACTCAGGACTCGTAAATATGGTGGAAGCATAGAAGCAAGATGCTGACCTGTGGGAAGACAGAGACATCTGCTTGGCCCTGTTGCTGTTGCTGCAAGCGGAGGGGGCTAACCGAGGTTTCCTGGCCGACCATCGCAGTCTCTACAGTGGTGCTGATGACAGCGACGTCGGGGTTGAAGGACGCACTGTCAAAGGAGCCCGTGTGTTGGTGTGAGCCGAAGAGAAAGGCGCCACTGTCGGCCTCAAAAATTAGACCCACGTCGTGGCTACATCGGCGGCGCTTGAGTCCCACCTGGCGCGAGAGACACTCCGTGGAGGCAACCGAACCACAGACGCAGGTTGGTGCACCCCCTGCATCTGCCGGCTGTGACTGACAGCGCAGTTTTGCCGCCTCCATCGCACAGCTATGGTGCTGCTGCAGAAGCAGCTGTTGTTGCTGCTGCTGGTGCTCGAAAGCTGCAAGACTGGTTGTTGAGTCATCAAAATGCAACACCTTCAGGTCCATGGGTTTACTGACAAGACCGCAGTGGTGTATCAGGTTTCCCACCTATTTCGAAACAGTAACAACAGTCCTTACACCTAGCCACAATTCAGCTGGAGTAAAGGAAATTGTGACAAGGGAGATCGCTTTACAAAAGGAGGGGGAGCGGAGGGATCACCTGAGTGGGGTGTTGATCGGAGTTGGTTGAACTGCTGCAGGAGGAATGTGAGAGACTGCAGCTGTCCTGGAAGAAGCCCGAGGAGGCGGCAGAAACCGTGGGACGAGGGAGGGATGTGGAGGATGGTACGGCGATACCACCACAGGGTGAGGAGATAGTATCGGGGGAGAAGGCAGTGATTGGGTTTGTCGACTCACCTTCATCGCCGGTCAGGCTCATTCGCCGCGACTGAGTTGTTGGGGTAAATGCGGATAGACGACTGTGAAGTGCAAGAAGGGAGGCGCAAGAAGCGACTTTAAAGTACCGGACGAAAACAATTTATTCGGGGCAAAGTAGCAGTGAGGAAAGTGGCAGCATACTGGAACCCCACTTTTTTTTAATTTACTCAAAAGAATTAGATTATCACATTACTGGGAGGTATTGGTAGTGGAAGAGGAGATTTAACTGAAATTCGTTCCGTAGTTTGCAAAAGCCTTCATGCACTAGATCCTTGAAGTTCTTAGTTGTTACAAAGTTTGATAAGTACAAATCCTTTTAACGGTTGCATGAAACTGCCCTGTCATTAGCACTCCTCGGCACAACTTTTGTAATAAAGACGTTATGGAAATGAACTCACTGGTGGCTAAAATCACCCGCATTTGATGCGGAGGAAGAAATACAGGCAAGAGAAGGTGGCTTGCGCAGCCTCACATCTCCAACGAGCTCGGACACGGTGCTTCCAAATACCACGCTGTGACGGGAACAGCCTGCAGGTCCCGGGTGGATCACGTAGCGCCTGTTGCCAGAAGCGATCGGATGATGCCAGGAGAGGCGAGAGGTGGTCGAACTGGGCTGGTGAACTGCGGTGTTTGCATTTCGCAGTTTGACGCATCCAGAGGCGACAAGTGCGTAGGCGGTGGAGGAGAGTGCGGAGTTACTGATGCCGGTAACGGCGGTGGTGGAGACATTAGTCGTAGCGGGCGAGTAAAGGGCTCTTTGCGAGATGCGGAGAGCAATGGGTCGGGCAATGGTCCTACGAGAACCGGTGCCACTTGCAAGTTTTTGGTTCGAGCTCGCGCTTTGCGAACGACAGGAGCGCTTCAAGGGCGGATATCGAGAGGGTATCTCCTCATTTGTTTCGAGTCGGTGCTGACAGAAACAACAACTTTTTCTTCCTCCTGCCTCAAACCAGGTTCCTACATCCACGGTTGTTGGAAAGATTGGGGCAGGACCATCGGGTGCACTTGTAGATACTATGAAATGGGAAAAGGGATATTAATGGCAGTTTTTTGTTCCTAAGACAAGTCATCTTTTGTGGCCGGTCGATGACTCACGACGCAGCTTAAATGACGCGATGCCTGGTTGCGTGTGTGAGTGGCTACGGCCTTAGACATACACAAACTAGGCACTGATACACACAAGTCTCCAGGATTCAGGTAGGATACTTTTGGTAAGTCAGCGTGTTACTTATGAGTACCAGTAATCTTGAATAATTACGAACTTAGTGTGGCTGAACCACAGTGTTGTAATAAATTCAAATAGGTATTCAACACACAATATTCTTTGATATTATGTTCACTAGCGCATTGCAAAACCCAAGTTCCGTAATTAACGCATGAAAAGTTAGCCGGAGTGGGCCTAAGTATTAGACGATAACATATCAAAGGGTATGTGGAGGTTTCACATTCCTTAATGGTAGTAATACTTACGGCAATGTTGTAGGGTTGGTGGATGATGATTTGACCCAATCGAGAACCCATCACTATTTTCAGGGCCGCGGGAGGATGATGAGAGGGAAAACGCACAACCGGCCTAAGTTGTTTTTTGCAGATGAGGCGGTGACGACGGTGGGATGGAGAGAGTAGCGGGCAAGCAGAGGAGAAGGAGGGAGGCGAGGAGGGAGAGAAAAAACGGGCAAGCGTTAGGAGTTGGCAAAGACAAAGCAGGCGCGCGCGTGCGCGCACATTGGCAGCAAGCCAAATAGACCGCCAGGCGTCAACGCACACCAACGGTTGCATGTACGAGGGCGTCGCGCTGCGCGATGTGATGCGTCACGTGCATAGTCGTGGCAGGCGCACGCACGTACGCACGCCGTGTTAGTGTATGCCAAGGCATGGGGTTAAATACAGTTGTGAAACCACTGCACACTCACACGTACGCACCGCCGATGCGTCACGTGTAGTGTGTGCACACTGCCTTAACGAAGAGGCGCGTTCGCGCCAAAGACAAGCACGAATGCACGCACTTGGCTAGCTCGCTAAACGCTAGGGCATTCGGGCGCGTACGCCTACACACACACAACTCGACGAGCGTAGCACAAACCTGGATGAAATTTGCGAGCATCCCTGCACATAGGCACGTATCAACATTTGATGATTTTGAAACTCTTCTCATACCGACTCAAGTGGGTATCTTGACTACCTGTCGCCTCAACGACACGATGGCGATGGACAATTTTTACGTAAGAACTGAGCCGGTCTAATGAGGTGGGAGTATTGTTATATTAAAACTAAACACAGCAAGCAAAATTGGGGTTAAAAACGCATGAACGCGAGCCAGCAGTAGCTCACGCATGTAGGATTTCCTGTGACTATTGCTTTTGTGTAAACAAAACAATTCTACCCCACTTTGGAAATTATTGGGATGACTCACCCAACTCTCGGAGGAGTCCTCATTACCAGAGTCGCAGGTGGCCGAACTACCATCCACATCTGATGGAGTGGCAGATCGCTGCTGATTTATGGGGATGATGTCGTACACTTCCTCGTTGGTGAAGTTGACCGCCTTAGGACGTCGCGCACGAGGAATGAATCTGGCCTGAGAGAGATCGGCAGGTTCCACAAGGCCGAGATCGTAGGGAGTGTCCTGCAGGTTCGAACACTTAAGTCGTTCCGCCAGCACCGAGATGGAAGAAGGAGGGCGGACGAGGGGTGCCCGAGGGGATTCTGCGCTCGTCTCAGACATTATAACATGCTGAAAAAAGGGGAGGAAAGTGAGCTTGAGTCTAAATGACGTGGAGTACTAGGACCTCCGCGGCGCGTATGAATGTGTACGCCTCGGAAGCGCTTGGCACGTGGCCAGAGCACAGAAAACTCAACGTGCGGCGGTGGTGGGTGTGTACGTGTGGAAAGGGCGAGAATGTGTGCGCGCACAATTCATGCGTCCCGTGCGTACACGTACGTCCGTGCCCAGCGCGCGCGCCTGCATTTCTTCTGTTGTCGATAGAACGGAAGCGCAGAGCTTTATGTATGCATGTTGTTTGGCTCGCTCTACGCAAAGGCGCATACCTGGACGGTTAATCGGTTTTCGTTCGTGCGCATGTGCAGCAATGGCAAATATATGTTACTACGCACATTTCTTCAGGGTATCTCCACTTCGTATTTGAACCAAACCGATTCTGACTAGTTAAGTCGCATCGTCCACTGCAGTTAACCCGTATTTGACTCAGATATACAGTAAGTATTCTCAGAAGCGAATAGATTATGAAAGAGGAACACGACTCCAAAATGGGAAAACCACCGTATCTACCATGTGAACCACACTCCCAAAATACACATCTAGAAGTGAAACACCAACAACTGGAGTTTTTGACGCTGATAAAACTGGATAGCAAAATTTCAAAAACCTTGTCAAAATAATTTAACAGCAACAATAAAAAATTCACAATTTGGATGGGGAACCAGTCATACCGGGAACTACATGAGTCTCCGGAAATTAAAAGCGACAAAAACAAAACTGGAGCAAAAGATCGACGTCATTTCAATGCAATGGTACAACAGCAGAAGGCGAGCAACTAAGTGAGTAGATAAGGATTCCGGAAAAGAGGAAACAAATGTACCGCATCTTGGATCGTGCGATTCCTAGATGATTTAAAGCAAAGTAAAAAGGATTATCAATGTCCATAGAAAACTAAACATCAATTCCGTAAAAGACAAGCTGCTGCACAATACCAAAATACACCAACACCCTCCTTGACTCAGTAATATATGGCAGACCAACGCGATAAAAGGTCCTGAAGAACAAAAAGTTGAAGAAAACTTGGTGGAAAATGAAATAAACGCCAGGTCGGTTTAACACGAGTAAAAATTTGTACATTAGGAGTAATGGGGTCGAGAAAAGGAGAGACAGATTCTAAATGAGAATTATTAAAGGTCGAAACACTGGCATAGTGCTACTTCAGCCCTGAAATAACGCAATGCCAGCACGTAAATAATAAGGATGAGCTGATGTTTAGGACACTACAAGAAGATATTACGTGACAAAAAATGCAGTAAGATTATGTCACAGAACTCCGCAAACAACTTACGATTGCTGACACGATGGCCACGAACCCCACACTATGCGAATGCCCGCAGCGCGCCCCGAAATGTTCATCTAAGTTAGAAAATTTTAACAAAAGTTATTTGCCCCTAAAATTTTGTAACTCAAGGTATTTTTTGTTTTCGTTGATGTAGCGGAGAAGGTTAAAAGACTTTAAAGTTAGCTACACGCACAATTGCAGATGGTCACATGCACAACCACTTCAGTGACCCATCCCGATACTCCTCGAGGTTAGGCACTCCCGCAAGACAAGAGTCACTACAGCCTAATAATTTGAAAAATAGTTTTTGAAGTCCATATTTTGCTTTTACGATCCCGGCAGCTTTTATTTAATTCCTTATATATTAATTAGCCTTATAATGGCTTAAATGTTTGCTTACCACTCAATTATAGTCACAGGCCACGTGGGGCTCTGCCATTGCGCCTTTACCGGACAGTCTAACTTTAGGATCATCCAAATAACCCCAAGTTACTGAGCTAGTTCACAATGGATATTCTATCCGAGTATTATGTCCTCAACCATCTCCGGCAGATCTCGGGGTACCACAAGCCCTTAGTCGCAATATTAATATATTGTGTCCGAAATGTACGCCCTAGATTTTGTACCATTTAATAATATGTTAAGTGAGTATAGCATCCCAAGTCACCCCTTTGATGGCAACAAGGCGAAGTATTATGGACAAAAGTACATTTCTAGTCAACGAAAGCGTTGGGAGACTACTGACATGAGTAAAAGGCGGTGTTGCAAAAAGAAGGCACGACTTGCAGAGACTCGAGTATTTGTGTATTTTGGCATATATTTAGCTATATTTTTAAAAGTCGAACTGTGGCTAGTGTTAATTTTACTTCCGAAGTCGGTAGAATTCATACCACTACCTCAGTTATGATAATGATGACGAACAAAAGAAATGCGAGGCTGTCAGCATTTACCCTGAACCATGTTGGTGAGCGAAAGTACAATGACTGGGATTTAATTACTCGCACGATATAAAGAGCCTAGTTATACTGTGCTACTTGAATTATACTGTTAAACTCTTTGCTATGGTCTCGCGTGAGCTTAGGGCTTGCCACTATACTTCCGCTCAGATGGATGCCTCCGGGCCAAGCTAGTTGCACCCAGATCTTCTGCGAGTCGGTAGTATATGCTATACTCTAGTATTATTGTAGCATCCAGAGACTTTTCTGAAGATTAAAGAAGACATAATGCCCGAGAAGAATATTTGTATCCAACACAGTGGGGCTTAGGGCTGACGACACGGCTCGAAGGCCAGCCACGAGACGATGATACAATGGCGGAGCACCTAAGTGGCTCACTTACCAAAACCAGGAGCTAAGCATATTAAGGAGATCCCCATCCTTTCCATTTAAGAGTCATCTGAGTCATCCTCCTTGGCCAAACTCTAGCTTCAGTCATCACAACTTTGCCGATGATGTAAGGGAAAACCCACGAGTCAACCATACCAGTCATCGAATTTCCATGCGATCAAAGAGACACTTGAATTCTTTGTCACCGATCCCACTTATCAGTCCTACTGGGTCTGGAGTTTCACACTGTTTGACAATTGGGTTCGGGGACGGGGAAATGGGCTGGTCATCCTGTGTGTTCATAGCTAGCCGTAGCTCCACAACCTTTAATCAGTCACGAAACAAAGAACAGAATTTAACACAGTTTCGTATGGGAAGAGTTTCGGGTCTATTCTGTCTTGCGACATTCTTCTCACTTTGATGCTGACCAGCCGTATCTATCCTAATTCTATCCGGCTAGTGGAGAAGTGAAGGAAGTATTGCAAATCCACATAATTGATATCTTTGTAGAGGTCTGGCAGACGGCTCTGCAACAAACTACTCCAGGTGGTTTACGTTCATGGCTACTGTTAATAGCCTTCGTGCAGACCACAAAGCCGAGACTGTTGGTGAAGACAAATGCCATTTTCAGCCCTTCTGTTAGAAATCTTCCCCAATTCTCCCCTCCACAGCATATGCGATTCTTTCGCCCAGCTAAGGTTTATTACCCAGTAATAGATGTTTAGACAAGTGTTCTTTAAGATCGGGCTTGCTTTCCACCCAGGGAAGGGAGACCCAAATTGGCCAGTTTACCAAAACAGAGAGTTAGACAAACACCGTTTTGTACCATGTCTCCTTTTCTCATTGAGCAAGCCTCAGTATGCTAAAGCTAATTATTCTCCTTAGTCTGTATGACCCAAATCTGTAAATCATAGCACAAAAGCTGATTTAAAATTCGGTATTTCGAGCATTTGATTTATGTGATCATTGATAGGAGAATCTTCGCTAGTTCATCAGTTTCTTCTTATCTAACTTAAGTCATTTCCACCTGTAATTCTGAATCGCTTCTATTTTTAATGCATGCTATTTAAGGTACCCATGTGCTTTAAATCTGCCCAAGGCTGTGGGCATTTTTCTGCATTTTTGGTTAGTAGAATACGTAATGACGATTGCATTTATCTGTTGCTTAACCTTTTTGAACGGGTCAATAAGGGACTCTCGTGAGTACTTTTGACGCATAGGGTTACCAACTCACTTTGTTTCCTTATGTCTTGTACAGAGCATCATTAACTTTATCGATGGCAATACCGGGCGACCTTAGTTTGGTTTGCGTAGCACAAAAAGCGTGATGTATGGCGTGCTTTAGAGCAGATTTGGTTATAGTATTTTACCTTGGCTTCAAACATCATGCTCGAAAGTGTTTTCCAATTGTGCTTCATTTTTACTGGTTCCCTCCCTCATGTGCTTCTAGGTCAGCTTGGTGGATTCTGCTTGTGCTTCTGTATGCTCTAACTTAGCATGGTCCATAAAGAGAAGTCTGATTCTTCAAGCAATACTTTAAAGTCATTTTGGGCTGGTGGATTTGGCGGAATATGTGCAGTTGCTGCTGGCTATCCATTTGACACGATAAAAGTTCGTCTTCAAACAATGCCACACGTTGGGCCTGGTGAAACGCCAATATACCGTGGTGCTTTTGATTGCGCTGTCAAGACAATAGGAAAAGAGGGTATTGGTGGTCTGTACAAGGGGATGCTTTTACCATTACTGGGGGCAACTCCTTTGGCTGCCGTATTTTTTTCCGGTTTCAGCTTGGGAAAGGAACTTCTTGTACATGATGCAAAGAATATTCAGTAATTTTAATTCCTAATTAATATCTACGCAGAAAGAATGAAATATTTCTTGCGGGTATGCTATCTGGCGTATTCACCACCGCCTTAATGGCTCCGGGCGAGAGAGTTAAGTGTTTACTTCAGGTGCGCTACCCACTTTATGCATGTACGAATATTGGGTACTCTTTCCGTTATAGTATTCTAATTGCCGAGCAAATTCCCTTCCCATTTGACACTCCTTCTTAATTACAAATCGCTTGCACATAAATAATAGTCACATACGATACGGCTAAATGATAGGGTTTACGCTAACTATCGTGTATTTTGGACTACTAGGTTCAGAATCTTGGTTTGCATCCTAAGTACAACGGTCCTGTCGATGTTGTCAGGAGACTGTACCTTGAAGGTGGTGTTCGTAGCCTCTTCAAGGGTACTGCTGCTACACTCTTAAGAGGTGATTTCTGTTACTAGTTTTTCCTAATCCGACTCTGCTGTTTGGTTCCTGTAGATGTCCCAGCTTCAGGAGTGTTCTTCCTTAGTTATGAATGGATAAAAGAGCTAACGTCATCATCTGTTTTGTGAGTCAGTTTGTCTTGTTTAGATAGCATTTGGGACTGATATTTTTTAATCAACGGGTGTTTGCATTCACCTGTAGACTAAATTTTTCTTTATCCTAGAGCTGTTAACCGCCGCTATTATAAAATCTGTTTTTCCAACTAGATTTGGGAATTACAATTTGTATTTGCCAGTAGTGTTTCGTCGTTTGAGTGAAATTTATTACAATTATGGAATTTTCCGTTTTTCCCTATTCAAATATTTCCTTCCTGATAATATTAGCCCCTAGTTTCGGTATCATAACGTGGTTTTTCAAACATACGGATGCCGTACGTCTATGTTAGGCTTGCTCATCATTTACCTTCAGCTCATTCTTTGCTCGTTCTGTAGTTTAACGCTAATGAAGTCACACCCTTACCTTAATAATGACTATAGTGTGATGTACTAGTGTTTTTTTCCAAGTAGCATCACATCATGTTATTGTGGCGTGGAAGGCATGGTTCTGCGTGTATGTGTGGAGAGGCCATGTTGATTTCGCATGTTTTTAGATAATGCTAATCTCGATTCAATTTTAACCCATTCTTTGCACCTTTATTTTGATCCCAGAAAATCGAATCTTGGTGTTGCGCAGACTCTCTTCGCCGGAGGAATGGCCGGTGTTTTCAATTGGTTGGTCGCTATTCCACCGGACGTGCTCAAATCCCGACTTCAGATAGGTTGGTTTCTACCTAAAATTTATCTAAATTGTACTTCATACTTGACGGCCACTGAATTTGTCATGCGCCTTTTTGTGCATTAGGAAGAAAAGGCGCTTACTGGTCTTTCTTACACATCTGCCATGTTTACGCGGCCCTTAAATGCATTTAAGCATGAACTAATTCTAAATATCTTCATTTAACATCTTTTCACAAATACATTTAGGTGCAATAAATTTGGTTCTTGAAGTTGCACACCCGTCTGCTGTATCAATGGCTGTACTGTTTAAGGTTTTCGTTTCTAGCTTTGAGGGTTCGGATAGGAAAAACTATTTGTAGTGAATTACCATTATGATCGTGTTTAAAGTAGGTAAACTTGCAAAGCCACGATCCTAGCCTTTTGCATTTTGCTTACCATTAGGAATTTAGCAGATGCATTTGTGTAAATTATGCTATTTTTAGGTTGTGTTTATGAGATAATAAATGCTATTTTGACAAGGCGACTTATTATTATGGTTTGGATACAAAGTTAATAATTTCCGGCCATAGTTCATTTCATGAGTTGTTTATTTTCATGTCTGGTCACTACATTTTACTTTCCGTCCAGCTCCTGAAGGCAAGTATCCCCAAGGTATACGGTCTGTTTTCAAGGAGCTGCTGACCAAGGAAGGTGTCTTCGCACTTTATAAGGGCGCAGCTCCTGTCATAATTCGCGCTTTCCCGGCTAACGCAGTAAGATTATTTTCTCTCAACATTTCTTAATCTCCCCTTTGTACATGGCTCACAGTGTTAGAACCGCCCAAACTTTTCATTAAATGCGCAGCAATACGTTCACTTTTTTGCCCATCATGAGTAATTTCCCCTCACCTTGAATACCAGAAAGGATGATATAAGTTGATCAACTTATTTCCGTGGTGGTGTGTTTACTCGACTCCCACTTCGCTATGGCCACCATTAACACTCAGTCGTTTGAACTATCGCAATTTTCCCTCGTATACTCACCTATTCAAATACATTAATTCACTATCGCGAACATCTCCATTAGTTTAATCATTCCTCGACAGTTTACCTGTTTGCATATACATATGATTGCTCTTTCAGAATTTACCTTTGAAATAAAAGTCTATTTTTCCAGATTCAGTAGGAAATAAACGCCAGAATCCTCATTATATGGTGTGCTTCTTAATTTCAGGCCTGCCTTCTCGGTTACGAAGTAGCCTTGCGAGTCCTCAATTATCTCTAGGTTCCAAGGGATCGTTGTGTGCCTCTGTGTATAAGTAAAGTTTACCCCATGACTTGATCGTACTTTACTCATAGTGAATGCTGCGTTGTAAACATTACCTCAGTGAACGTTTTGACTTCAACATATTCTTTTATGCGGTAAGTAGAAGTTTGCTGGCATCTGGTACGAATCGTGCGAGTAAGTTACTAGACAACAATGGGAGCGATTCAAGGAACAACTTTTTTGTTGTGAATGAAAGCGTACTCAGCGAGTACAAGGCACCTTTAGAAAATCGGCCGATTACAAAGTGAAAGGGTTTCTTAGCTGAGATAAGTCTGTACACCTTGTTTTAGGAATTGCCTTTTTTGGACACGGGACCTCCACTTGCACTCGCATTAAAACACGGGGGGAGGCATTCGCGATTATTAGTCTATTCGTCCTTCCACCGTTATGTTGTCGTTGGGTCCCGTAAATGAGGTTGAAGTAGGCTGCGGTAGTGCGCGGCACCCCGGGCATAGCGTATTTGGGCTCATCGGCATGAGATCATCATTGTAGTCTCCTTGGAGTGACTTGAGCTGTTGGCACTAAGCTGCGCTTCAGTAAGCCGACTCCTAATACTTGTTATTGCCAGAGGAGGAGGTGATGAGGAGAGTTTCTTCCGCGATTGCTTTTTCGGAAGCACGACAGTTATCAGGTGATTTACTCTATCAGGGTCGTGACGTTCGGTTTAGGTCGTTTCCTCTCATAATTCGCTAACACCAGATCGCACTCAAGAGTACTCCGGTAGACACAGATGCTTCATAGGTGATCATCCAATGGGAACTAGGTTTTAAGTACCCACTGTAGAGCCTCAGACTTCTCTGAACACGAGAGAAGACATAATACTTAGGCATAATACATACAGAGAAGGGTTTGGGGCCAGAAAGCCAGTCCGTCCGGCGGGGGTATTGCCCTGTACTTGTCATTGTAGGGTTCCGGGTCTTCACTGGGGCCGTAATAAGTCGAAAAAGCACATATAAGCATACGAAAAACGCCCAGAGGTACTGGGAGGCTGCTGGCATAGCCCAAAGCCCATGTCATGAGGTGGGGAAAACCTGTGGGGACTGGAGTACACGTACTCTAATTGAGGTCACCATAGACATCATTTCAGGAACGGCCTGCGTTATTAACTGAATCCTCAAGCCGTTAAAAGTATTGCACTTAGTGGGTAAGTGCGCTTGTGGGGCAAAGGAATCGTGTTTCTTCACATTTCTCTTAACTAGGAAGAGGGAAGTGAATTGAAGACTACCTTTCGCACATATATTGGCCAAAGGAGTTTCGCATAAAAGTTTAGTATTTTCAGGACACTTGATGTTGGTTTTATCATCTTTGTAGGTTCGTCTTAAAAATATCTTATGCCATATTTTCCATCTTGGCATTTTAAAAAAGTAACTGAATTCATCCCAGAAAGGAACAATTAAGAGGTAGCTGCTTGAGGTTTACTTTCAAATCTCCAAGTGATACAGCAACAACTGTTTAAAATTCCAAAATTTAATGTCTTGTCAAATGATGCATTTATTTCATGTGACCTTTGAGGGTGGAAATTATTGGTCGTCGCTGTCTCACTTTGAATATCGTCATGTCTGTTTTGAAGGTGTTGCGGCGCAAGCTCGAGTTCCTGGGCTACCCGTCACATGATACTTTTTCTGTACAGTGTAACTTGATTACTTTGTCTTGATTTTTAGCCAATGTTGATGTTGCTAAACTCCTGGTTTGGCTAGAAGATAGAGTTATATGTTCTCTTCCAATTAGCGATCGTTTCAGAGATGTTGATTCCGAGATTTGGCCAAATTACATCGACTCGGTACGCTGAAGCGATTTTAGTAATGCAGAATCAGTATCTTAAGAAATTGGGGTGCCCATATGGGTTGAAAGAGCCCCGATGTATGGTGGACTGGCTCTTGAACCTTGGAATTGAAACGCAGACTGGGGACAAAGGTGAGTATCCAATATTGCGCCTATTTGTAGACGGAAATAGTGGTAATAAAAGTCGTGATACTTTTCCGGAGGGTGACGTTTTTGCTAATATCGACAGTAGGCTTCCTATTTTTCCTAAAGATATAAGCCGATGGTCCCCAATTTAAGGAAGGTGTACGCAAACTTGCAGAGGTACTCAATGTACCGCAGCACCCAGATCCCAAACAAACCTTTCGAGTAACTGACTGGATTTGTGCTATTGTTTTAGGGTGTCTGTGTCCTGATTGAAAAAATGCTGTCAAAAGAAGCCTTAAAACGGGCTAGTGAGGAACACGGTGAAAAGGTGAACTGGGACAAATTCTCCCAGCCCTCTTGATCTTTTGAGTCCTATTTTATTACACGTCGCTTTCTTAAGGTTGAGTTATTGGAAATAGAAGACATATTTTTGGGGTTTGATGTCGACGATCCAGCTTTACGACCCGCTGCTGTCGCTCTTCGCCTCTTACATGTTTCAGAACTGCGCAACTTGCAAGACCTAATAAACTTTGCGATCGTCAAGGTTCAGCAACTAACAGCGGACCCAAAGACTGATGAGAAGCTTGGCCAAGTTGGATTTTGAGTTCATTGTTTCAGTCATGCTCTGGTCAACACATTTATTTTGCTTTGAGACATTCTCTATTTGAAAAAAAAAATCGTTTGCCATTTAGTGGAGGGAACTGAGAAGTCATTCATGTACATATCACAAATTGCGACAATTATGCTACTGTCACGGTCACAGAGTAAACTTCTCAACTGCAATGAACTCCGAGACGAAGAGTGTAGAACGGCTCCAGGGGTTCCGTTTGCTCCAACTCGATAGCACTCAGGAATGCGGTCGTTGCAATAGTTTTGGACGCGGGGTCATTGGAGGTTTCACCACCAGATAGAACTTCCCCGAGGAGGCGCCAGACGCGAGAGTTCGTCGAGTCAACCGCCAGTGCGTCACGTAACGCCTGTTCAGCTAGGATATACTGTCCACTTTGTTTTAATGTGTTTGCCTATAATAGGTGGAACACCATTCGCTTGGGAGTTAGCATAACGGAAATGCCAAATGAAAGATCAGCCACCCACCAGGCTATAGAGAGATTTTATGTGCGATGGGTTAATTGCGATGGCGCTTTCATACATCGTTCGCGCCTCCTCGAGTCTGCCTGTGGCCTCGAATATACGACCACGCTAAGTAAATAGACTAAAATTAACAACCTGGGCTGAGAAGAGTAAATGTTAGCTGTCACTGCTCTAAGGGTGAGTGAAAGGTCACCCAGACGCGTTGTGTCAGCAGTATTTTGGCAAAAAAGGAGTTAGGGTATACATTAACAACGTAGGGTTACGTCCGTGTTCGCATAAAAATGTACAACCTCACTTACCAAGTATAGTAACTCGTGGTTTATTTGAGATAAGGAAACCGCCTCTGCTACGCAGTCTTGTGCATCTTCAATTCTCCCAGACTCTAAATAAAGCTCCGCTGAAATTAAACATTCCACTTATTTAAGTTTCCGACTTCGGGGGATGAGTTTTGCGGTTCTCTTGATGCATATTTACCAATGTTTCTAAGAGTATAATGTGGGAGACCCACCCATACAACCGAGGATTTTGGCAAGCAAAGCCTGAGGAGAGAAGTCCGCACCAACTGCTCCAAAGAAGGATGTGGTTTGGGGCTGCACGGGAGAGCCGTTTTGTGCAGCGCCGCTACCACTACCACCTGAGGCAAGCTCGGTGAGGATCGTCTCCAGTCGGTTGGAGGGGAGAAGAGCGATATGTTCACAGTTCATGGTACCGTCACTCGTCATGTTACACTCTGTCTCCGAGGCGCAAAGATCCAGTGCCGAGTTCTCACTAGGAACCAGCGGTGCATCCCGCAAACATTCTAACCCCGTGCTTCTAGGAGGAAGAAATGAAAATATGCTGGAAAGTACCTGTACACATGCAGTCAGCGGCTCAATGCCATTTCTGGGTATGGGATCCAAAAACAGACAACTCGGGAGTTTGGATAGCTTTACAGGGGTTCGGAGGCCCATATGTTTTTCTAACAACGTGCCTATTTTACGATTCGCCATTAACTGCTTACTTGTACCAGACCAGTAGAAGCTTAACCCAAGACAGCGAACTCAGTTTCATTGTGCTGATCTTTGAACAGTGAAAAGCAATTTTTTGGTCCTTTAGCGAATAAAAGCTATCTGAGGTATTATATGCTTTCGTGTATCCTGCCAAAGTCCACCATGACAGATGTTTCTGTGTTGAGAATCAGGAAACGGTTAACAAGTAGAGACAAATTTGGTTTAGACTAACGCGAGGGATGTATGAAGAATCTAGTGATTGTTCCTAAATTTGTCCTGCAAGATTTATGCGAGAAATGCGGACAGAAGGATAGCATACCCAGTTTCAAGTCGCTGACCCTGGAATTGTGGGAAGCAGTCGCACCAGGTGTCGATGAGGTGCATGTAGACCTTCAGTCCAGCCTCAGGACCGTGGAACTCGGCCTCCACTTTGGCAAGGGTAAAGAGAAGTGAGAAGTCATGCGGACGGTCGGCGAGACCGCTATGGAGAGCCCTCACGGCTTGGTACAAATGTGCATGCCGTCCACCACCTAAGGAAACTGTGGTTGATGTGGAGTTAGTGGAGGAAGACAATGAGGCGGAGGCAGTGTGGAGGAGAGCCAAAAGACGGATCGTTTCAGGTTGCGTTGGTGCCAAGAGAATGGACCGCTGGCAAGCCTTCAATGCCTGCACGATTTTCCGCTTGATGGCCAGTTCTACCGCAAGATGATACCATGCTAGATAGTCCTCAGGATCCGATTTAGTCGCCCTGCAATACACATCAGGTGCGAATGATAAATCGTGCATGTGAAGTATAAGTACGTTGCAATGCAAGAAAACATACGCAGTGTACTCCTCAATGGCTTGTTGTTGCAGTTCGACTTTACGTGGTAACATTTGACATTCCCTTGCAGAGATTGAATACCCCCAACCCAACATCAGATGGGACCTGGCACACAAATACGTGTCCTCTGCCTTGGAAGCGATCTATAAGGAAACAAACGCGAATCTCCATACGCACATTAATTAGTGACAACTTTTCTTTCACCAATTCTCGAAATGGTGCAATGGAAATTCAAAAGTACATTCCAATTTGGGCTCTACGTTTTTTTCGGAAAACTGCCCTTTTGCAAGACGCCGATTCATAAAGGAAATGAGCATACCTCAACCCCATTTTTGGCGAAGAAAATACCCTCTTCAATCAAATGAAGGCGGCCCAAACAAAGTGAGCTCGCAAGTAGGCAGATAGAAGGGTTGCTGGGATCAATCCGTTGACATTCTCGAAGAACTAAATAGGCTCGATAGTACTAAAAGCACAAAGAGCCAAGATAGTGACTGCAATCTAATTTGTTGATATGGCTCAAACCATCTACAAAAACTTGAACATGATCTCACATTCACAACTATGGCAATGCTAGTGAATAACCGTGCGATTTACTAATGCGACAATTTGAGTGGAATATACACAGCTTATATCTGTCAATCTTTAATAAGCTGGTTATAATACGGGCAGAAGAGACATGAAAGTCTGAAGTTGTTCGCATTGGTGACAAAGAAAGTAGAATGAAATGAAGTCGACTCATAGAGGTTACCTTTTGAGAGGCTACCAATGAGAGAGCAAATTGATACCAGATTTGAAATTCTTGATAGGAGAACTTCAGCGCGCGTTCTAACGTCTAGGATAAGTTGAAAACGACCGATGAAGTAGGCAGCCAGCCATGTAAATGATTTTACACGACCGAAAGCAAATAAAAAAACCTCAGAGAACAAAATTTACAGATAATTTATTTTTGTAATTCAGTGAATCGACCGCTAGCACAGTCTCCTTCTCGTGACCTAAGCTACAGTCATTGCATATCCAAATACACTCTGTGTAAAAATGAGTGTAAATAATGTATTGTAGTAACTAAGATTAAAACATGAACAAATTGGACCATATTAGATGAAGGATATTTCATCGTAGGACAGACTGAAAAATGTGATGCCATTATAGTTAAATGAACACTTAAAGCATAATACCTTTGAAAGAAATGAGAAGTACCCCTTACGAACAAGAGCGATGGCTAACAGGTCGTAGATGACGATGGTTTCATTTACGGTCTTAATTCTTTCCTCAGCCAAATCAGAAGATCGATTCAGAATCACATCTTGACTAGCCTAAATGAGTAAATAATCGTGATGAACTGGAATATTCTGTCACAAATTACAGCAGCCTAAGCTGCTGTCACCACACTAAGAGCCCGTAAAAACCAAAGTAAGTTCAAAAAACAATGTAACGCTGTATTAACTCTAAAGCAAATCTTTGAGTGAAATCCTTTGCTTAAGCAAGAACTTACGATATACTCGGAAATAAGAAGCATCAGAATAGCCTCCTGCAGCTGATCATCCGGGACATAAGCATCTGCCGGATAGCAACGAGGTTTACCATTCTATAAAATAAGTCCAAACATGCTCATTAACTCAAAGAAAGTTATTGCCTTAGAGGCATAAAATACGATACTCAAAATTCATTTAGGTAGTTTTGAAATCAGATACTAAATTTACCAAGTCGCGTTCGGACGAGGCTATATATTTGTAGTATTTTCCGGTGCACACGACACGCAGAAGAAGTTCGGCCAGTTGACGTGCCAAAGACTGACGAAGTGACTTTGTTGACGGTGTCTCCACGTAGCGCAAAAGGGAACGAAATTTCTGTACCGCCTCAGTCATGTCACTGAGTGAATGGGGAAATGGAAATGATACTATAAAAGTCCAGTTGAATAAAAGAACATACGATGGGTAGAAGTGCCGCCGAAGGGAGACTTACTTTTGCTGAAGCGACCCAACAACCTGTCTCTTGATAGCGGTATCTACCGATTTTGGCAAACCGATGGGCTGAAGGCTCTCGGGCAGGGTCGGTTCCACCTCCTGCAGGTAGCGGATGCACACGCTACCAGCCAACTCGTAGAGCTCGTAAATCTCATCACTGACACCTTCATCTGATTCGAGGTTCGGTCGAGTGGAGAGCAGCCGTTCCTTGGAGATTCCTACAAATCAACGAAAGTCACATAAACTATCCAGTGTACCAAAGTGCTAGGAAATTAAGTGAAAAGAAAACCACATAAAATGACGTTCCAAAATATTGTCGGAATCGCAAATATTCAGAAAGGCAGCTCAAAGGAAGCCTTTGGAAACGAGAACAATTAGCGTGACGATTGTGTGACAGACCACACTGCCATTCACTGCCAACATCCTAGGTATAGTTGTTTAATCCCAGATAAAGTGCTCCAAACGTAAAATGCGACAGATAAAATACGACTAAAAGGAATCTATTCAAGCAACAATATTGGGAATCTTACTTATATCTTGATCACAATTTATGGACATTGAAGAAATTAACAAAACTAGACTCGCCACATAATAAAAAAATACGAATTAATAATAACCAAGCTATGCTACCTATGAATAAATTTATAAAGTAGCGCACGAATTTTTCCCACCATAAGACTAGTTTAATGGGAAACAACCAATTCCACCCACAAGATCAGAAATTTAAAAATAGGAAATGTTGCTAAAAAAACAAGACAGCGAGAAAGGTTGGGTAAAGTGAGAAGCTTTGGGGAATCAAGCTCACCAAGCATGGCGAATCCCTCCGACAGGAGGCAAGCAAACCGCGATGCATAGGAATCGATCCGCACCTTTTTAAGGTCAATGCCACCGGTTGTTAGCAGTTCGACGACCTTCGCATAGTGGTCCTGAATAAATGCTATCTTCGCTTTTAAAATTGTCGCCTCATATCTGTATTGATCATCAGCGTTCCGTAGAGCGGCTTCAACGGCCGCCTCCACGGCCTTGAAATCGATGGCATAGGTGCACTCCTTTTCAGAAAGAATGAGGCGGCTCTCGCAAAATACCAGATTGTAGAGACAGACATTCAAGCCACTACGCTCGCCTTTGAATGCACAGACCAGCTCAAGAGCCTTGTTAAAATTACCCTCGGCACGATGCTTTTCAATCTCGAGCTCAAGTCGTGACTTTCGAGACCTAGATGCGCGCGAAACATACATGTCTGCAAAAATTGGATAAAGCTCTCATGAGATTATTTTCAAAGACAGAAGTGTAGAAATCAAGATTTCACCGCATCAAGAAAACAGTGCTGGCAGTCAAGGCAAATAATCCATGCAATATATTCACCCACGAGCTTTGCATGATTATGAAGAATTATCAAACTAATTCCAAAACACTTATACACAAAGAAGTTTCCAACAGTCTTATAAGGAGGAATATGAAGTTGTGTGACCACTTAGTAGGCAAAAATGGCATTTTTTGCAGTCATAGCTCTATATGGCAATGCATTTCTTTACAAATGAGTTTTAGGACCTACAATGGATCACACGAACTTGCAATGCATGAACAGTATTATGGGAAAATCACAGCAAGCTTCGGTTTCACTTACATTGCACAGAGATATTCAAAACTGGGACACTTGAGCGCAAAATCGCTAAGTATACTGACTCTAAAGCCACAAAATACAACAAAGCAAAAGCTACAGGCATGTCAATCGTGCGTTAAAAATATTTTTGACAAGTAACCGGGTCCAAGAAAATATGGGCACAGGGTTTAGATCCACCAAATCCCTACTTTTACCTACGATGTGTTCTTTGCTGCAAATATGAGCAAAATAATCTCAAAAATTCCGGAAGGTAATTACAAGACTACCACACTTCTACACACCCAATCAATTAACCCGCCGAAAGCCTCGTACTAGGCGTTTTTTTTAAAAGGAATAGATTCCAAGTCGTCAAAATGATAACACTTTAACTGTCGGATATTATTTTGCCTATCTTTCCCTAATACTATATGTCCAAACCTCTATCTTTTACCGTTAAACTTTTCCAATATCACGTAAAGCACGATCTCTCTGTCTTCTCTCCTTTGGCCTTTACATGCTTTGACCAAACAGGTTAATTCGATGATGACATGTTTATTGTTCAGGGTTAATGAGAATTTGCACAAGTTAGGGAGACTAAGGGCACTGAACTCTTCTCAGCCTTGAGGAATTCTGACGACTCTTCCATCACGAGGTTACAGTTGCTTATCCACTTCTCGCCTCAAAGGCGCATCTAAACAACACGAGTATCACATAGGCCCTCATCTTTTCAAGCTTTGCATCTAGCGCTTTCCTTATGGGTTGTCTTTGTATATGTCATCGGGTGGTTTTCTTTGTTTCATTAGTGCGTAAATTTCATCTTCATATTCGACAGGTGGTTTACCCTTGTATGGTTGCATCTTGTTGTGATGAAAGGTTGTTAGCTAAATACGGTGCTGAACGTTGCGGAAGAGGCGATTTGTAGGTGAGAGAACTTTCACCACTCGGAATGGATCTTTGCACCAAAGATGATGGTATTATCCTCAACCATGGACAGTTTCTTTAATTACTCCTCTGTTGCGAGCCTTTGAATAGTATGCGGTACTCCACTAGAACAAATCCACCCTGTATGACACTGAACATGGACATTCAGGTAGCAATATCCATATTGGTCACAAGTCCCAAAAGAACGTTCGCCTAATTTGTAAGTTACTTCATATTTAGTGCGCAGATTTTGCACACTATCGGTGGGAGAGAGAGAGCGAGGGAAATAGAGCGGTAGAAGGAACATTAACCCTTTCCCCTCTGTGTCACCAGCTTAAAGACTATACCGTGAGAGACTGCAAAGGAATCCAATCTAGGCTCCTCCTTGTTTAACGATTCCTCTGCCTCTTACATGGTCTTCTTTCCCTCCTTTTTCTTTTTTGTTTTCATAAATAACATCTGCAACCCCACCAGATAGGAGCAGTTTGTACAGGGAGCAAAATTAGCTCAGATACGGAGATTCTTCTTCACTACTTTGTTGACATGTAACTTGTGTATGGTAGCAATGGTTGGGGGGGAAGTATAAAAGCACGATCTGTAATGCTCCGTTAAATGCCCCGTACCCGCCGCAAACTTGATAACTTATTCCAAATTTCTTTTCGTGTTCTTCTTCCTCTCCTCTGCCTTCTTCCTCCTCTGCATTTTTAGACTCCCATCTTACGCGATGCTACGGCTGCTGTTCATAGTCGATCCCATTGCTCCATTGGACAATTATTGGAGGCACCTTGCCCAACATCCAGACATGCTTCCTTTTGGTAGTCTTGACTCCTTGCAGGTAATCGGTCAGCATTAAATCCGGTGGATATGACGGATGAGAGGTTGCGCAAATTGTAAGACAGGAGCAAACATCCACAGTCTGGCCTGATTTCGTCAGATCATTCTACACGTTTCATTCGTCATTGAAGAACTGAAACGAAACCCTATATGAAATTCCCATTGATTTATCCATACCGATACTCCTGAAGTTTGTTCGGATTAAACCTGGACATCTGAGTTTTCTCCGGAAACCCTGGATTAATCAAAGTTGTCACTACGGTTGAACCTGGGTTGATTGACACCCAATAGGTGCTGAGGAGACGTAACTCTTACAGAAAGACTCTATTTTCCTGAGTATTCTCATGACAGGTTGATAATGTGTCGAGTAGGTGTTCCAAGCGCTGCTTGAATGGAAAACGTGAAACACGGCGGCCAGTCCCCTCACTAATAGAGTGACGAACTGCGTACATCCTTGAAACGTTTACATCGAGGGTATGAGTTTCTTGCCTGCATTGACAAGGCAGTACGTTCATCACTCCACGTGGATGCGTGCACTTATCTACCATCACCGTTCTCCACTTGCCATTCTGACGCACAGTTCATGGAACGGCAATTAAACTACAGGAAACCAACCATAATAAACGTCTAGCTAATGCTTTTTTTTAAAAAAAACAAGTCATCGTAACATAAATGTGGTGACGTTGTCATCGTTGTGATATTTCCACTGATTAGGCCTACGCTTAATGGAGACCACATAGTGACTTAATTGTGAACTACCACCTCTGTTGTGGCATAGAGGTGATACTCCACAGGCGAATCACTAGAGTCAGTCATGTTTGGACTTGCGCTATGTATTCTTCAAAACTGTCCATTGCCTTGCGAATATCCAAGTGCCGTGCATATCCTTGAGATTCAGAAGATCTCACATAGCTCAGTGAAGAGTCAACTTTCGAAATTAAGGCCTTGATCGCTATGAACAGATTCGGGTACTCCATGCTGACAAATCCATCGAATGAAGAAAACTGAATCAATTGCTTCAGTATTATGTCCCTATTGGTTCTACCTCGGCTGCTTTCGTGAAGTAGTCTACCATTACCTAGAACATATCAGTTTCCTCCCTTGGGACCAATGGCGTCCATATATACTCTTTCCCCTGGGAAGCCTACGGGCATAGGTTGTGGTTTGATCGCTGTGGGGTGCAAGTGATACAGTTTCTGCAGAAATCTTATACGTCTGGGACAAGTGAAGGCCACAAGTATCTTTTGCCTGAGGCACCTAGCGTTTTCGCTTCACTCACGTAGCCCATTTACTCGTGTAACCATTGGAGAATTGTTGATACCAATGAGACTAAGAACACTGGGTTCTTAGGCAACCCAACGTTTTCTTGAAACCATAAAATCTCATCTTCTAGAGGAGGCTTCTACCATTCTCACCACGGCTGTCTGGTAGCCCTGCTAACCGAGGTCGTCTCTTCCACTGTGGATTTGTAAGAGGACATCAGGAATCTCATATGCCAGAATAGTGGCTGGATCGGTACATAGCGTGGTTCTTTATGACAATTAGTAGATTCGCCCACGCACTACGAAACTACCTGTTCTTGTTACGTCTGGTATGCGAAAAGGGGCATTATTATTCGTATTCCCTTTTCCGCATTGAACTGTGAAGTCATATTGATACAGCACTTTGTGATAGCGTGCAACCAAACGGTGGATGGCCCCATTGTTTTAACCACCTAACTGCCTAATGGTCCGTTTTAACTATAAACAACAACGTAAAAGCACCATCACAAGAACTATGTTGGCACAATAATTTAACTTAAGGTAATTATGCTTCATTTATGGGTGGTCTAGTTGGTTTTTTTACTAAAGTTTTGCAAATTATTTGAAAAGTTCTCATAATGTTGCCTGTGTATTCAAAGCGATTGCATCTGTGTTCACAATTAAGTGCGGTCTTTTGAATTCAAGGTCGAATGGATTCTGATTGGAATACGTTATTTTGAGGATTAATACAGTCGATCAGGTGTTTGTAATATGTTTGTCAACTCAGCTGTAACAAATCAACAGATGGCAGTACATTATCGGAAAGTGCATTCCGCAAAAGGTTCACTATACCTTTCATTTCTTATTTTTTAAGCCGCCATTGACACCAAAACTCCTCATTCGTTGTGCACAAATCCCAAGTGTAAGTTGAATACCTTTAATTACTCTAGCTAAATTACGCATGAAAAGGAAGAGTAATGTGCGCATAAATGCGCCATCACCGAATTTGTCCGGGGTACGCAAGCACAAACAGGTAAAAATATTTCGATGCTTTTTAATAACAATATTCAGTGTTGTACCTATTCTAAGGACCCAGTAGTCAATGAAATCGTTTCGAAATTAATGAATCAATTTGAGGGGCATGACACAAGGAGGCAAAAACCGAGAAAAGTTGCCACTCTAAACGGCATTTCTCGTGGTGGTTCACTTAACCTTGGAAGTAATTGCAAACTTCGTGTGAGTAAACTTCGTTTCAAGTATGCTTACATGCTAGTTTTTAAATTTTAGCTAGAAACCTAAACATTTACAGGGGTTTGCTTGATTCTTTTCGGGCCTCGGATTTAGCTATTCTATGTTGTTGTTGGTGTGGTTTTCATAACGTTCTTATTTTTAACACAGAATAATTGTTCTGCATTTATTTTGTCTATATGTTTCAATATTGATATGAGTACCCTGCATTCCCAAAAAGTGTGTCTACTCTCAACATCCCAAATAATCCATGATTCGTTTATGATGTTTTAGCTCTACCTCTCCTTATAGCGATGTCATTCTTTTGTGATTACATAGCAACCTTGTCATGACCCACCGGCCGATGTCCTAAAGCTTCATGCAAGCCTTTTCACTGAGCCCAAAGTTTTTTGCCCGAGAACACTCAAATCGGCAGCACTTTCCCGAGTTCGCAACCTTGCATGCTACAATCCGCCACGACGAAGTCAGGCGGCGGAACATTTGGAGGAGTTTGACTTAAGTTGGTCACTGTTATTCTTCACTTCACCAAACACCATTAGTGATGGTGTTTTTTATTTAAATCACCTAAACCTTTCGAGGTTTCCTTCCAATTTATTGGGTGGGACGACAGGCACATTAAAACGTGTAACCATGAGCCCAACTGTATCAAGAATATGGTATCAACGATGTATGGTACTTACCTCTGGATTTTTTAGTTAGGGTGCCACCACAAGGGAACAACGATAATCTTAAGTCTTCGCTTGGAACGTATTAGCCGACAAAAACAGAGACGTGTACTAATCGGGTTCAACTGCGTTTTGTTAGTGTTTTTACTATGGAATAATCATGAATCTGTCATTAATTTTTGTATTAAAGTGGATTTTTAATCAATTTGCTGGGGATTTCCATAATTACTTGTTAAATATCTAAAACGATTTAATGCGCACTATAATATAAGGTGTTGCCCATTGTTCGTTCTGTTGTTATGGTTTGGACCTCTCCTTGATATTCTAAAATCGCCATGCAGTCCCAACTTTGTCTAAAATTGGCCGTTTCTTAATGTAATTTTTGTTACAGACTGAGTTTATTAAAAGCTCTTCTTGGATTATGAAAGATAAATAACTGGCATGTAATTTATAAATTGCGCGACTAGTTTTATCGACAACTAAATAGATGTGATAGGAGGCCTTTTTTGGGCTGAGAGGATATGTTAGATTATTGCTATGGGTAGCCAGCTAGCTGCTATGATTTTAATTGCTAAATTAATCATCTAGTTATTCCTATCAATTTTCACAGGAAGATCGCAAAAGCCGTCTTTGCTTAACGACCACCAGTCAAGGGACCCTGATTTGCCAAGCAAACCCGTTTTCCGAAGCCCCACATCAGCTTCAGTCCATACACCAAGCCGGAAGGTATCTTGTTTAACGCTCTTCATGTAATAGTAATTTGGTAAACTGTAACAAAGTGTGGAGCAAGGCTTTCAAAAGTAAAACTAGTAAACACTCTTCTGTAGATGTCGAGGCGTGCACTTTTATCGGTTCGCTACTTGGAGGCATCAAGAGGGCGTGCGCTATCATTCGCATTAGCTGAACGGTCAGTCACGGCCACCGTCTCTTAGGCACTGGTTTAGCCGCCTAAAATACAGTTTTTTACGCCAAATTGTTTTTTTGACTTTGGGAAATACGCCGATTCTTAAACAAAATTCCGATTTTTGGTAAAGTCCAGCTTGATAGGGAACTTGCTGTGATAGGGCTACCCAACAAGGAGGTGTCACTTTAATTCCTTTAGTAAAGGCGACAAATTTTAATGTGTACTCGTTGAGCAGATTTTTGAAAATCGTCAAATAGTCAAGACAGTCTGCCTCTTTGAATCGTAAGTAAATATTCATATCCCAATTCTACCCCTTTAAGAACATTATGCGATTGCTTACCACAAAAAATCTCGTTACGAAGCTTAAATGTGTTTTTAGTACGAAGGCAAATCCCGGATACTATAATTTTAACTAAATTTAACCGAAAACAAACATTTTTTAGGCTGATTCAGTTAGAAGTGGTGCACGACGATCCGCTCAAAAAACGTAAGCATCACTGCCAGGTCATTTTTTCTTATTTTGGTCCATCGTCAATGAACGTGACTTAGCCTTACTTTAACGTGATACTTTCATGATTTGCTGGAATTTTCTTTCATATGGATGGCAATGTGTGCTCCAATACACTTTCTTATTTCAGAATGGAGGACATTGAGTACCTCAAATTTTCATCAGCCGTGACAGATGACATCCTTATAAATCGCCAATTCAGCAACAGGTATGTCTTGTCATTTCTTTTGGCTCTACTATGCTTTTTAGCGGAAATTATTGTCCTAATGCACTGTTATTATTAAGAGGTTCTAAACAGATGAAGGTGCATAGCATTTTCAATTTTGCTAAAGGGATTTTGAGTGCATTAAGAGGCGATGTACTGCACTTAGCCAGTGTTTAACACCTTACCTTAATGCGACAACGAGGTCTACTCCATATCCTACTGCATAATAATTTACATTTTGATTTGGTAGTTAATGTTTTCAAATAGATCTCTTTCACCTAACCAGTGGTAATCACATACAATCTGCGCTCTTTAGCCAATTGGTAGAAATTTTCCGGACTCATTTGAAGCGTTCAAATTCGAGGCTCAGTAAGGCAAGTTTTGCTTTCTTTACCTGTCCAGGTCTGTTCATTTTCACCACTTCATCAGTAAATGCTACCGTAGACTTGCACTGATTACTGCACCTGGGGGTTTTACTGACCGTCGTTTCCGAGTCTTGATGTTACACGTCACTGTGTCGAGTTGTTTTTGAATCTTCGAGCGAGTTGGACTGCGTTTTGATGCCATCTCTATTGCCTTTCAGGAGCAACAGTTGAAAGCGATTCGCCAGATTGCCCTACAGTTGGATGTACCTGCGGAACTGATGACGGAGTTTACTCTTCATAAGAGTCAGTCCGATATTGTGAGTAGATTCGCAGAATGAAGTCATCAACTTCAATTTTTAATTCGTACTTAACAATATGCATTCATGTAATATAGAATTGAGGTTTATTGGGATATTTTGGATAAAGAGAAGTAATGTTTAGAGCGAAGGGGCTAAATTTTGCCTTTATTGCCTTTTAGAAAAAGTCTTAAAGGTTCAGAAGGCACGAGGAAATCCAGCATGATTTACCTCGATTTATCAAAATTTTAATGTTGTATATAGAGCATCTTAAAACATCTCAATTAGCTGTGGACGACCATGCTTTCACTTAATTGCCTTATGTACCGCGGTCCCAAATGTGATTCCATATCACTGTAATTCTTATCTCGTTAAATCCGATAAAAAGGCGAAGACAAGCCCCAACCCTGGCGTTAATGCCAAAGGCGATGAAGCGTTGAACAAAAAAGAGCCCACCCCTGAGTCTCAAAGCAGTGAAGGTGGTCTCCTTAGTTCTGTCACGCCTCTACGAGACTCCTGCTATACACTCAATCTCCGCCGATCGGAAGGATCCGGTTCTAACATCCTAAACACAGAGTAAATCGTCACTGCTATTACCGCTTGTTCTGTCCGCGTCAAGGAGGTCCTTTATTTAGTCCTAACAACTAAACCACGCCTTAATCAGGTATTATTTATGCTCACTTGCTTTTGAATGCTAGAGTCGACCGCTTGTCAATCCAAAGAGCCTTGATCAAATGTCCCGTAAAAGGAATTTTCCCCGATATTTGTATACCATCATTGATGTTATGAATACCCTCCAGCTAGAATATTTTTGAATTTTTATCTTCTATCAGCAAAGTCTTAAAGAAATGTTATAAGCCTTTAAAGTATCAGAACTAGTCCAACTTTGTCAATGTTATCAGTGTAAATATATTCTGAAGGGTGTTTCTTGCCTTGGTATGAAGGGATGAATCGGATGTGGAGAGTGGATCGTGCGACAGCACCACGTGTCTTGCATCCTTATCGCTTGCAAACGATCAAGCGTCTCCGCAACAGCCTTCGAAATCGACATCCGATCTTGTCATCCCTTCTGGGACGTCAGATGCAGCGTCTAATATGAACTCGGAGATTGAAGGAACCAGTCAGTTGCTTAGTTCTCTTGAGATCAAAGGAATGGTCGAAAGTGACGAAAAAAGTGAAGATAAAGATGAAGAAGATGATAGTGATGATGATGATGATGATGATGATGAGGAGGAGGAGGAGGAGGAGGAGGAGGAGGAGGAAGAAGAAGAAGAAGAGGAGGAGCGGACTGATATCAACGATGCTGAGGAGAGCTACACCAGTGAATCTTTTGACGACGATGAATAGAGCTTTCTGGACATCATTTAATGAAGACAGCTATCTTTCGACAAAAATAGTGTATCTTTACCTAGATTGAGAATTAGTGATGAGTGATAGATCAAGTCGTGTAATTGATCTCATTTGCTGTTTCATACTTTCATAAATCGACAGCGCTGAAAAGTGACGACTTGTTGAGACCACTTTTATTGCAGTTTTAATGGCATACAACACGTTAATTATATTAGTCTTTACTAATACAACGCGTCTGCTACGTTTCAATTTCTCGTCAGTTCACGGTAACTGGTTCCACCAAGTCCTACGTCTCTAACAGATTGATTGAGTCTTCAACGGTGAAGAAGGTGCAGGATGTTTTTGTTTTGCGAATGCTTACATTTCCTTTTCTGCTTTCTGACCAGGTGTTGATCCGATCAAATAAACCAACAATGGAAACGTATCAAGTTGTTAGCGACCAACTTCCTTGTTTTAAAGTGACTTTCCAAAATTTTTTTTCTCAGGGATTTGTGTTTGTCGTTAAAAACGCTCAGTAATTAGCATGAAAATGATTTTCACCCAACTCTCAAATAATCGTAGCGATTATGGCTTTGCGCTGAATGTATTCTTCTCTTTTAAAATATATGCCTATAAAATCTCACGTCAGCATTATCCCACGTGAGGAGTTTAGACGAGTTGTGTTCTGAAAAACGCACTGAACTGGGCATGATTTTACTTTCTGCACCTGAAATGCAACCAGGTTTGTTGCAAGAATCTAATACATTCGGCAGGTTTAAGGGCTTGGCCTTACCTCAGAAACAATTGGAGTGGTTCTTTTGTACATACAATAACTCCACTTCATAAATTGTTACCATGGCAATTCGATGACAGAGCTTAAAGGACAAAATCTGGTATCCCGATATTTACAGTGCATATTAAAATAAAAATGCGCTTGGGATGCAAATATGAATGCTAAAATTATAGAAGTCACCACATCCCCTAAGCTCATCCACTATATTGCAGATCGTACACAGTCCTGCTCATTGTATTGTATTTGGATACAACTTTTCAAGTTACCCCTATGATTAAGTAATTTGTCTACGAGACATCTAGTCTGTAGCTCCCCCACGAAAGAAGGCACAATATTCGGACAGAATGTGTTGTCGGCATACAGTAGGACTCGGGCCGCCGGAGGGAAGAACAATGGCAGAGCCTCCAAATCGTCCGTTACCAAAACCGAGAAGTAAACAACTCATGTATTATGTAGTCATCCTTCTAAATATCACGATAAATAGTGGCAATGGCTAACCACTATCAAACACTAGGCCATGGAAAGTTTAAATAAGCGTTTTAGGTTTTACACACTAACAGGAGCTGGAATGCACAAAAATCAATTTCTTTGTAAACCTCTTGATTGTGACTGTGAGACGCCTTAAAAACCATGTAATGTCAAACTGACACAGATACGTGGGATGTCTATGAAGAAAGCTGCGGACTTATGGATGCCGCATTGACGAACCTCTGCCTTGTTAAATATTTGGTCCAATCGCGGTCTCACCAACCTATCACAATGCCGCGGTATTTGTATAAAACCTCCGCTACTGAATTGTTGTCAAGTGACATCAAGCTCCAGAGCTTGACTCGCTGTTTTCGCAATTGACCAAGATGAGAGGGCACTCATGTCCTAGCTAGTTTACCCCAGAGGCTAACTGCTCCATAGCTTAAACTGCGGCGAGTGCAGTATAGTTATGAATGCCATACCTGTAGAGGCGAACAATACGTACACCTTACATCTGATCACAGAGATCCAGCGAAATGTCATTTGGTAACGCGAACACTGAATTCCCGCCTTAGTGCTCGCAAGGCAGGCGGTATAAACCCTCAGTGAGATAAGGAGAAGTTCATCACATTCATTGGCAGTCCCGATGTTATTAAGCGATTGATCTGAATAACTACTACCTTTCATATTGCTGAACCAACCAAAAACTGAATCGGCGAACCCACGCCATGGAGACAAAACAGATGGTGATGCCGAGCATCATTTCGGTGGCATTCAGGAAGATCAGCCGCAAATTTAGACCCACTTCACCTCTTTCGATGAAGTTACCTTCGTCAACAGTCCATGCTGCTCGATTCCTTCAAATGGACACCATGGTCCCATTTACATTTGGAATATTAATTCAACTGAGTTGACAATAATCTATTTGGCGTTCAAACAGCATGATAGAATACTCACCTGAACAGGAACCCCGCACTTTTCGACCTCCTATCAAGTACAGCAGTGCTGACGACACAGTGAAATCAACCTCATCCGCAATAAGCAATGGTTTCGTCGGTGTTATTTAATGAGGAGAAAATATGGTGTTTATGACATCAGGAAAAAATACTCAAAGGGAGCAGCTGTGCGGGATGGAAAAAATCGGAGGAGGAAGGCGGGATAACAGAGGGCAAAAGTCCAAATTCTGGCTTGTGAATGTTTTAATGGTTAGAATTAGCATGTGATAGATTCAGGAGGTCAATCATTGTCTGAGTCTGGGATAAAAACAGACGCACACGGTTTGTAAATATACGGAAAAGGAAACATCGTCCAAGTTGGCATTAATGAGTGTGCGCAAGTGGGCGAGCGAGTAGAAAAGCGGTTGGTCGTAATGTTTGTAGAATAAAACCAGATTAGGGTAATAATGTCGGCGCAGGAGGAAGGGGAAAGAAGGGAGAGACTGTATACAAAGTGGGCACCACATACACAAAACACACAATGACCAAGACAAGAGGCGAGAGACATCTGAATGACATTGGGGGTGAGGTGGCAATAAGGAGGGCGCGGAACGAAAGATGATTACATGGCGTGGTCGAACTGTAGTTCGTCTGACATGCCGCTAGCCTGCTGTGCCGGCGATGTCTCTGTGGGTAATTGTTGGTGCTGTCCGGCGGAGAGAGGACGTGACAGTCGCTGCGCCCAAATAGGCTGAACGCCTCCACCACTAGCGCCGCCACCAGCACCGAATTGGGGCTGGTAAGAGTGTGAATGGAAGGTGGTAGGCGGGTTGCAGGACACCTCCGCCATGGGCTCAGGCTTGAATGCGGTTGCCATTCCATCCTGGCATCTGCCTCTCTCACCGCTGTCAGAAGTCATACGAAGATAGGGCTGGGAGGGATAAAAAACCTGCTTAGTAAAAAATGAAACCGCTAGAACCCCCTCAATTCGAAATGAATGGATCACTGTTTACTGGCCCATAAATTTGGCCCTATAATTGTCTTACTGAAAAAGGTACAGATATTCCAGAACTCCAAAAGTACTCCTGGCTGAATATAAGCTTTTCCAGCTAAATTTGGTTTGGGATGATACTACAGGAGGGAAGACGCATTGAGTTTAAAGTGCATTTCTTACGAGCGTACGTACATATGGGCCAAAGTGCGGCAGTGAAAGTGAAACAACTCATGCTGTAGATGCTAGTAGGTGCGAAACAGTGCATAAGAGCGGGACATTAGAAGTACAAATAGATTGTTATTTTAAAAAGTTACATAACATGAGAACGAATAAAATGTACTGTAACATGCATGCCTTCGCTAATAACCCCTACTAATCCGCTAACTTAATTGTGATCGGTTGACGATTTATCAACCGTATCACAAAACGCTATTTGCCATGTTTCCAAAGTATCTATACACTTGTTTACGGGTCGTAGCACACCAATGTGAGCAAAAGGAGTAACAGATATAGCATCACAGCCTACGCATACAATTTAATGATGCACAGAAAAAAAAACTAAATACCGCTAATGTTCGAATCGGTATAAAAATTATGATCTTGTGTGTCACAGACTGCTCGTAAACGGATGCAAGGCAGGGCGGGCGACTAATGGCCATGTTCACTCCGATGACGGAGGCTATACCACATTTGAATAGCAGGCATTCCTAAAACGTAATGCCAATCCAGAGCAGTTTCCGTGTACAACATGAGTTTGAAGGTGAGATACCAATTGGTACGAAACAAGAAGGAAATAATCATATACCTCCTTAACTACTTCCACTAATCATCAGCAGGATTGCAGGGTTTGGGCTGCATACTCTCGTGACTGTTTGCACAGGGTACAATGAATCACACTCAATAGTTCTGTCCAAAAAAGCATCGGACATGGCACTAGTAGAACGAAGCATACGAGCCAAGGAGTCACCAAATTCATCATGTATACAAACTTGACCCTCACCAAGAGACAGGTTGCGCGATGGATTTCAGGGTCTAATAAAATTGAAATGCAGTAAAAGTACCTCCAAATTTAACTCACCTCTATGAATTGATATTGAACAATGACAGTAGGCGAAATGGGGGCAGTATGAGGTGCTAAGAAGCTATAATTCGGTGGAAATTGCCTTTCATGTGTTCACTACCCCGAAACATCGCTGTCGTAAAATTGTCGCTTAAATAAATGGGAGCTCCTACAGCGAGACTAAAGTTAATCGCAAAAGTGGACAACAAAGTATATTTTCTGCTATAAAGTTGAAGCTTGGAATGTTCACGAACAACTCAAAACCATTAAAAAGAATAAGTGATCTATGACATCCCAGAGGGTTTCACAGAAGGTCATGTCAGTCAACTAGACTCGCAATTCATTTGCAGACTGTTGTGGTGATTCAGAATAGCCTGATTTTAAGAACTTATCCTTTACCAAAATTGCATCGATTGGTAATGCTGGATCTAGCATGACTTTCTGTCAGAGATTAAGTGAAATGCTGGAGGAGCGGATATAAAGAGTAGGCAATATAAAACCTGTACTAGATATGAAACTTCATCCCCTTTCCAACAGTTCCAATCATCTGAAGTGTTGACCTCAGGGAGCCTAAAATAAAAATTCCGTATCTCTCCAGACAAAGACGCCCCTTTGACCACGTCACTGAAGAAAACACCAGGCTAGTAACGGAGCCACGCGGTGTCGGACGACTCCGCTGAACGGAACGAAAAGGGGATCGCATGCTCTTGACTTTTAATTTAGTTAACGAGACAATTCTAACAGTGAAAGCAGAAAACGGACGCGTCGTTCGCTTCCTTGCCCCCCAGTGTATCCTCAGTGCCGCCAGCCGGAGATAGTGATCGCAACAGACACAGTGGGAATTTGCAGCTTTGAGATGCTGGGCGTCAACAAACTCAGTTTGAAAAACATCCCACGTAAATCCTACCAGCGCAGCGGATCAGAGGTCAAAATTACCTCATCAGTATTCATCTCCGAAGTGGAAGGAAAATCATCTGGAGCCATTCTCACAGGGAGGCTAGCGCTAAGACCTCCAAATCTACTGCTACCACCGCCACAGAAAGTATTGCTTCCACTGTTGGCAGAAAACACGGGACTTTGTTTTGGCACTGCAATGGCACCACCCTCCTCCATTTTCGTGGCGGGAGGTCTCCCAGAAGCAGTACGTTTGCCCGCAATCCTCCCTGAGGGCGGTGAGGGATGTTTAGCACCACCCCCGCTGGTGTACAGTTGGGAGAAGAGGGGACGCATCTGCGTCAGACGCCCACCCGCCTGTGTGGGATTCGGTGGGGAGGTGGCAGGCAGAATGCGAGCGCCACGAGAGGGTAAAGAGCCTACCAGAGGGGGCGCCGCCAAAGGAGCTCCCTCTATACCGCCAGTACCGCCAACGCCGCTACCGGCTACACTCAAAGTCATCGGCTGTCCCGTTGTTGAGGATGTCGAAGTGCAGCGAGTGCGACTTGGTCGACCAACCAGTGGCACTGGTGAGTTGGAATCACCTTTTTAAAGAGAGAGTGGAAAAAAAATAAGAAAATTCGCCCTATTTGCACTGAGTAAAATAGCAGTTATAGAAGAAGCCATTGCATTTGACCACCTACAGATAAGACCGGTTTTACATCAAGTCAATGTCATAAAGAACAACTCATGGCAAGTAGCTGATAGGTAAATTATTTAGTGATAATTAAAGTACAGCTTGATGTAAGTAACAAAAAATAATGCATGAATGGAGAAAAACTAGTAAAAAGACTAATCTAAAGTAGTGTTTCTCCAGAAATCGGCTGTAAAAATTCAATGTCATTTACTAAAATCATTCGGATCCTGGTTCGTAAATGTAATATAGCAGTTAAAGATGCATGCCAGACCTTATTAAAGTAAATAATGTAAAATTGAATGAGGACATTTTTCATTATCATCTTTTTCTCACAGAAAAAAATTAAAAGTAAATGACTCAAGACAACTGGAAAAGGAAGGGGGGGGGTTGAGAATAAGTTTGGAGTAGAATCCCCAACTCGCCTACGCTTCCACATAACTTTGGCAAAATTGAAAACATCGAACAAACGGTTGCGACATGCGACGACATCAAAAAGATTGTCATCGGGGAGAAAGAGGCAAAATATGTGCTATATTTATTTCACCCATTATTGCACATAATCTCATGTCAATAGAATTACTATGCCTAAAGTATCGCCCAATTTGAACTGTATATACGCACACGTAATAGGTAGAGAATCTGTTTGTCTCATTCATTCAAAATTCAGCAGCTAATAATAATGTGTGGCATATATCAAGTAATGGAAATAATCACAAATCTATCCGGATGCCGTTGTTTTAGAATAAATTGCTGATAGCATAATTTGAACTACTACCTATTCAAGGTTAGGAACGATAGGCTTTCCGAGAAAAGGATAGAGCTCAGAAAAGCCTCAACAATGAGGCACTAACCGCCCACACATAACTCATGGGTGGAAATAATTATGTGGATATCGGTGGTAAAAGTAATTTTCAGTAAAAGTAGAATTGTGTGGGGCACAAGCGCAAACAAGAACTGGTCGCCCGGATGAAGAAATTCGCCGTCTCAGATTGAAATCGACCCACATTGTGATTTAATAGTGAGACAGAAGGACTATGCCACAGCGTGACACGGTGAGACAGGAAAGACCCACACAACCGCAGGATCACGTCGTCTCTGTGCTGTGGTGTCATGCCAAGCATATCTCACCTCACACCCCCTGCTAATAAAGTGTGCCTGCGTGTGCAGTTGCGATTAAATCATGATAAAGCCAGCACAAAGGTTAACAACTGAAATATAGGCCTCACAACCGAAGATGGTACAGTTTCCTTGAGATCCCATGGGTGAAAAAGGTAACCAACCCAAGGCATCGATTACGAAGTCTCATACACTTTCGCCAACGTCAGCTTCAACTTGGCAGATGGTAAAACTACAACTCGACTATAGACATCTTGGCACGCAGGATGGCAGTGTCTATGTCAACAGGTTGGTCGCGAAACATATGGTGTAATTTTGTGGATCTGCTAGAAAAAGGGACAGATGTTCAACTCGTAATAGGATCCGTTCCAGCGTACACAGGCCGTTCATGCTCGACTTTTAAAACAATTGCCACAGAAACTGTTAAACTGTTGTAAGCAGAAGCAGGAACCTCGGAATATTAGTACATGAAAACCTGCGATCCAGATAAGCATAGTTGACTATCAGCTCCCCAAATCCTAGCTTTGAAGAAAGAAGAAGCCTTATAAAATTGTAACAGAAATTGAACAAATGGTGGTCAATTACTCAATCAGTTTAGGGGTCATTGAAAAAACCTATTATGTGCTAGTGTCAAGGTGGAAATGGATTGATAGATGAGTACCACTAACAGGTAAATGGTTAACTAGTAAAAAAAGGCCTAATAAAATAATCTGTAGTCGAAAGGGATGGTAAATAAACACATTGGTAACCATCAACAAAAAAGCAACAAGAGCGTACAGGGAGCTTTAAGAGACGTACAGCCTACGACTTGGAGCCCCTTTATAGCGACAGAAGCTGTTGGCGTCCTACTAATTTATCTGAAAAAATTCGCATGTAAATAGCACAGGAGAGTATGCATCCCAGCGAATCAAAGTTTAAAGAACAGAAATTCTTTCATGTCAGGCCATTGAGGTGAATGCTTTTCCCTTTGTGACAAAGAATACTGGTTTAATGCTTCGCAGATTACTGACTCGTGACACAGTGGGTAAAAATGGCTTTAAGCCACATACAATTCAACGTTAAACAATAAGGTCAAATTGATCTAGTAAACATTATTATTTAGATGATTTATGCTTCGCTAGGTTTATTAAAGGGAAAATAGGGAAAGGTATAATTGGCAACTTCTATTTGCAATAAATGTAAAATTACGTTAAGAAACAATTCCACTAAAACAATACAAAGTTTTTAAAGATTTTAGTCATGTAAAATCAATGCAAATTTCTCGAATTCTTATCTTTCACGGTAATACTTGGACAAATATAACTTATAATAGAACACATCTTAACAGTATCCATTTTCATGAGTGGAGAGAGGTGTCTCATTTAAGAACTCCTTAACCATCAATTGCATGGATCGACTTTTCTCTCGCAAGCAGGCCATCGAGAGAAGAGAGAACGGCATACCTCTGGCATCAAGATAGGTGCCAATGTCGTCGTTGTTGCCGACGGAGGACATTCCGGGAGAGGATTCACTGGTATCGACGGAGACCTGCCCAACACCACCACGCCCACCGACAGTCCCGGCGGATGCTCCAGCAGCTGCGGCGCTGGAGGAGATTTTCTGTTGATTGCTATCATGTAACTTTGACCATTCCTGAAGCATTTGTCGGTAGTCAGCTGGACCCGCGAGAGCCACCTTGGTTAGGTATTCTGACGGCAAAAGTGACTCTAGATCCTGAGAAGGATACAATTTTGATCAACAAGAGATTAATTCTACTGCCACCTAAGTAGCAACGAAAAAAGTGAAGGTCTTAACTATCAGTAACCTAATAATGAAGCAAAGTGTGTTGTTTACATAACTGACTGCAAAGCAATTTTACCCTCCGAGTTCTAGTGCCACAACCTGCGCCATATTGTGACTATAAAGGATCTGTGAATGGTTGCTGAAAAGAGGGGATTTCGAGTACTTGTTGCAGAAACGAGCTTGTACTGCATACCGAAACCTCCGAAGGCGCAAGGAATGTGACAGTTGAAATTTACCTGAATGCGCTTTACCAAACGATCGATGACGGAATTGGCAAGGTTGGTCTCGTTATAGAGATCGGCGTAACAATGATTCTCTCGTTGTAGAGCAGATATATACTCCACCGAGTTCTTCAGAATACTGCCCTTGTTCTTCTTGCAGTCACTAAAAAGGTAGTCATTCGAGGTATGGTCACGAAGCTTTGCTACCGCTCAAGCACTAGTGATAAAGTTGATAGGGTGAATGCGAGGTTCGAAACGGACAAAATACTCGGGAGATTTATACATCCCAAGTGGTAAGCAGACTCACACATTACTGACAAAGTGAGTTTCTTATACAATGTTTAGTTTGGTAGAAATCAGGAAATCAACTAAGTAATAATGAAGAAATAAGGATCTCGTGCTTAAACCGGGAACTATAATAGGCATACATGCAATGTGTACTGCTTGGGCCTGTGACGAGTACCCTAGTGTGAATGGATACAGGGTGAGAGGAATGGTAAGGTCGATGCCGGAGTGTTCTACTTCACTCAATACGAGTCCCAGAATGACATAGTTTAAGATTTCTAAGTTTTTCGTACCTGTGTACACCCCAAGTCCTTTCGCAAAAATTCATTTATTGATAATGATCCCACACATACACACGCACACACCTCGTTCTTTGTTTCATTCTCCTTTTCTACCCTGCGTTAGCCAGTGAATTCCCTTTTAATCATTGATTTATTATTTGTGAGCCAATTCTGCCAAAGAGCTTTTAAGGAATGCCTGATGTATGTGAGGTCCGTCAGAAAAAGAAGCAGCAGATAAGAGATAAAAGTAGTGGTTGGTGAGTTGCCCAGCCAATTTATTCTACCAAGAGAAAATACATGCGAACAAAATGAATCCGTAATTGATACGCATTCATTTGCTAGCGTTACTCCCATGAGACCATGGAAAAACACCAAATCAGGTTGGCCAGAATATGGCTAATTCTGTAAACACAATAGGGGGACGAAATCACAGAGCACACCTATTGATACTCAACGCAAAACAACTTAAACTACAAATTAACCCACTATGAAAGCGGCAGGAAAAAACTTCAACTAGATGGCAATTCTACCGTTTCTCCAATTAAAGTACATTTTAACCTCAACAGAAAATCATTACTGCCCCTTACTCATGAGCGGCGCGGGGACGCTAGTTTAGACAATTACATGAATTTTATAGGGTAGTGCAGCAATAGGTATCGCGAAAAATGCATGGAGTAATAGCCACTACGTATATACCTTTGGCAAGTGGGGACGAAGGCGACTTAAGTATGGAAGAATAATAATAAGTAGAATGTGTAAAAATGAAGTACGGGAGTGTTAATAATGCATATACTACTCATACAGGGCCTATTTATTTGAGATCAAACTAATGCCAAATAGACTCTGTTTAGGGATTTAGTATTTTACACAGATCTACTATTTATGAACAGTACCAAGCTGGGAAGTGGATGTGAAAACCATGTTACCCCTTGAGCATTAAATATGGAAAAGATCAGATTCACAAATTGTAAGCTAGTTAATTTAACCATGAAACAAGAAGCAAAAGCCAGTGAGCATTTTTACGTTTACCATCGAGTTAGGTTATCACAAAATGTTATTGTTTATGTAAATCATAAATCGGCCACCTTTACAAGAGAATCCGTGCTGGTGGACATCGCCCTGTATTCGATAAATTGTCACAACTACTTGTACACCTCTAACGAGGTACACTCACACGCCCCCTCTCTATTTGTAACCCAATTCATCTGCTATCAAATTCACCCTAAGCGAAGAAAATTTGTCGGTAGTAATGGAATACTGCTGTCCCGACATAATAATAAACTGGTTTCAGAGGCTGTCAACAATCCTCACACGATCTTGCGTATTTGCCTGAAAACCTCACTAAGACCAGTAACTATGACGCTGGGAAATACGTAGGTTTGAAACGCAAAGATGACGTGAATACATGCGCTTCAACGCCTTGGAAAGCAAATTACTATCACTCTTAATTATAGTCTGACGCCAAGTACGCGGCTATCCTTTTGCTAGTTGCCATGTTAGGTGAAATTGATATGGTGCCAGTTATGTGGCTATTAATCTCGCATGATTCACAGTTCACTGGCGTATGTGATGAAATTACCATTATTTCACTTCAAAACGTGAGACAATCCAATTTAAATAAGAATCGGGGAAAAAAATTAAAAGATTTAAGAAAAAAGAATTACCTAAGTTTAGAAATGGAACCAACAGAAGGCAGGAACATAAGTGTGCGAAAAGAGAACTACAATTGATCGTCAGGATCATCATAAAACACCATTTTCTGTTAACCTCACAATGTCTCGAAGAGCTTATCGAAAATGCATATATTTGATGGAGAAGAAAAAAGACTGCGAAACAAACCAGCGTACCCCGTCATTTGGCCCACAGCGTTCAAGGCTGCAGCGACCGCTCGTGTGGACGGAGACGGTATTCGCGCTGTTCGCCACTCCATTTAAGATATTTTTATGCGATAGCGTGAGTAGTAAGGGCTGTGTCAAGGTGACATACCCGTGGTCCCGATGTAGTTCCAGGAAGATAGGCATTCTTGAAAGATCCATTCTCATGTCTCAGTCAGAAGTCATGGGCAAGAATGCGTCTTCGGTTAGAGAAGTACGTACATTTCATTTCATAATCACAGTGACAACCTCATTTGGCTAATGTTTGTAGCTTCATTCGGGTGATTCAATCTATCGCCGACTTTTGAGTACTCAGACGCAGTAGTGCCCACGAATACTAATGAACGCCGATAATGTCTTAAGTTATACTGATGATTACAGAAAGACCCGTAGATTGGGTACACACAAAATGTCATACCAACTGCCACCTGATAATTTCGTGTTGAAGTTAAGCTTCTTTAAAAATTTGATTCCATTATTCACGAAGTTCATAGTATCTCAATAGTTCAAGACGTGTTAGTCGAAAGTATGTGATTAACTTCGCGCCCCTAGCCAAAAGTATTGAGAATAGATATCGTATTGTGAAAATAAATCAACCAGCTAATAACTAACTACTGTGCCAGTAAAGAGGTGCACAATGCTCGCTCGGATTTTATTTGCTAGACATCTGTGAGTCACTGCGTAATTCGAATGGTACAAATTCTATCAACTTAACAGAATTCATAGAAAAACGAGCTTGGTAATAAACAAGAGGTGCGCCTAAATCCATAACATCAACTACGGCTGTGATGCTCCAATTTCAAATGGATTGATGAATTACTTCAATCACGAGGAAGAATTTCACTGGCTTGAATGACTATTGAATGGGACTTAGGGGAAAGCTCATGTCTGATTAAGTAAAGCCTGTGTTGAGACAAGTAATCGTAGGTTCACCGTGGAACCTCACTTCTGTTATCCAAAGTACGAATTAGGTGCATTTCGCACCCCTAAATTCTCCCAATTAATGCGCTCAAAGCCCAATGACCAGTGTCCGTTAGGAGAGACGTACATACCCCTGCTAAACATCACCCTCAAGGTCATTTTACGTGCATCATGCTAGAACGTGATCAGACGCACTAGAGAATACCTGTAGTACCCATCGCGAAGTAGCCTACTCGCGTATTCGACGGTTATAGTTACGAAAGTACCGATGGTTTCCAGCAAAAAAAGGGAACAAATGCGAAGAATTATTTTCCAAGATAGTGGAGCAAGCGCTCTCAGAACATCAGCACTTAGGGCATTATCCAGTAGTAATCGAATCTAAAGCCAGGTAATTTAAACGGTGTGCTTGTAATAATGTGTACGGAAGCATTTCGGAAGAAATACTTGCTCCTAATTGACAGAAGACTGTCATAACCCGGCTTGTATGCAATATCGAACACAAAATCAACTGGCATACAAAGAACGAAGTCATCGGCTCGAATGGTTATGATTGGCAGTATATTTGAAAAAAAGCAAATCAGACTCTCAAATGGGAGGTCTTGATACAAGAGCACGGTGCGGTTGCACTTGTCACGCTCCTCTCCCCTTCGCTCTATCCCCATCAAGTTGTACTTTAGTGGAGGAGCTGTTTATTTTCACTAACCCACTACAAGGTGGGTTAAAACACCGCGCTTTAGGACTAATTGGCATGAGGTGCATTGTAGAAGTGAAGTTTCGGGAAATGAATAACCATAGCGCCTGACACCTATTACCCACCCGATTGCTGTCTGAAATAAAGCGGACATTGATCGAATTTTTGTCGGTGCAGTAAAGGCCGTTGACTTGCATGAGGGCAAACAAATTGATAGGGTGAAGCTCCTCTGAAACCAAAACCAACAAAGCGATCCTGATGTAGGTATTAAGAAAGGAGAGACTGGCAGTAACTTGGGCATGCTTCATTCGAAGAAATTGAACCGATACTGATAAAGCCGATGCGGACTATTGTGAATTCTTTGACTGATCTTCAGACTAATTAAGAAACATTCTTTAAATCTACACGCCTTTGGGCATTTTGGGTAAGAAATCAAGTGCCCAATGAACGTTCAGGAAATGTATTTGACTGACAGCCTTTTGCGAAGATAAGGATTAATGTTCTTGGAACTCCAACTGAGGAAGGAAATCGTAGAAACCTCCAAACTCCCAACACCAGTAATTTAGCCTTTGGTGATTTACTTGAGCATATTTACAGAGACGTATAGGCAGCATGAAATGAATGTACTGTTCTGCGCCATTCCACTTATTTGTACCGATAAACTGATTTCGCTTGTTTAGTTTAAAAATAGCTAGACGTATTTGACTATGAACAATACAGTTTTTGGTGCAGAGGTCAAACAGCACCAAACAAAACCTGGAGTTGATGGAATCAAGCGCATTGACGGTTAATCAAAAAGTAAACAAGCCAGCAATCAACACAACACCTTTGACATGGCGGCTAAATGATACGTCTAGAGTGCCAAAAGTCTAATCGACCAAAAGGCTAAGGCAAAACAAAGCAGAAAGGGACAGAGGGGTAATGCAGACCAAACGTCATGTGCGCCTCAGGAGTGACTGCGTGTACCAGAACCCAGCGTTACTTTTAAGGAAGAATGCCTTAACCGTTCATACACTCTCCCCTCGTGATTGGTAGATAAGTCACGGCCAAACAGTAGACGCTACAGTGCACGCCATATAAAGCAGACACGCTCACCATTGTCGGATGCATAAGCACGGTCAAATTTGCTAGTCGAGGTGATATGGATCAGTGGTAGGGTTATGGGAAAGCACAAAACCGGATGAGTAGTGGTTTTTTCAGACGAAATGTCTGATTGTGGTCCATGAAACCATTAAATTACAGAGTATCTTATCCCTAATAAACACGAAAATTCGCCTAGACTAATGACGTATTTGAAGCGATCAGTAAACGCTGAAAACAACCACTCCGACGCAGTTCATGGGTCGGTGGGAGTAATTCCTAAACGAGAAACACTTCGAACACTGCCTTAGTAAACTAATGATGTGGGGAAGCATCACCTCAAAAGAACCATGAAAAATAAAAACAAAGCTAAATGCTATCTTTAGCTATGCAACAATGTATCGCAGTATAGTGCATTGATATGCATCGAAGTAGTCGATGATGCCACACCTCAATCGAGATATGTTGGCGAAATCGGAGACGGCCATTCGTTTACAAGACTTCCCGAGATGAGATAGCCACTAGTACATTAATTTGCCAATAATGAAGTCAAATGGAACGTTTACTGAACGTTTTTGATTTTTTAACGACAATCATGAGGGTGGCTCGATTTAAACTTAAGGTCAAAAACAAATCAAGGAACCTTAACAAATAAATATGGGATTCTTGAATGTTTATGTACATTTATAAGGATCTACGTTATGGGTGATCCAAAAAGCATTTGATTGTTGACGGGTAACAATAAATTCTTACTAAGGCCAAACCGAAAAATCGTCTAGGAAATGCTCGATGATGGCAATTAAATTAGTTCGTTTATACGAATCCGGCAGTTCCTAAAGACAGCGGAGCAGTCACTAAAACGATAGAATAGGAAAAGCGTGTAAACACAACAGAAAAAAGCTTACTTTTCGCGGAACATCTCTTCGGGGAGTAGAGTGCCTAGCTCCGTGATCTGGCAGTTAATGTAATCCCGACGTTTCCGTTCAACTAAAAGCATATAGGGGAAAGCCTAATGAGTGTCTTGTGTCAACATTCAGAATGAACTGGATAGCACAGATACTAAAAATCGAGTTAAAGTTCCTTATTGAACCACAATTCCAATGCACATTAGGAAACTACGAACCCTACATTGCTTACTGTGCGGTCGATTCAATAGGTCCACCTGCAAACGAGAGTTCAAAAGGTCATGAGGGAGTGGAAATGACTGATAAGAAGTTTTTCTTTGTCAGAGGATAGCATTATCAGTATTGTCAACTTTTGAGACTCAAAGAAGAGCATCCAGAATGTACATTTTCAGCTATACTGAATTCCAGTAAAAATAAGTTTATGGTCATTGGTCAAAAATAGCAGCATGTTCAATTGGCGGCATGAGTTGTGATAGCGGATAACAAACTGTCTGATAGCAACAATGACAGGGGCTTTACCCGCCATGGCAACAGTTCGAGGATGCGAGCAGCCGGGATAGAGAGCACAAGGCGCTAAAACGTACAGATAAAGTGGTGCAGACTAAAGGGCCGTTACCGAACGTCCACATAATGGGAACACCACAAAAATAGCCGGCAGCTTTAGACCAACGGGCACAGATCAAAAACTCTACCAGTAAAAGTAAAAAGGAAACACATGACTAAGTACAGACGGCCCTAGCGACTGAGGAGACGGTGGCTCTCAATACTAGCGTAAGTAAACACGATCTCGCTGGGAGAAATTAGCAAGTGAAGTCGATTGCACCAATTCAAGACGGATGATTAAATATGTGGTATTGAGTAAAGGAATTTTGCTGCAATTCATCGCCCGGCTAACTTTGGGAATGATTTCCCTGACGGATTTTACAGGCAGCTCGATATTATGTAAGAAGAATGGAAGCAAAGAGACAAATGATAAGTACCCTTAACGATACTTTGATCAAACAAGCGAATATGTACAAACCAAGGTTAAACACTAAAATTGAACTACAAGTTACACACAATGGTATTGCAGACCACTTATTAAATTACTGCTAACAGATCAGGCATAGATGATCAAATACAAAAGTGGCAAAACGGTGTAACTGTTGTAACCAGCGTTGGAAAAATATTCATGCTTCTAATAATACATTCAGGGATAAGCTCAACATATAATTAGGCATCAAAACAAGTAAGAAGCGGAGTGGCGACACGTTGCACGAGGCTCTGTAACAAGTCATTATCCCTTTGGATATTTAGCAGCTAAGATTCGACCGTTTAAAATGAGAGATAATGGGTATCATGGGAAAATCAATTTATAATCTAAGCTCAACGGAAAAGGCGTTTGGACTGTCCGAATCCCTCGTTGCGTACGGCCTGGCTAATAAAGGGCAAAACGAATACAGGTAAGGAACGTACTGATCGTTGGTTAACCGCCAATAGCACTCAACAATGGTTCTGACGTTCTTCAATGCTTACCTCGATTACGTTTTCATTTTTGACTGCGTACACAGTACACGCTGAATAAAAAGTCCAAAGGAAACACACTACTACGTTGACTTGGAGCAGCAACGGAGTCTCACCGATGCTAATTTGCCAATCGAAAAATGTCATTAACCATCATTTATTTCCGGGTAGGTAGATTAAATCACGCCCTAGTAGGCAATTCGGTGACTTAAGCAGTCACCCGTACACCAAATTGGCCTTGTTTCACAAAGGCAACATACAGTTTATGCAATCCCCAATTAGTGATAACATTTCAAAATAACCTCGGCACGCTTTTAAAGTACTGTACTTTAATAAGGTCTTCACATAGTTAAAACCTCGTTTTTCGCAAGCTCGATAACTAAAAATGAATAAATGCATGATGCATTGTGGCAAATGTTTATTATAATCCAGTAACTTTTGCGAAACAGCCAGACGTTGCTGTGGACGCGATACATTGAGAAAGGGCAATCAATGTGACTCGAGGCCGTAAGGAATGAAAGGTGTATTTCAATCACCACTTAGATTTCTCTTACCATTTATCGTGAATAGGCGTTTATTCAGAACTACTTCCATTCAAAATGGAAAGTTAGAAGGAAAAGGTGAAAATGCTTTGAAACATTCCAAAACAAAGAATACACATAAAAATTGCGCAGCCACGGATATGGTGGTCCATAGATAGCGAAAATTGCTCAATGAATACGATAAAATTAGGAAACCGCTACAGGGCTAATGATAACAACTAATTTAGCGATCCCACTGCTAAACACTCCAGGACTTGCTAAACGAGATATACCTGACTAATGAAATATCATGACCAACCAATTAACAAGACAGTTTTCTGGCAAATGTGGTCAAAAAATAAAATACACGCTTATCCAGGCCAGAATAAAAACCTAGTCATACACTACCATGGCAATAGTTGAAATTTTATGAGAATTACTTCTGCCTTGTCCAATTAATTTCCAAAGTTGCCATAAACCACAGTTCCGATCAAATTTGCACATTTTCCACTATTGACAGTAGATTTTCACCTAAATGACATTATGATTGCAAGTAATTGTAGTAAAAAAATGAAGCAAGACGTATGGATAAATATGTATGATAATGGCCCTATTCCGAATGACAACTGAAACCAATGTGCGAGAAAAAACATGGTCCACCAAGAAGCGCCAACATGAAGTAAACTAAATGTAACCGTGGTAAACATCCAACCGGGATTCAGTTTAATGAGAGATGGGCACAGATGGCCACGAGAGGCAATACACGGTTGCAAATACAGGCATCTAAAATTTTGAAACAGACGGTGGAAGCTAACTTCACGTGTAAACCAAGGCCTTCTGGTTTCGTAAGAGAACACTTTTTTAAAGTACCTGTGGCACTAATGTTTCATGACGAAGTGCGCACCTTAGAGTGGAGGTGGTGACTCTCATGGGCCCATGAAAGGCAAGAAATACTGTGGTTAGCGCATCATTATGCAATAATTATGGCCCGCTATGCAGGTCGGAACAACCTCTTCTAAATCAGTAGTAGGCGTATCACCAATGCCAACAATGAGCATATAATGGGCTCAGGGTCTTAAATTTTACAAGAGCCGAACAAAGGATCCCAAGCATCAATACCTAGATGAAATCTGTTAGAAATAGGTTCATGTATGGATGAGCTTACTTCGATTATGGCTGTCTTTCTTGCTGCGAGCCCTGATCATAGCAACACGCTGATTATCGTTGCTAGCAGAGTTGCCCGAGAGCATGGGGAGGTTAGGGGGGCCGGAGAGACTGGTGAGACTGCTACCACCCCAGGTTCCGGTGACACTACTAGCCCCACTGCCACCCGAGGCGTTACCATTACCACCGCCCCTGGCTCGAGGGATGCTCAAAGCACCCGTAGGGCTCTCGAAGGACTCTCCGACAGTGAGATATGCTCCGCCACTGTCGTCAGCTGGACAGGAGGTGGAAGGCATCTCACTCCCCCCGAAACCTCCACCACTTTCACGACCTTTTGAAATGTCACTTTTTACCAGCAGTTTACCACGACGACCGCTATTGTTACCTCCGCCGCTTCCGTTACCGCCTCCAGATGGAAAGTCACTTGGTCCCAAAAGAGTCAACTTTTTGAAGAAAGGCATACCGATGACAGGATGGTAGATATAGTGGGTTCAGTACAGCTGTTCGATTTAATATCAAGCTAACTGATGTGATAAGCATTGGAGAGCCCTCGAAACAAATAACCAAATTAAGCAAATACACTGGCACAACAATCTCCTCTAATTTTCCATCCATTAGGCTAGAGTGGACTACGATTCTTGAGGCAAATATGCCAGTCTTTTAGAGATCATTCAAGTAGTCTGCAATAGTTCCATAAGCTATGTGGTGGACGCTTTTATCGGCTGTTTTTTGTGATTAGAACTTAAGCACATTAAAAATAGACCCCTTAACATACTGGACTAACATCCGATCAATCATTCTATTAATGGAATCACACTTATGTTACACATTTCCCAACGATAAAAAACTCCTCACTAACATTGCTATGAATAAGTTAACTTAAGCTCTACACACAATATGTGCAGGTGTAACAGTCTTAAACTCGTCAATTTGAAAAAAGTACATTGGTTGAACTATGACCCCCAGTAGATGCACAAATGCACATCAGAAGAGTAAAGTGGTAGTTAAGAAAAAACACTTAGGTGCATATCTGAAAGGAATTGGCAGCAAACGGAAGTTCTAACTATGAGGTGGTAAATAAATGGGAAAGTTTCTACTTCGTTAGCAGATGGATTAAGTAAAGAAAACAGTAAATTGACAATCACACCAAAAGCAACAGCACCAGAACTTACTGATGAGGCAAGTTTAATAGAAGGCGTTATGTTATTGAGGTCAATGTTGTCAATACTCTGTTCATCGCCGATGTTTGTGAAACCCAAATCCATAGGCTTCAGGAAAAAAACAGAAATATGATTTAGTAATTCTAAGGTAGTTTATGTAACGATAAAAAATGATGAAATCATCGCATATTTGAACAACAAGGAAGGTAACTGACATGGATAAAAGTCCATGCAGACCCTCAAACTATCGGTAAAATAACATATCAGTATCCATACCCAAATAACAACTTTTTTATGTATGTACCAAAAATTCTAGGTTTGGCACCAGACAAACTTATTCAATTTCAAAGCTTTTAATAGGAAATGGAAATGATAAACACACCGACGTAATGCCAGAAGATGGCGACATATTCGGTTCAATATTCATGAGTCGGAAGTCGAGCTCGTTAAGGGGATTGGGATTGCTGTGGTCTGCAGAGAGTTGAACAGCTGAATCGTTTTCACTGACACTAACGGTACCTCCGGAATTAGGTAAACAGGGAAAACAGGAGCGGTGATTATAGTTATGACTGCGATAGTTAATTGGAATCCCTTGTTGTTCTGGGGAGTGAACAAATGAGTAGTTAATTGCTGGCGCCCGATGTTGCTGTCGAGCTGCCAAAGACTGAGATGTAGAAGGGAAAAAAGACTCAGATCCGGTTGCTATTTGGTGGTATTGGTTTCGACGCTGGCTATCAGGTGTTTGATTAGCGCCCTCACCGACGGACATTACACTATATTCGGGATCCTGTCTCCCAGGTAGAGGAAACGAACACCCAGAGTCAGCACCCCTAAGAAATAATCGATGTTCCACTGTTTTCCTACGACAAAAAAATGATGGCATAACGCTTTGAACAGCCTCGATGAAGGTCGAGATGGATAAGATGAAGCGGTATCAATGAATCAGAATCCAACCACTAAGTACCCGCCAAACTCAGAAAGGGGCTCGAGATGGAAGAACATCAATCAATTTACGAATACTTAATGTCAAGAGGCTACCTATAAGTGATCGCACAATTAATACCACCACGAAACCGATGTCAAGTATATAAAGGTCATTGTAATGAAATGCCTATGCGATAAATAATCAGTAAAGAAATCAAATCAAAGATTGCACGAAATTGTGTCCTTTGTATCGGAAACACAAGACAAGTAGTAGGAAAATTAGAATTTAAGTCCGAGAAGAATGAGCACAAGCTACCAGTTAGCACCGTGGCTAAAAGCAAAGTAGGATCACGTTTTCCAAGGAGCAGTTACAGGACATCCGGAAACGTATGCATGTGCGATATTTAAAAACTAACCTAATAACAAAACCACAGCAAATAACGTGAATTGAGTGGGTTACAAGCGAATACGAATCATTTCTATTCACGAAAGTGACAACAATGTAAAGTAGCCGAGCAAATAACTGTAGCAAAACTAACTTGAGCCGGCCAAAATATACATCATTCGAGATAAAACTACTCATAGAATCGCCCTGCATGATAATGAAAGGACATCACACCCACCTGGGCTAAAATGGCACACGATATTCCGCCAATTTCCTACTGGTCCTCTAGACATGATTTCATGGCCATGGTGACTTCTTTCTGGTTAAAATATAAATGCAAAAACGATCGACAGCGACATCTTTGAAAGCTTTGAGAATTAAACACAAATTGCATTATCAAAAGCTTTTGACTTTTAACATTTAAGAGCCAATATACCTACGCTTACAAAACGCTTCATCCATTAATATTTTATAAAGAAATTAATTTGGGTGCAAGTTTTGTGTTATTTCAAAGGCCTGATCACTGCAGCAGTTACCTTTTACCAGTTTAAAGCCTTGTTGGACGGCGTTTTGCAAATATTAGGCATTTTTCCACACATTTAATAATTCCTGTAAATACGATTGTATTTGGTCTTATGGGTACTCTAAATCCATCAAAAACATTAAAAATAAGGCCAGTCTCATTAAAATGAACTTAGTAATAAAAACGCTTCTTATATGGCATTTAATCAACAGAAACCAACCATCCTGGTTTGTTTCTACCATGTTTTGGGATTTAATCCACCCCATCCAACAAATCACCGTCTACGATACTATGTGGAATCAATGTATGCTTAGCTTCACATTTACTGCGGCGATTCCTAGTCTCCTCTCGGCGTGCTTTTGTTTAGATTGAGGCCGCATTATTTGTGCCCATAGCCTCTCAGCCCTTCCACACAACGATAAAAACCTCGTTTCGCAACTCTAACGTTCCAGCCCTATTTTAGTTTTTACAAATAAAAGAATATATATCAGCTTTCTTCGATTGCCACCCAACATTTGATAATTTTAATCATTGAAAGATAGTTAAGTAATAGACGTTGCTTTCGAGACACTTGGGGACAAAGATAACATTTCAGAAATTGGCAACACTTGAAAATTAACTTAAATGACGGATGAGCCTATTTGTAATACACCAATTGTTTGTTAAACGCCCGGTTTTTGCGACAGGCCTTTGAGAGGCTCCGTTAGGCTAGCTGTTCCCCAGTT